TTATCAGTATTCAGGTAGATATGAGAAATACTTAAACAATGACTCTTAAATTGCTGTAATTAATTTTTAATTGTTTGATATACAAAAATTTAAAGGTTTTTTTTTAATTTCCATCAAATATATAACCAGTACTATTCTCAAAAGATGATGAAATTATTGACAAAATTACCTTTAAAAAAATATTGCTTATTCTCTCTAAATTAATATGAATATTTTTTTTTCTTAAAAATTAAATTAATATTTATAAAAATAATATTTTAAATAATAAACAAAAGTAATTATTCAGCACAATAATAAAATAATAATAAAACAATAGTAAAACAAATTATAATATAATTCAAAAATAAAACAATATTATATAACACAACTATTTTTTAAAATTATAAATTAAAAATAAATTATAAATTTAAAAATAAAACAATAAATTTCCATCATCTTTTTCACATAATTTTACTATACGGAAAAAAAAAATTGCTTACAGATGCTAACGGATGTTTGCTATCAGATCTATCAAAAATTAGTAACCACAGCTAAATTTTTTGCTATGACAACGAAAAAGTTTGCTATGATAAACAATATCAGTCTTAATTTTTTAGAAATTTACTGTCACAGCAAACTTTTTTGACCCCACAGCAAATTTGTGCGCTGTCCCTATTTATTATTTATTTGATGTGGCAGCAAATAATAATTAGCTGCCACAGCAAATTTTTTCTATGCGTGTATTATATAGATATAAAAAAGTAATAAATAGAAAATAAATAAAACTAAAAAAATCGTTTAAATTTTTTCAAAAAAAAAAATATATATATATATTTTACAATTGAATGTCAGTAAAATTGATAATTTACCAACCCAGTGAACTTATTGGTATCATAACTAACTGTAATTGACGTAATTTCACGTAGAGGAAGAGTAGACGATTTGGCGCCACTCAACACATTTGCGTTATATATATTATATACATATATAGAGATAAATCAACCGCGTGTTAGTCTCGTGCTAATATTATAATATATTCATGTCAATTATCATTTGTTTATAAACAATTTAAAAAAAAAAAATTTCAGAAAAAATTTTTTGCAAATTTTTTTTACATAGATAAATAATAGAAGAAAATTATTATGAATAAAAATTTAATTATTTAATTTTAAAAAAATATATATATTATAAAAAATAATGTATTAAAAAAATTTCTAAACATTGATATTTATATTGATATAAACGTTAGTAAAATATAAAAAAATAAATTATTACAGTTTTAAGATTTTTTTTTTTGTAAATATTAATATGTAAGAAAAATTGTATTTGGGTTCTCGAATCCTGCGTACGACATAAAAATTAAATATAAAAAAAATAAATTATTTAATCATAGAAGATAAATTAAAATAGTTTCACAGAAATATTTTAATATAAAAAAGAAAAAATTTGAAAAATTAATTAATAACAAGCAAATGACGTAAATTGTATACATAGGTATATGATATAATGATATAATACGCAATTTTGTAATAGAAAAAGCATTGTTGACAGACTTTGCAATCTTGCTTACTAAATCTGCTTACAACCGGAAACATTTTTGTTTTTTTATAAAATTTTAAATCTGACCTCATTTACATGCTATTATTGAGCTTTTAAAAAAAATAAAATTAAAAATATTTCATTTAAAAATAAATAAATAAAAATAAATACATAGTTAATTAATTTCTAAGTAATGAATTATTTTTTTTAACTATTAATACAGATTTTATAATATTAGCAATAATAAAATAAAATCAAAATTCAATAGTTTATTTAAAAATAGATATATTATATAGCTATTTTTATTGTTAGGTTCAAAATTTTTACAAGGAACGCGTAAAGAAATGAAAATCAAAAAATAGTATTTATTTAAATTTCCCGCCAATAAAAGCGCGCTCGATTTGAATTTGTGGAAAAAAAATTGAAATATTAAAAAGAAAGCTAAATATTTTGCTATTAATTTTTATCAACGCATTTATTATACAAAAAGAAAAGCAATTATTATTATTATAGAATTTTTATGATCTAAAGAAACAAAAAATTAATCCACACTGAGAAAGCGATATTTTTAGTTCAACCATTGTTTAATTCAAAATTAGTATATTTTTATCTTATGGACAATAAATATAGTCATAGTGGAATATCTGAATTGTGACACTTTGCAGGGAATGGTAGCTTTTTCGATACACGGCGGGAAACTAAAGGCCTGAGCAGAATAGAAACGTAACTGGAATCGTAATGGCAAACACAACCGGAAGAATGAATTAGAGAAGGATAGATAGATTGTTTGTCCTTTTCTAACTTATTCTTCCGGTTGCGTTTACGATTACGATACCGGTTACGTTTCTATTCTGCTCAGGCCTTAAAATAGAGAAAAACAGGGTGAGGAAGGTGTCAAAAATATATAAAGATATGTCATATTTTGGACGTTCTACTTGAAATCCAGTGGAAATTTACATGCGCCCATTCTAAACTAACCCTTAAGTTTAAATCAAACATTCTAATTTTCATTCAAATAAATAATATTTTTAAATAAAATCTATAGATATTTTCCTTATATTATTATAAAATCAAACTTTCAAGTTGTGTTAAATTAAATAAAATTGTTCAAACTAGTCCATTTATTTGGCGTAAATAACATTTTTTATTTAAATCGAAATAAAAATTTATTTGAATCAAATAAATATTTATTTGGCTCTGAGAAAAAAAATTAATTTCCTATATATAAATTAATTAATTAATTTCTAAGTATATAAGCAACAAATTGAAAACGATTATCCTCGCACATTTTGTGAAGAAATAGACTTTAATCAAAAGAACAAATTTACAAAATCGATAATAATAATTAATTAAAACTTCAACTGCGGTATGCAATTAATAAAAAAAAAAAAAAATGATTACGCAAAATATAAAACTGTTTTTTCTCCAAAGAACACATATTTAATGATTTTTACAAAAATTACAAAACAAAACAATTAAAAAAAAAAAATTCTTTTTCTTATACATTTTCTTAACAAAAGATGTTAATGAATTGTTCGCAAATGTATAGAGGAATTCAAAGTTTAGTTATAAAGTTCATTGAGGTTATCATTATAATGTAAGAGAAAAGTCAAATAATCACTCAACAACCATCATCACACGTTTTTTTTTTTGCGTCTTCCCTTTTTCTTATTGGTTCATCATCATTCGGTCATATTTCTATACCAACTCACTTGCGATAAACAAACCATATAAATACTTCAATTTTATTTATCATCCCTTCATTATAGTTTCTAACGTTTCGTTGCGTTTATTGTTAATATTATTAAATAAAAAAAAAAAAACAAAAAAAAACAAAAAAACAAAATTATTGTTCGTCAAATTTTCCAAGGTAATTTTTATTTATATTTTATATTTTCAAAAAAAAAACAAGTAGCATGGTAAAAATTAATTTTACTAATTTAATAATTGATTTTCAAATTTTTGAAAAATTAATTTTCTTTTTTTTTATTTTTTTTATTTTTTGATTTTTATATACAAAATAAATTAAAACGGGAAATAAGTGAAATTTATTTTTACAGTTGGTAATTAATATTTCAACATACTTTTGAAAATATAAAAAATTATTCCACGAAAATACGAAAAATTATGAAAAAAATGTTTATTAGTTAATAGAAATTTTTTAGAACAACACAAAAAATTTTTGAAAAATAAAAAAAATTCTAAAAAAAATACTATTTATATTAAATAAATAAATAAATAATTTTTTAATAAATAAAAGCAATTAAAAAAAGAATTTGACTATCAACAACATAAAAATTTATATTTAGTTAAAAATTCATTCATCCCTCGATTAATTATTATTATTGTTTTTTGAAGAAAATTAAAATTTTGAGTATTCAAATAAACGAAAAATTTGTTTACTATTTTTTTCAATTTGAAATTTTATAATAAAATTTTCTGTGTCAAAAAATAAATTTACAGTTCATCAAATATTTAATATCATTTTTTTTATTTGCTGTAGTAGTTTTTAAATAATTTGTAGACCGAAAAAATGATTTTAATTATTAATAATATATAGAATACTATTTCAGATAAAAAAATAATTTTTAGAAAAAAAAAATTTTCCTGTCAACAAAATATAAATTTAGATTTGTTTTATAATTTCATTTATTTCTCCCTTAATTATTATTTTTTTGCAAGAAAGTCAAATTTTTTTTTATTAAATTAGTAAACAAATAAATTGTTTTGTCTAATAAATCAAAAATAAATAAAATAAAATTATATCAAAATTTAATATGTAAATTAAAAATTTCCACTTAAAAATATAATATAAATTAAATTATCGTCAAGTTTCGGTCTATTAAACGGATAAAAATCTCTATACCTAAATAATAATAAATATAAACAAAAAACAGAAAAATTTGTGTCGCAAGTATCACTACGTGATTGCATGTTTCTCTCTTTTCGAGATATCAAGAAAAGAGAGCATAAGAAGAAGAAGAAGAAGAAGAAGAATTCAACACCAGTATTGTCCAGTTTTGTTCAATGAATATTTTTTTCATTTTCTGGATTCATATTGAGAACGAGAGAAAGAAAGAGAGCGAGATTTAAAATCAATCTTTTTTATCTTCGCTATTATAAATTTACGATTAAACTTGCACAACATAAATGATAAACTGTCTACACACCATTTTTTTTTTCCAATGAAGAATTGTTATTAATTATTGGCGCCATGTTTCATTTCTACAATTATTAAAAGTATAACGTTTTTATCAAAAAAAAAGAAAAATAAATAACATTTTTTCTCCCTAAGAAAATTATTATTTCAGACAGATAATAATATTTTATTCAAGAAAATACAGAAACCAAATCGAATTTCCTTGACCGTAATACTGCAAGAAATATGTAATTCGATTTATCTTGAAATTAAAAAAAAAAAATTTGTTTTAATTTCTTTTTTTTTAAATTAACATAATTAATTTATTATTTCTTAATTACAGGACCGAGCGATCCTTCCAAATTACAAAAGAGTGTATACACTTGCACCACGTTCAAGCACATCAAATTCAAATTTGGGCTTGGATTGCGCTTCAAATACAACCCTCCTGACAAGTGTCAGTTCATTCAATAGTCAGGATTTAATTGAGGAGAAGAATAATTTATCCAATAGCGAGTGTCAAAAATCGAAAAATTATTATGCTGAAAATTTAAAGATCAATCATCAAGATCCAATTACAAGAGCACAAATTTATGATCCATTGGGCAAGGGATTGGACAAAAATTATAAACAATTAGATCCACTTTTAAAAGATCCAGAATCATCAGTGACAAAAGATAAAATGGAAATGGAAAATACAAAAGACAAAGTATCATTTCAATTTGGAAAGGGTTCAACGCATAAATTTAGCATTTCCACAAAATATGCAACACAGGTAGGTCATTTTTTCAAAATAAAATTTAAAAAAAAAAAAAAATTAATTTGGAACAACCAAATATTATTAGGACGCATGATTATGTTCTAAAAATCATTAATAAGAATTTTCATTTTATAGAATTTCATTTGTCATAATTATTTGTGAGCTGAATTTTTATTTTTTCAAATTAGTATTTTGCAGAATTTTCATCAAAACGATTTTCTATAATACAGAATTTTTATATAACCGAAAATTCACTTTACAGAATTTTTATTTCTTCGAATTTTCATTTAACATAATAGGCATTTTAAAGTATTTTTATTGGTTAGAATTTCATTGCATAGAATTTCCATTCAGATGAATTTTCATTTGTTCGAATTATTATTTGATATAATTTTCATATAACCGATTTTTCATACTACAGAATTTTTACGTAACCGAAAAAAATTATTTAACAGAATTTCTAATTGATAGAATTTTCATTTGTCCGAAATTTGCAAATGGCCGAACCAACAATCGACAGAAAGATTTGGGCGCGATTTTTAAAATCAACCAATCACAATTTTATGTATAATTTTTGATTGGTTGATTTTAAAAATCGCGCCAAAATCTTTTTGTCGATTGTTTGTTCGGTCATTTGCAAATTTCGGACAAATTAAAATTCCTATCAATTAGAAATTCTGTTAAATGATTTTTTTTCGATTATAAGTAAAAATTCTGTAGTATGAAAAATCGGTTATATGAAAATTATATCAAATAATAATTCGAACAAATGAAAATTCATCTGAATAAATAAAATGAAAATTCTATGCAATGAAATTCTACCCAATAAAAATTTTTTAAAATGCCTATTATGTTAAATGAAAATTTAAGCAAATAAAAATTCTGAAAAATAAAAATTCTGTAAAGTGAATTTTCGGTTATATAAAAATTCTGTAATATAGAAAATCATTTTGATGAAAATTCTGCAAAATATTAATTCGAACAAATAAAAATTCAGCTCAAAAAATAATTATGACAAATGAAATTATATAAAATGAAAATTCTAACTAATGATTTTTATAACATAATCATGCGTCCAATTTTTTATTTTCCTAATAAAAATATATGTTTGAAATAAAATTAATTATATTGGACTGAAGGAAAAAAAAAAATTTTTGTTTCTTTTTTTGATAAAATTTAGTAAATATAAATTTTCTTTTTAATGTATATACTTTCTTTTTTTTTGTCTGTAAATAAAGAAGAAAATTTTAAATATTCAGCCTCATATATATACAAGGAAAAATTATAGCATTATTGTTACATCATCTGATAACGAAAATATTTTGTCCCATCTGACGGTTGCTATGATTAATTTACAAAACCTCATTATAAGCATTTTCTAAACAACTGACAGTAAAAAAAATCTTATAAAAAAAATATATAAAAAGCCCTTTTGATATAGTACCTCAAAAATTAATTACATAAATTATATTTGTCTCAGAGCCAAATAAATTTTTAATTCTTCTAAATAAATTTTACTTATTTTAAATAAAATTTTTATTTGCCCTAAAAAAAATTTTATTTGTTCTAAATAAAATGTTATTTGTGCTGAATAAAAGTTTTTATTTAAAATAAATAAAATGTTATTTGACTCTGAGATAAATATATTTTTATTTGATTCAAATAAATTTTATTCATCTCAAATAAACGCAAATAAAATATTTTTCTGGATGTACTTTAGCTATTTATTTTTAAATATTATTATTATTATTATTATTATTTCTACAAACAAATTTTACAATTTACACACTTTTGTATTGTTATTGTTATTATTATTATTATTATTATTATTATTATTATTATTATTATTATTATCAAATATATATTTTACAAATTATTTAATTTACTTTATGATTCACTAGATGAATCAGTTTAGTTTCCTTAATGATAATAATAATAATTCTTATTATTTATATTAACATAAAATGGAATTTTTTTTAAAGATAATTTTAATAATGTAATTCAATAAACCAAGTGGAAAAATTATCGAATAAAATATTAGATATATATTTATCCATGAAAAATTAGCAAAAAAAAAAAAAAAAAAACCTGACTATTTCCTACAATTGTGAATAAAAACAAGAAATAGATATTTCCTTCTTATAAGAAGAAACATTGTTCTTAATACTATATTAAACTGGTTTATCTTGGTTTTGTCATTCAAGGAACGACATTGGAAAGTTTCCTTCTTTTTAATATATGAAAATAAGATTTAAAGTTTCACAAACGAAAAAAAAAAAAATTACAAATTTTCACAACTATTATTATTTTCTATATTTTTAAAAAAGTTATCATTTTTTTACAATTTTACGTAATCTTAGTAAAGTATTACTAAAAATGTTGAAATGCACGATATATCTATATAAAATTTCATTTGTTTATTTGTAAAAACTTTATAAATAAAATTTATTTGAATATTTATTTTTATCTTTTTGAGATAAATATATTTTTTTTCCTCTCTTGGTTGTAAGTTATTTAATAATTTAAAAAAAAAAAAATTCTATTTTATTTGAAAACTTTAGACTACAAAACTTTTATGTTCGATTGTACTTTCAGTAGTACAAGTACGAGTAAAGGCAGCCGTATGGAACACATAATATATAATATATTAGGAATATTATTAGAATTTTTAATTCCCTTATGTATAATTTTCTATTTTTTCAGTATATAAACAAAATTAAAAAAAATTAATTTTCCAAAAAGAAAAAATCTATATAAATTTAATTTCAAAAAACAATAATTAGTAAACAAAAAAATACAATAAAAAAAAAATTGTATTTTTATAATAAATTTTCATAAAATTTTCCTTCATTTTTTCCCCCTCAACTTGTAAGTTTTCTATTTTCCTTGACTTATATAAACTAAATACTTTCCCTCGATAATTTATTATAATAAATTCATACAAAAACTATTTTAAAAAAGCACAATTATACAATTAAACAAATTGTTTAATAAATTATTTACTAAAATTACAAACATACATTTGTGTTATATGCATTTTTAAATAAATAATAATAAATAATCAGTCAAGCATTACATTAAATTATGATTGAAGATAAATTTTATCAAGAATTTATATATAATAAAAATAATAATAATAATTTTGAAAATTAATTAACTTTTTAAAAATATTTATTTGATTTAAATAAAAAATTTTATTTACGCCAAATAAATAGGCTAGTAGGCTATGAGACAAATATACGTTTATTTAATTCAAATATATTATATTTGGTTCAAATAAAACATTTCTCTGGGTGTATTATAGAAATTATTTTATAAATTATGTATAATTGCAATGATTCTAGGAGTTATTTTTTTTTATAAATAGCCCAATGAGTCATTTTAAAATTTGGCATATTTAACATGAGGCCATTAAGGTCAATGATTTTAAAAAGAAAGTGCGCAAAGTCCTTTATTGAGAGTGAATTAAATGACAGATTCGTATTTATTTTCATATAACATATAATCAAATATCTACTTCTATTTAAAAAAAAAAAAAAAGTATTTGAATAAACGATTAATAAAAAAAATTTCCCTGTATTAATTTCAAATTTTTAAAATAAATTTTATTTTAATAATTTAATTTTAACAATAATAACAAAATATTATTAATTTAATAATTATTTAATTCGTTTAATTTAAATTTAATTGAAAATTTCAATTTAAAAACAAGTACATTTTTAAAAACACTAGTTACAGATGCATAGCGTTTTGTTGATACACTTCATTATCAAATAACAACAACTATACCAATTGGTTCATTTAATTCAATAATACGCTATTTAATGAATAATTAATTGAATTCTTTTATTGTTTTTATTACAATCGAAATGTATTGGAATAAAAAAAAAGTTCCAATAAAATAACAATAATGCTATAATTTTTCCAGCGACATTTCAAACATATATATTTCTTTTTAAAGACGAATAAAACTGTTTATCGCAAGAAAAGTAAAAAAAAAAAAAACTTATCCAAATTTTAATCATACAATTAATTAATAATTATTAATTAATTAATTATAAATAATAATTTAATAAAGTTCTAAAATCAAATTTTAACCGCATAAAGAACACACAAAATTAGATGAAAAGCGTTTAATAATAAAAGGTAATAATTAAAATTATTCCAATTAAGGTGCATGATTATTCCATAAAAAAACTAGTTTTTATGAATTTTCATGAATTTTATGAGATATAATTATTTTTTAGTACAATTTTCATTTTTTCGAATTAGCATTTGAGAGAGAATTTCTTTTTAAATTAATTTTTACTTAAAAGAATTTTTTAGGTATATCAAATTTTTTTCTTGAAAAATTTCTCTATACCTACTCAATTTTTAATTTAATTGAATTTTCATTCAATTGAATTTTTAAATGACAGAATTTCCAATTCACCAATTCTTAATCTGAATTTTTAATTGTTCAAATTTTCATTGAATAGAATTTTAAAAACGACGAATTTTCATTAGTCCGAAATTGTAAATGACCGAACAAAAAAATGGATAAAAAGATTTCGGCGCGATTTTTAAAATTTAACCAATCAGAAAAATTAAAATTCGTCAAAAAGATAATTATATCTAATAAAATTCTAACTACTAATATTTATATGGGATAAAATATTATAACTTATAATAATTGAAATTCACATTATTATTTGCTTTTAATAAACTGTGTAAAGTATAAAAAAAAAAATTTAGAGGTTATATTGTTTCAATGTCAAAATTGACGTTCGATATATCGATTGACTGTAAATGTTGATTGGTTCGTTCTTAAGGCATAAGTAATTTTTCCTACTACATTGACCAATCACGTTCTAGTAATTACGATACTATTTTTACATTACGGATAAATTCTCTCATTATTAGAATTGAGAAAAATTATAAGAAAATAAAAAGTACGTGATAATAATTTTTTTAAATATAAATAGTAGGCATAGATTAATATTCCCCACATTAGACCTGTTGGAATTTTTGTGGTGTCAAATTAAAAATTGTTGAATTTTTATTTAGCAGAATTTCATAAATATATAGATTTTATAATGAGCCGAACTTTTATATCGAAGAATTTCCATTTCTTATTTAACAAAACTGTTATTAACGAAAATTTTTATTTCAACTCATTTTTTATTTAACAGAAATTCTATTTAGCTGAATTTTGAAGTGAGAGAATTTCTATTTCATCGAAACTTCATTTGACCGAACTTTTACTTGTCCGAATTGCAACTGTTAAAACGTCGAATTTTCCATTTTTGTTAGAACTACTTTCACATTTCCGATCATACACACGGTTGAAACATTTTAGCGGAAGTTTTAAAATCCACCAATAAAAAATTATCAAGAAAATTATGATTAGTTGGTTTTAAAACTCCCGCTCGAATGTATCATCCCAGTAGGTGTATGATCTGATATGTGAAAGTTCTATCAAATGACAATTCGGACAAGTTAAATGAAGTTTCGGTGAAATAGAATTTTCTCTCAAAAAAATTCAGCTAAATAAAATTTTTCTTAAATGACAATTCTTTTAAATAAAAATTAATTCGAATAGAAATTTTCTTTAATAAAAATTCTTTTTTATGAAAATTTTGAAAAAATAATGTTAAAAAAGAAGACTGTATTGTTAAAAAAAATTCGATGTATTAAAAAATCTATGCTATACAAAAATTCTATTTAAATAGAAATTCGATTAAATCAGAATTTAGTTAATTTAGAAATTCTTCGATATATGAAAATTTGGCTCATTATAAAATCTACTTTACAAAATTCTACAAAATTCGATGATTTACAATTCGACATCACAAAAATTCCAACAGATCTATATGGAAAATATTAGTCCCAAAAAATGTTTAGAGTTTTGCATTTGTAATTTCAATTATTAATTAAATAAATAAAAAAAAAATTTCCGTAACATTAAATTTTTTACATAAACTTAATATTATAAAAAAAATTTACAATAATCATAATGATGATCATTTTTGATAAATGTGTACCTTTCCCCTAATTTCAAAATTATATTTCTTCTTATTTGACATTGAAATTATTATTATTATTATTATTTAAATACAATGAAAACGCGCAGATGTAAATGACAAATGTGACAATTCGTGAATCGTATATATAATATGTAAATTGGGAATGTGTGTATATATACGTTTTATACACGAGTACTGACAATAATTCGCAAATGATGAACGCGATTGAAGAAAGAAGGGGTAACCGGCGGCGCGGCCCCCAGACCAGTTCCTATATAAGTGAACAAACGGTCCATGAGTGTCAATAGCTTATAATATTCCGTGACATAAAAAACTTCCATTATTCGATCGCGTATCAATCATTAAACAAATATAATCAATTTTCGGATCAATAAAAAGAATAAAAAAAAGAACAACACTCGTCATCAATATATTGATGATTGCTTCTCTCACCAGCCTCTCATTCTATATTTATCGCAAAACATAATTTACGCGCGAATTACAAATTCTAAACAAAAATTTAAATTTAATTTTAAAATTAAAAAAATTTTAATTAACATTTAAAAGAAAAAATTTGATCAACATGAAGATTCTTTTACGAGCAGATACTCATGTGAACATTCAAATACCAATTAATGCGCCCAAGGCAAAATGCACTGTTTCTCAGGTAAAGTGCGAGGAAATTTTTTTTTTTTTTTTTTTCATTAATTTTCATAATGAAAATAATTTTTTTTTGGGGCTAAAGTTTTATAAATTTTTTAGGGCTAAATATACAAGATTATTGTTAGTGTGAATTAATATAAATCAAAAAAAAAAAAATAATAATAATAATAATAAGGGAGGTAATGTAATTGTATACGTTTTAATTTTTAGGTATTGGCAGCACTTTCAGTCTCTCTGGGATCGATGATTATTGGATTTTCAAGTTCATTTCCATCATTAGCCGTTGCTTCTATGCAAGATAATTCCACAAATACCCCTTTTGAAGTTACTGACGAAATTGTAAGTAGTAATGATTAGTACAAATTTTAAATTTAATTTATTTTTATTTATTATTAATTTAATTTAATGGAAAAAAACATTTAAAAAAATGAAACCTTATATTTTAATGTATTGAAAATACTATATTTTTTTATATTACACTGAAAAAAAATTATTCGATTCAAATAATCGGTTACTTGACTATTATATCAAATAAATATTCTTTCATATAATTATTATTATTATTATTATTATTATTATTATTATTATTAATTACTAAATATTCAATAAATATATAAAGAAAATACAAAAAAAAAGTAAAGTACAAATAAGAAAAAAAAAATGTTCCCTTGAAGCAAATAATTTTTATTTGAATGAAATAAATTGTACTTGAACCAATAATTTCTGTATTTGAAACAAAAACCATTTAATTGACTCAAATAATATAATTATAAATAAATATTTATTTGATAATAGTCAAGTAACAAAATAATGTATTTGAATCAAATAAATTTATTTCAGTACATTTTGTTGCTATAAATATTGTTTCAATAAAAAATTTGAGAAATATTTCTAATTTCAACTATAAAACAATATTTAAGAAAAAATACGAAGCTGAAGTACGCAACGTTTATGATAAACGATTTTTAAAGAAATAATTTTTTAAAATGAAAAATTCTATAATTTTTTGCCTAAAAAATATTTCTTTATAATTTTTTGATTAATGAATACTACAAGAAATATTTTTTAGGCAAAAAATTATAGAATTTTTCATTTTAAAAAATTATTACTTTAAAAATCGTTTATCATATACGTTGCGTACTTCAGCTTCGTAAAAAATTCTAAAATTTTAAATTGTAGAAAACGTAATTTAAAATGAATTTTTAGAAAATACATAAGACAATGATTTTTTTATTTATTTTTTGACGTCATTCTGTGTCCCTTTGCTTATATGATTCTAAAGCTAAATAGAAATTTAAGCGTCACATTCTGACAACAATAAAAATCATTTGACGTTCATAACTCAATAAAAATGTTTTAAGGCAAAATCAAATGTATTTTCAATAACTTCTATCAATCTCTTACAATTACGATCAATAAAATCAATTAAATCTTTAAATGCTAATATTTTAAAATTATTGCAAATTCAAATTTAATAATTTTGCTTTTGAAAACAATATTCGAAAACAAGATATAAAAATGATGATATCGATCATTTATACTCTCTAAATCTGAATTAGTAAAAATGTTTACTAATTTAAATTAGTGACTCACTTCTTGCTTCTGAATTAGTAAAATTTTACTAATTATTAGTAACTTTTACTAACAATTAGTAAAATTTAACTAATTCTAAAGCAAAAAGTGAGTCACTAATTTAAATTAGTAAACATTTTTACTAATTCAGATTTAGAGAGTAGTTCGTATTTTTTATATACCTCAACTAAAATTTAGAAAAATTCAAGTTATTTTTTTTTTTTTTATAAGGTGAAGCTAAAAAATTTAGTTGAGACAACTAAACTATTTGAATCCAATGACTTGGACGTTTTGCTATTAAATTCTACCTGAAAATTTGAAGAAAATTTCTGTCATATCTCACAGGATGTTATATATTGCATATATGATAGAATATTAAACGAGATATGAAGACATAATAGAATAAGCTCAATGGATCTTGTACTCAATACTATATTTAGTTCTTTTAAGGCAACTTCCTTCCTATCAAAAGACGTACATTATAGTACTCTATACTTCTTTGAGAGAAAAGAATTTGTTAAACTGAAAAAAAAAAATTTACTTAATTCAAAAATAATCAGTTACTTGACTATATAATTATCAAATAAATATTTACTTGAACCAAATAATTTCTATTTGAATTAAATAAATTGTATTTGAACCAAATATAATTTTCTTTATTTGAAATAAATACCATTTAATTGACTCAAATAAAAATTATTTGGTTCAAGTAACCAATTATTTGAATCAAATAAATTTTTTTTTTTTCAGTATAAAATTTTGTATAATAATACCTATAATTAATTAATAGAATAATAATAAATATAAAAAAAAAAATTATTAATTGACAAAAAATTTTTTTTAATTAATATAAAAATATTAATAATTAATTAATTATGAAAATTTATTTGTCTATTGTTACAATTAGTATAAAGTTCTAAACGTTAAAATTTGATGAGAATTTTTTTTTAAAATGAAATTTTAATAATTTAAAAAAAAGTATATCTTTATATTTATTATTATTATTATTATTTTTATATTTTTTATATTAAAAAATGCTACAACAATTTTTATCATCAGAATCGATCAAAAAAAATTAATAATTTAAACAATGGGGAAATGAAAGGAATAAATGATCAGACATCATGGTCATTTTAATGTGTAAAATTCAAAGAAATCTATAATATTTATGTGATAAGAATTTTCCCGTATATAAATTAAGAGATGAGTAGTTCATCAATTATGGAAGTGAGGATTCATCAATAGGAAGGAAGTTTTCTTATGTTTCTTTTTTTTTTTTTTTTCTAAAGGTCTGTTTTGATATTTTGCACTTTTTGGCATATATAGCACTGAACAGAAGGTCTCAACACTTTTGCTATATAAATGACAATGAATTAAAGTTGAAATAAATACGTGACAAAAATAATAATATTACTTATGGAAAGGGCCGAGATTTATAAAAGTTATAAAATTCTTTATATGTCTTTATATTATAGCGGCAATGAACTTTATCTCGCGCAAATCAAAGAGTCAGTTCACGTATATACAATATATTGAATATACGACAAGAATACGATGAACGAGGACGTTTTATTTTCCAATTGCAATATATATATATGTATCTCAATTGAAAAATTTACAACATTATTGTCAAAAAAATTCATTTTATTTGATAAACGCGTAAAAATATCCAAAAAGTAAATTTTTATAAATAATTCTCGATAAATTTGAATTAGTGAAAATTTTTACTAATTTTTAGTCATTTTTCATTAAAACTTAATTTTTAAAAAAAATTATTACTAAAATATTTAGTAATATTTTACTAAAAAATAGTGAAAAGTTCAAATAATTTTTAGTCATTTTTACTAAATCTTTAGTAAAAAAAAAAAAAAAAATTATTACTAAAATATTTAGTAATATTTTTATAAAAATTCGTAAAAATTTCTACTAATTTTTATTATATTTTTCTCTAGTAAAACCTTAGTAAAAAAATATTACTAAATTTTATAATAATATTTAGTAATATTTTACTAAAAAGTAGTGAAAAGAATTCTACTAATTTTTAGTCATTTTTTACTAAAAACTTCTTTAAAAAATATTACTAAAATATTTAAGAATATTTTACAAAAAAAAAAAAGTAGTGAAAAAAGTTCAATTAATTTTTAGTCATTTTTACTAAACCTTTAGTACAAAAAAATTATTACTAAAATATTATAAGTAACATTTTTTAAAACATATAGTAAAAATTCCTAATTTTTAGTCACTTTTTACTACAACGTTAATAAAAAAAATATTACCTAAATATTTAGTAATATTTTACAAAAATCTGAGTTACAAAATAATCAATAAATTATTTAGTAATATTTATATTATTTAAAATTTGTATTCAGTAATATTTTTATAAAAATTAGTGGAAATTTTTACTAATTTGAATTTTTTACGAAATTAGTAATTTTTTAAAATAATTGTTAAGAAAAAAAAAATCTAAACTATTTTATGACCCAAATATTTTGAATCTCTAATAAAAAAAATTAATTTTCAATTCTTTAAAATTATTTTAATTTTTAATTTTCAATTTTACAGGAATCATGGATTGGTTCTATTATGCCACTAAGTGCACTAATTGGAGGAATTGCTGGAGGTCCTTGCATTGAATATCTTGGAAGGAGGAATACAATTCTCATGACTGCCTTCCCATTCATTGCATGTAAGCATCCAATTAATTCAAATTATCACTTTTCCCATTTTTGGCATCCACTAATGGGCAATTTTTATTTTTTAAAATAACACAATTACGGAAATAATTTAGCGTCAATTTTTTTTTTTTTTTTTTTTTTGTTTGTTTAATCATACATAATTGACATATGCCTCTATAGGTTTTAGAATATGTATTATTTATATGTCGTATTTATGACACATTTATTAATTAAGGAGTACGCTAAACACTTCAACCCATTGACATAAACTCAAACTAAAAAGTTATTTTTAAAAACAAATAAAATTATAATTAAAAAAAAATTGATTTCATTAAATTTTGAAAGATTGTACAATTTTCAAAAAAAAAAAAAATTTAACCAAAATAATAATAAACAAATTATATAAATAATAATTAATAATAATAATAATAATAAAATTATTTTTAAAAAAAATTATTATTTAAGATTTTGTGTTAAAATTAAAATTCAGAGATCTCAAAATTGATTTTATCAAATTTGGAAAGATTAAGTTGTACGATTTTCAAAGAAAAAAATTATTTAGCAACAAATTTGTTGTTAAATAATTATTAATTAACATTTTGTGTTTAAACTAATTATTATTATTATTATTATTGTTATTATTCAATTTTAATAATAATAATAATAATTAGTTTTAACACAAAATGTTAAATAATTATTATTTAACAACAAATTTGGCGCTAAATAATTTTTTTTTATTTTTATTATTATTATTATTATTATTAAAATTAAATAATAATAATAATAATTATAATAGGTAATAATAATAATTTCCCTGACTTGTGGCTAACCAATAATTATTACCTATTGTAGTTTTATTTAGTGACAAAACTAATTTTTAGTTTGAGGTTATGTTAATAGGTCGAACAGCCTTAATTCAAGGTTAAAAAAATTTTGAAACTTTAATTCAACATTTTTTAGCAACGTCTAAGCAAAAAAATTGATTTTAAAAAATTGAATTTTAAAATTAAAATTTTACAATAATAATAATAACAATAATAATTTTTGGTAATAATTATTAAATAAATATATAATTTCAGCTGGACTATTAATTGGACTATCGCAAAATGTCCCACAAGTTCTGCTGGGCAGAGCCGTGTGTGGGTTTAGTGTTGGAATTGCTTCTCTATCATTGCCTGTTTATCTTGGAGAAACAATTCAACCTGAAGTGCGAGGAACTCTTGGAATATTGCCAACATCTTTGGGTAATATGGGTAAGTCATCTATCATTTCTCTAAATTTCAACATTTTAATTACTATAAAAAATCTAATTTTCAAAAATTAAGACTCATATGAACATTATCTATATGAAACGTATTAATTTGAAATTATTATTTTGTTTGTTTTTACGCAAAAAGAAATTTTTTTTTTCACTATTTGTAATTTACATTATGTATTTATAATTTTTTCATAAAAAATTGTTTTCTCAAAAAATTTTTAAACTATTTTTTCAACTGAAATTTTTTTTTGTTCAAAATTTAAAAAAATATTCAGTTTTGAAAAGTCGAATTTTATTCCAGGATGTTAAAAATTTATGGAGTTTTTTTTTTAAGAAATATTTCATTCTTTTAGAAATTTGAAAAAAAAAATTTCCACAAAAAAAAATAATATTGAATAATAATTGAATATTTTTTTTCAGGAATATTACTTTGCTTTGTGGCTGGAGCTTACTTAAATTGGCGTAATCTTGCATATTTGGGAGGAATATTGTCGATTCCATTTTTACTTATGACTTTAACAATTCCTGAAACACCAAGATGGTATGTTTCCAAGGGAAAAACGAAGAAAGCACAAAAAGCATTACAATGGTTCCGTGGAAAAAATACTGACATTACTGAAGAAATGACAGCTGTTGAAAAAGCACATATTGACAGTGAACAACAAGATTCTGAAAGTTCATTCACTGAACTTTTCCGCGGTACAAATTTTAAACCTTTTCTCATTTCAATTGGCCTCATGTTATTTCAACAATTATCTGGAATCAATGCCGTCGTTTTTTATGCCGTCAAGATTTTTGAGGTAAATAAAAATCAAAATAAATTTAAAAATATTTCATTCTTTAAATATATATATACATATATAAAATGAAATAATTTTTTATTATTTGTGCTATTCTATGAGTTTTTTAGCACTTTTCGGAGTAACATTTCCAAATTAAATGTAACATTTTTTTTTAATAATATTTATTAATATAAACGTCCAAAATAATCACTTTTTAAATAAAAACAATTGTTTATTTAAAAAATACAACAATAAATAATGAAAAAAATTAACTTTTTTTCTGCAATATCAAATAAATTGGTTTAAAGATCAAAATTTTCCTTATTTTACAAGCTTTAATACCGCACAAGAAAAATAATGTATTTCAAAATAGTTAACTCACAATTTATTAAACAACACAGTAAACTTGGTTGTATCTTTTTCTATTGCAACGTTTCGATGCACATAAGTTATATTAAAAAGAGATCGTTTTGTGTATCATTTTTAGAAATGATACACGAAACAGTCTCATTTTTTGATGCAAAAAATTTAATCAATTTATATCAATCATGGCCGAATTGAATCGACTCAAAATTAAACGAATTTTTTTCAGATATTTTGGTAATAGTACAATTGCGGAGACCATTTCACTATTTAATTTGAAAATGAAAATAACAGAAAATCAAAGACAATGTGCAATTCGATAATTAAAAAGTGACAGCTTATAAACATAACCTAAAATGCATGAGAAAAAATTTGTCGATAAAATCAATATAGCCGAGCTTTTTAGAAGGTAGATGGCAGCACTCATCTATTTTCTTTCTTTAAATTTTTTCTGAATCGTTTTTATAAAAAGCAAAACTGCCATCTACCTTCTAAAAAGCTCGGCTATATTGATTTTATCGACAAATTTTTTCTCATGCATTTTAGGTTATGTTTATAAGCTGTCACTTTTTAATTATCGAATTGCACATTGTCTTTGATTTTCTGTTATTTTCATTTTCAAATTAAATAGTGAAATGGTCTCCGCAATTGTACTATTACCAAAATATCTGAAAAAAATTCGTTTAATTTTGAGTCGATTCAATTCGGCCATGATTGATATAAATTGATTAAATTTTTTGCATCAAAAAATGAGACCGTTTCGTGTATCATTTCTAAAAATGATACACAAAACGATCTCTTTTTGATATAACTTATGTGCATCAAAACGTTGCAATAGAAAAAGATACAACCAAGTTTACTGTGCTCTCGTTATTGAGCAGAAGCTCATTACACTAGCGCAGTAGAAAGCATGTTGTGCGAAAAGTGAGGTTTTTCATCCTTCAAAAATGTTTTTTTATGATTTTTTACTCCAAAGTAGATAATTAAAAATCATTAAATGTGATAACCAGAAATGTTTACGTTTCGTTTAATGACAACATAACCTCACTTTTCACACAACATGCTTTCTATTCTACTACGCTAGTGTAATGAGCTTCTGCTCAATAACGAGAGCGACAACTTCCGAACGTCGCGCGCAACTATAGCAGACGTTTCACAATAAATAAAATACAAAAAAGAAAACAAACATTGTTTAATAAATTGTGAGTTAACTATTTTGTTATACATTATTTTTCTTGTGCGGTATTAAAGCTTAAAAAATAACGAAAATTTTGATCTTTAAACCAATTTATTTGATGTTGCAGAAAAAAAGTTAATTTTTTTCATTATTTATTGTTGTATTTTTTAAATAAACAATTGTTTTTATTTAAAAAGTAATTATTTTGGACCTTTACAAATAATATTAAATAATATTAATATTAATAATATTAAAAAAATGTTTCATTTAATTTGGAAAGGTTACTCCGAAAAGTGCTAAAAAAAACTCATGGAATGGCACATTTATTTGTTTTTTTTTTAAGTAGAAATAAGTTTTTGGAATTTTATTAATATTATATATATATATATATAGTTTCAGAATTTCTCAAACTCCTAAAATTAAAAAATTAAATTTTCAATGTTAAATGATTTTTTTTAATTTTCTTTTTTATTCCCACTGTGATCAAAATAAGTTTCTGAATGTATTAAAACACGAAGCTGAAGTACGCAACGTTTATGATAAACAATTTTTAAAGAAATAATTTTTTAAAATAAAAAATTATAGAATTTTTCATTTTTAAATAATTATTTCTTTAAAAATCGTTTATCATAAACGTTGCGTACTTCAGCTTCGTATTAAAACAAAAAATTGTTTGTTAAAGTTATAAATAATTTAAGTTTTAATTAAAAAATTTTTTTCTAGATCAAGTTGACAAATTTAAAAACAAAAAAATTTTAAACAAAAATTATTGTTTAATACCACATTCCAAGACGAGAAGAATCTATTTTTTTGTTTTTAAATTTGTCCACTAGATTTCGGGAATTTTTTTTTCTTCAAGACAGGTAAAAATTTCAATTGTTTATAACTTTAACAAAAAAAAAAAAAAATTTTTTGCTCTGATATTTTTAGAAACTTATTTTGATTATAGTAGAAATAAAAAAATTAACATTACTTTTTGAAAATTTTAAATCAGGGCTGCAATTATTTTGAAAATAATTTTGAAAACACAACTATTTAAATTATTTGTTTAGAAATCTTTATATTAATTCAAAAACTATTATAAATAATTAAAAGAAAAAATTAAAAAACATAATTATTAAAATTAAAACGATTAAAAACGTATTATTTAATTTATTTGAATAATTTTACTATTATTACAAAATTATTAAAGTTGCAAAAATCAAAACATTTAAAAAAAAAAAAAATTTTGTTTATATTTTTAATTAAAATTTTTTAATATCAAATCCAATATTTTATGTACCTCAAGTTCTGAACGTTCAAATGAACGAAAAATAATTTTTTTGGTCTACAAAAATTTTTTAAGAATGAATAAATGAAAAATAAAAAAGTACAATAATTTATTTATTTTTGGATAATGTTTTTTGTATCAAAAAAAAAATTTATAATTTACTTTTTTACAATTACTTTAGTAAATTTTGTAAAAATTTATAGATAAAAAAAAGTATTTCATTTAAACGTTTAGAATTTCAGGCAAATAATTTTTTTAAATTAAAATAAAAAAAAAAAAAAAACGTCAGTTGATTTCACAACGTTTGTGATTAACAATAAAAAATAAAAAACTATTTTTCTTGAAAAAAAAAATAAAATTTGCTTAAAAATATTTGTTTTAAAAATTAATTGATCTAGAAACGTTATATAAATTTTTTTAGACAAAAAATTATAATAATTCGTATAGAAAAATAATTTTTCTCTCTAATTCGTTGATTATAAACATTGTGAAAATCATGATTTTTATCAGCCCTGGATATAATTATATGGCCTAAATCTTTATAATATATAATATTAATTTTTGTATCAAATTTTTTTTGAATTTATTAATATTTTTTTTTTCAATAACTAAAATTTTTTGAATTTACCAAAATAATGAAATATTATTTAATACTTATATATATTTACAGGATGCAGGCAGTACAGTTGACAAAAATTTATCAGCAATAATTTTGGGAATAGTAAACTTTTTAGCAACATTCATTGCAACTGGTCTAATTGATCGGACAGGTCGTAAAATTCTCCTCTACATTAGCGCAATTTTAATGACAATTACTCTATTCGCCCTTGGCGCATTCTTCTATTTTAAATTACGCAATTATGAAGTGACAGCATACGGTTGGATACCATTGACAAGCATGATTATTTATATGATTGGATTCTCCTTGGGTTTAGGACCAATTCCATGGTTAATGATGGGTGAAATTTTACCAGCAAAAATACGTGGCTCAGCGGCAAGTGTTGTCACAAGTTTCAATTTTTTTTGTACATTTGCCGTGACAAAAACATTTACCGATGTGACAAATCTTTGCGGTGAAGATGGAGCATTTTGTATATTTGGATTTATTTGTATAATTTCATTGATATTTGTAAAGACATGCGTACCAGAAACACAAGGCAGGTCCTTGGAGGAAATTGAAAAAGGTCTCACTGGAAGATCAAGAAGAATGAGCGCTGTCGCCAATATGAAACCAGCGCCAACAGCGTGCTAAGTATAAATTAGTCATAAAAATAATAATTTTTTTTTTTTTTTTTTTGTAATATATAAATATAAGAATTTTAATTATTATTTTATTTACATCGGTGAAGTTTACAACGTTTATCATCAACGATTGTAAAAAAGAAAAACAATTTTCTAAAAATAAAAACTAATAATTGTCTAAAAATTTTTTTTGCAAAAAAAAATTGTTGATCAAAAAATGTTGTAAAAAATTTTTTAGACAAAAAATAATAATAATTTGATTAGAAAAATAGTTTATTTTATAAATCGTTGTAAACTTCATCGATGTATTTTATATAAACAAAAAAACAAAAAAGAAACGCGATGCGTTTTATCGAACCAAGATTGCTGGACTCAGCTCGTTTAAGAGCTACGATAGGAAGAAGAATTATCACTATAATTATTTATACCTGATGTCATAAATCGAGCACCAGTTTTGCCTTTATATAGTGTAAAAATATTTTTTTTTACCCAAAAAAAAAAAAAATTTCCGAAATTACAAAAATAACAGTGATAATGCTCTCTTTTCGCGCAAACTTTTCTCTTATTGGGAAAAAAAAAAATGAAATAATCATAAATTCTTGGCAAAAATGAAAATTCACATTCTTCCACTTGTCCCTTGAGTTTCTCAAACAAAAATTAGTCTTCCTCAATTTATTTTCTCTTTTTTTTTTATTTATCGTTTAATTTTTTTTTTTACAAAATCAAATTTAACTTCTGTGGAAAAAAAAATGTCGACCTATTAAAACTGAATTTTTTTTACGCCGATGAATCAACGATTGAAAAAATAATTACATTTTTTGCCTAGAAATTATTATCGTTTAAAAATTTTGTTGATCTAAAAAAAAAGTTAAAAAAAAATTAAAACTAAAAATTCATTTATTAATATAATTTAATTATTTTTATTATGTTAAAAATTTGCATTGAAACAATATTTTTTCTTCTAAATTGTTAATCATAAACGTTGTCAATTTTTTCTTCAATTTAGAAGAAAAAATATTTTTCTATACAAATTATTACATTTTTTTTTTGTTTCTCGATCGACTAATTTTTAAAAGAAAAATTTGTAAGCAAAAAATTTTTTTATTTTCCACTTGAAAAATATTTTTTATTTTTTAGTCATTTTAAAATGTAAACTTCAACGTCGTAATTATTTTTACTTTTAAACTAAAAGAAAATCAGTTTAAAAATTAGTTTCAAACATTTTTTTTTATGAAAAAATTAACGCAAATGTGAAATATTGAAAAAAATTCTTCTGCATGAATTAATAATAGTAAAAAAATAATTCTGGCACTAATTTTTCGTTTAAGAAGAAAAATTTCAATTTCAATTTAATTAAATAATAACACAAAAGAAACTTATAGGGGCAGGAAGAATTTTCTCCTTATGCAAAAAATCGCATCTATTTTTTATACAGATTTTGAAGAGGAAAAAAAGAAATATAAACGAATTTAGTAATTTCCATGAGATTCCAAACAAGTGCCTAACCAAATTGGTATTTTTAAATTAAATATTCAATTTTATTTTTCCAATATAAATAACTTTCATGAAGTTGGCTTCGACGTTCAGCGTTGAAAATTGTTTTTCACGGGACCAAAAATATCAAATAATTTTTTTAAAAAAAAAGGTCTTGGATCCACATAATACCTTGAAAAATATTTCTCTAGGCATTCTTTGGACCGAAAATCTTAAGAAAAAATAATTTCACATTTTTGGTACTATAAAAAATAATTTTCGGCGCTGAGAGTCGACGCCAACTTCATGGGAGGTTATAAATAACCAAACTCAAGTATACGAACAATTATCTAATTTTTCGAATATTGTATATAAATTTAGAGATTTTATCAAACTTAAATTGTCAAATAATTTGCGCAATAAGTCATAAATGACAAGTGCATTAAAATGACTTTTTTTTATTATTATTATTTTTTTTTTTTTTTTTTTTTAACAAGAATATTTGTGATAAGCAAGTTTGTAGAATTTTTCAATATTTCCGATAATTCACAACATTGACATGCATGATAATTTTTTTTTTTTTTTAAATATAGAAAAAAAATAATAAAAAGATGCGACATTTATCGGAAATATTATAGAAGAATTTTTGCAATATTTGTGATAAATGAAATGGGATATGAATAATACTGGTGAAAAAAAAAAAAAATTTTTTTTTGCCAGTTTGTGCTCATTTTGCTCATATATAATTGTCTATTTCTCATTTATACTTTTTATGTATTTATAGAAGTTAATAGGAAAATAATAATTTAAAAAAAAATGTAGTGGTTTAAAAAAAAAACTGTGAAAAGAGGAGAATCTCTTGAATTTGAAGGCAAAAGGGAATTTTTTAGTAATTGCTGTTGACTAGATGTATAACTTCTGTTATTGTTTTATTTTTAATTTTTTTTGACAATTCTACAGAGTCTACCTCAAGCCAATGAGAAAATAGAGAGAAAAAGAAAGATTATGATAAAAAAAAATCATGTTTACGAAGACTTGGTGCTACGAAATATGTTTTAATTATTATATTGTAAATAGACAGAGGCTTGTCTGTTTTTAAATCATATATTGATCACAGATACATTGTAAATATTAAATTAGTCAAGGTTTCATAGATTTTAAGAAAAAAAAAAAAAACAAAATACAAATGTCTTCTATATTTTATTATTTTTTTTATAGAAACGTGTTTGTGAAATATGAAGTGTACCTAGTGAAATTAAGCTTTAGAGCCAGTCCGGTAATTTTAAGAGAATTTTTTTTATTTTTAAACTTGAAGCTTTAGAATTTAAAAAAATAACATTGGTTAAGTTCACGTTTATGATCAACAAAAGAAAAAAGAAAAAATTCTTTCGTATGAAAAATAGAAAAATTTTTGCCTACAAATTATTTTCTTTTAAAAATTATTAATCAAGAAGCACAAAAATCTTTTCTGGTAGAAAAATTATAATAATTTGCATAAAAAAAATATTTTTTCTTCTAAATTGTTGATCATAAACATTTGTGAATTTTACCGTTGTAAAGATTGAAAATTTTGTCATGATATGTGCATGATTTTAAAAAATTTTAACCCTTTACTGAATCTAATACAAAACAAAAAAATACAAAATGCACAATTATCAATCAGTGAAAAATAATGTATGTATGTACTTAATTTTTAGATTCCTCATTGTACTTTATTTGTAACGATTAAAGAATGTGTGTTTGTGTGAGCCTATTTTATTTAAGACAAATCTCATTAGTTATAAAAAAAAAAAAAATTAATTGCGTGATATTCGATAATGTTAATATTCTTAATATTATTTACATTTTAATGATTTAGAAATGGATATTTTTTAAAGAAAACTTAATTAAATGCTTTGAGAGCAATTGTTTATTGTCACAAAACTGATTATGAATTTGATGTTTTGAACATTATAAAATGCAGGATTTTATTTCTAGACTTATTTATTTGTGAATTTATTAAAAAAAAAAAAAAAAAAAAGTAAAAGAATTGTGTAAAAATTACTATTTATAAATATTAACATGTTAATTGTACTTTCAATTTTTAAATATTTTAAATTCTGATTGTTAAATTCAGTTAAATCATTTTTTTTTTAATGACAAACATTGTATATTGACGATTGTCAACACAGATACTGGTAATCTGTTTATGAAATGTTATTATTTTGTGACAATAGAATAATTTAAATCAAAATTGTTTTTGAAATCTTATTTTTAATGTACCCTTTCCTTCTTTTTTTTACAGAAAATATGTTGTTATTTAAACAATTCCATTATAATTTTCCCTGACATTTCCTTGTCTTTCAGACAATATTTTTGTTTTTCTCTAAAATTTTTAAATTTTATTCTTTTTTTTATTAAATATAAATTCTATTTTTTAAAAATTGTGATAAATTGTTAGTTTAAAATCTTTTAAAAAATTACAAAGCTGAAGTACGTAACGTTTATGATAAACGATTTTTAAAGAAATAATTATTTAAAAATGAAAAATTCTATAATTTTTTGTCTAAATAATATTTTTTTATAATTTGTTGAACTACAAGAAATATTTTTTTGGGCAAAAAATTATAGAATTTTTCATTTTAAAAAATTATTTTTTAAAAAATCGTTTATCATAAACGTTACGTACTTCAGCTTTCATTAAAAATATTGAAAAATTCAAAACTTTTAATTGCAACTCTTTCAATATTGAATTATTTCTATTAAATATTAATATTAATTAAATATCTATATAAAATTATGTTATTTATAAAAAAAAATTATCTAAAACTCTATGCAAATTTTATCAATTTCAAAAAATTCAATAAAAATCTTCAATAATTTAATTATTTAAACAATTTAATTAAAATAATTGCTACACGAAGAAAAAAGATTTCTTTTATAAAGTAACTTTTACTACTTTCAGAGTAAAACTGGACCAACTCGAAGTTTCTGCGCATCTCTGGCAATTTTTACTCCAAAAATAGTAAAATTTACTCTAGAAATAGTAAAACTTACTACGGAAACAGTAAAATTTACTACAGAAATAATAAATTTTACTATTTTTGGAGTAAAAATTGCCAGAGATGCGCAGAAACTTCGAGTTGGTCCAGTTTTACTCTGAAAGTAGTAAAAATTACTTTTTCTTTTTCTCCGTGTATTAAGACATTAATTTTAATGTCAAAAAAATTAATTTTTGTGTAAAAAAATTATATTATAAATTTTTTAAAAATTTCATTTTATTATTAAAAACTTTGATTGCAACTTTTTCAGATATAAATTATTTCCAAATATCGTAATTAAATTTGTACAACAAATTTTTACCTTTAAAGTTTTTTATACTTTTAAATATTTAAGCTTTCTTTCGACATAGATTTTGTCATAATCGGAGATAACGTGTTTTGAGATATTTAGAACTTTAATCTTCAAAATTTTTTTTGTAATAATTAAAAATTTTTTTAAAAAACATTTTTTACAATAATAAAGTTCAGAAATTTCTCTTTCGAAACTTCTCATTGCAAAAGTAATTTGATTTAATTAAATAGGAGAAATAATTATTTAAAAATTGTCTTATTATATTGTCAATTGTTAACTAGGGGTATAATTTTAAAATAGAATGCCCCAATAGTAAGAATCGATATAAAAAGTGAAAGAATAATTTTTTTTTATTGTATCCGTCAATTAATTACTATTTTATAAATAAATATACAAAAATAGAAACTAAACCTGTTTTTTTCATTCATATTTATAAAAAAAAAAATAATAAACAAACCTCAATGATATTATATTGACATCAGAACAAAAAACATTTAACATTACTATTTAATTCCTCATTTTCCGTATTGCGACTTTTAATAAATGATTCAAACTATCAAGAATGTAAAGTATTTGTAAACAATCATAACTTTGTAAATATCAATTTCCGCTTTTTATCACAAAAAAATAATGTTATCAAAACGGATAAATTTTATAAAAATTTTATCTTTTACCAATCATTTTTTAATTTATACACAGATATATACACGTTGTTTTTTCAAAGAATAGTTTATATGCATCATAAATAGAAATAACAATAATCGTATTATATATATATATAGAAAATAACATTCAATATTTAGAGGTTATGTTACTCACCCATTACTTGAACTCTGCAAATTGCACAAGTATCGCACTCAACATCCCAGCTCCACATGGCTACTGCATTCCATTTTTTCAATGTAAATAATTTGTCAGATTTTACATTATCACCGTCTCCACGTTCAGAATTCTCTTGTTCAGCATCAGCCATTTTTATTTGTTCTGATTAAAACTTTTCTTTTAACTGTTGTCAGAATTAATTTTGCCTTTTTACAATTGGCATTTCACAATTTCAATAATCTTCTCAAAATTTGTAAATAAACAACAAGTTTGAACACAATAAACACTTTTTTTCTATTTATGAACAGGGTTGGGATGTGAATTACTACGTAAAGTTGAATTCATTGGACAAAAGTTGCAACAATGAAGCTGCTTCTACAATTACTTTCATTAAAGGTGCTTTTATGGAGGTTCTACAATAGGTGCAAAAGCCAACTACAAGTGCAAGTCCAAATGCAAATTCCATGCGTGCAAGTGAGATAGATAGACTACCTATCCCCTTCGCACTTATGAAATTGCCACTTGGACTTGGACTTGTACTTGGCTTTTGCACCAATTCTGGTACCACCTTTATACCTCCAATATTTTGATCAAGCAATCGGCAGGATTGAATTTTCATGGAGAATCACTGAATTTGATTGGCTCTAAAAATATTCAATTTTCACGGTGGAAATGGAATATTAGTCAGAGCCAATCGAATTCAGTGATACAACCATGAAAATTCAATCCAGCCGATTGCTTGACCAAAATACTGGAGGTATTAGGCATTTTACCTTGTAACGTCAGAGGCTGATGACGTCGAAGCCTGGAGGGACAACAAACGAAAAAAAACAATAAAGAACTGTCAAACAAGTGATTTTGAGGTTAAGTTTTTGAAGTTTTCAACGTTACCAACTGTAGATGGACTATAGTAAAATTATTTGTTGTCCCTCCAGGCTGATCGGGCAGCCATATTTGAAAGTGAAATACCTAATATAAAAGCACCTTAAGGAGCCTCTAGTATATTGGTCTATTCGGCATATTGAATTTTCACGGTCGTGTCACTTAATTTGATTGGCTATACTAAAGTTTCCATTTTCACAGTAAAATTAAACTCAATCAAAACAAACAAATCTTAAGCTATTTATATATAACTTATAGTTATAAATTTTATAAATTTATTTATTTAATTATTATACGTAGAAAACCTCCAGAAAAGCACTTTCATCCATCTCTGCTGGTTGGTTTTTAGGCTGCAGTCCCATGGCAGCGTTTTGCGTTGCATTTTGTCACTAGACCCTGAGTGTAAACATAGCAAACATATATCTGCATCTCTTTTACACTCAGGGTCTAGTGACAAAACGCAATGCAAAACGCTGCCATGAGACTGCAGCCTCATTGTCACCACTCGACATTTGTCATAATTCTCGTCAACTACCGCACCCTGTTCTAGTAAAAATTTAATAACTTTATAGTAATTTTTAATTTTAACAATAAAGTCAGTAAATTTTTACTAGAGCAGGGTACGGTAGTTGAATAGAATTATGACAAATGACCAGTGGGGACAATGGAAACCAAACAAATGGACCAAAAATGGCTAACTAAAGCATGTACAAAATGAAAAATAGTTAAACGTAATTGGGATCAGAAATCACGCGACACTGACCCACCCCTTAGCCTTCTTGTGACAACCATTTTGGTTTTTTATCTCTTTCTTTTTCATATATTAAAGAAAGACGTAATGAAAACATGGCCACCACAACAAGGCTCTCACCAGATGGCGTATCGCAGTATTTCAGATCCCAATAATAGAAAGTTAAAAAAATTGATAACATTTTAAACATAAAAATTTTAATTGCAAACTAAATGTAAACAAAACTCATTGCAGCAAAAGAAAAATAATAAATAATAAAACTTCAATTATGATTGGCGGTCTAGTGACTTTTACATACTTCGTCAGACATTTTGGTTTTTATTTCTCTTTCTATCGTGTTAATAAAAAAAAAATTAATTTTTTTACGTATGTTACCACTATTGCGTAACTCCCTCAGAAAAGTGTCACATTTCAGACGCTCATCCGTATAAAATCATACCTTTATTTATAACTTCTCAACCCTGATCATCAACAGCGAAATCTGGCGACGGAATTAATTATTAAAAAAATAAAATTGGCAGCAATGCTAATTGAAGTTTGTTGAATTTGATTGTTTTTTCAATTTATTGTAAAGGTGCATTCATATATTACTGAAAATGAAATTCTCAGTACGTGTGCGCTAAGCTGAACTGTCAAATACTTTTCCTAACCTATATAAGTCTCCTTTCTATTCTCATGTAATGTAATCATAGATTGTCATATGAATGAAGTTCATTGATTTATGACGGATTAAAATGCAACAAACTACGATTATATATGAATGTTATTTTTGCGAATGAAAAGGAGAGTAACAAGTGTAAAATGTAAATTGATGAAACAATGGGAAAATGGTGATGTGTACTGTGAGCTTTTGGAATGGGTTCTCAAACATTGGAAATTTTGAGACAAGGCGTCTGGGCGAGCCTGACAGGAGGCTGGTTTTACGATCCTCATCTCGATGTTTTTTCAAATACCTTTCATCTTTACGTATGGCTCTTCTTACTTTGTTTGCCGTTCACAATATATCTTGTAAGTTTATTTAATTTACGTTTAAAACTACAATTGCAACAGAAAAAAAAAATCTTACAATGAAACTTTGGATTTCATGTTTATTACAATAGAGAATTTAGAGGCAAATCTATCATTTTTATTTAGTTTTTTTCTTTTTAATTAATAATTCTACAGAAGTGACTATACGAAAAATTTATTTTTGTTTTGATCTTTCATGATTTGTAAGAATCATAAAATGTCACTCGATGATATGTTGATATAAATAAAACTGTGTCATTCTATGTTTGAAATGAGAATTTAACCTCTAAAAAAAAAAAAAAAAAAAAAAAAGAAGTGACGATGATAAAAGTGAAATCTTTTTGCAGTACTTTCCACCGACTCTTTTTGTATGGCTCGCGTATTGTTCGTCAATTGTCCTCCTTTTCGGGACAATTAAGTGTGTTAATCACGCTCTTCATTGTGTTTATGATACCACTGAGTGTCATGAAGAACCAGGTCAAAATGTTTGTCAACAAAAATCGGAAAGTGAAAAAAAACGCGCCGCTCGCATTAAAAGACGAGATCCATCCCAGGATCAAATGGATCTTGGAATAGAACTTCAAGTTCTAAATGGTATTTAATATTTAATATTTCCTTTTTGTTCAAACCGTTTTTTTTAAAACTAATTTTATAACCGTACAAGGATATTTTTGTTATAAAAATTAATCTAAATTGTATTATTTTATTCGTATAATTTTTTTTTTTATTATTTTTTATTTTGATCGTATAATTTTCTTTTTAGAATATAATGTTTCTGAGTAATTAAATTTCTAAAAATTAGTTAACATTAATTGTTTTTTCTTTTTTCAATTAATTTTCAGGAAAAACAGATACACCTCCTGTGGAATGTTCTTCTCGTAATTCATACATAGAACCAAATAACATTCATAATGTAGACGCCGATAGTATAACATCGGATTATGCACGTGATAAGCCGAGTTCAACAATAGATTTGAAAGTTGAAATTCATAGGAAAAATAGTTCAGAAAGTTCTGAAGAAACATCACAATTAAATAAACCAATGATAAGCAATATAAATGTACATGTGCCAGAATTGCTTTCACCGCAGGAAATTGAAGCTCCTTACAGAAGTAGATTGAATGGTAAGTTTCTTTTTTTTCCATAATTATTAAATAAATTTGTCGAAATATATATATATGGGGCATTCTATTTTAAAATTATACCCCTAGTAAACAATTGACAATATAAGACATTTTTTAAATAATTATTTCTCCCATTTAATTAAATCAAATTACTTTTGCAATGAGTGGTTTCGAAAGAGAAATTTCTAAACTTTACAATTGTAAAAAAAAAATTTCAAAAAAACATTTAAATAGTATAAAAAATTTAGTTTGAAGGTTAAACTTGTTAATATCTCAAAACACGTTGTCTCCGATTTTGACAAAATCTATGTCAAAAGAAAGCTTAAATATTCTATTTTTTATTTCCGTAAAGTTTATAATGGACATTTTCGAGAATTTCCAGAAATTAATTAAAATTCTCAGACGTTTTGGAGGTTAAAAAGGATTGAAATTTGTATGAATGGAGAACCATTTCTTTAAGAGCGGATTTTGTTTTTTAAATTTAATTTCCATTAACCTTACATTATTACATCACTTGACATTAGAGAAAAAAAATATTGTAAACAATAAATATATTGATCTTCAGCTATTTGCAATTAAAAATTTTTCAAATTTAAAAAAATTATTAAGATTAAAATTGAAGTTTTAAAATTTATTTATTTAAAAATTTCGTAAAAACAAATGCCGCTGTATTTGAACAGAGGTTCTCTATTCATGCAAATTTCAACCCTTTTTAACCTTTGAAACGTCTGAGAATTTTAATTAATTTCTCGAAATCCTCGAAAATGTCCATTATAAACTTTACGGAAATAAAAAATAGAATATTTAAGCTTTCTTTTGACACAGATTTTGTCAAAATCGGATACAACGTGTTTTGAGATATTTATAAGTTTAACCTTCAAACTAAATTTTTTATGCTAATTAAACGTTTTTTTAAAAAATTTTTTTTACAATAATAAAGTTTAGAAATTTCTCTTTCGAAACCACTCATTGCAAAAGTAATTTGATTTAATTAAATGGGAGAAATAATTATTTAAAAAATGTCTTATATTGTCAATTGTTTACTAGGGGTATAATTTTAAAATAGAATGCCCCATATATTTTTTTTTGTAACAGAATTATTTGTTTCTTTATTACTAGCTGGCCTTGGATTATACAATTTTTTCTGACATTCTTTTTTTTTTTTTTTTTTTTAATTTCATGAAATTCAACAATTCTTTACAATTTACAAAAACAATCAAATTGACAAAAATTTCAATTTAAAATCTTTTAAAATTTTTCATATATAACTTTTTGAAATTAAATAATTTCAATTATAATATTAATTCATATCGAAATTCAATTATCGTTAATAATTTTTATAATATTTTTCAAAAATTCAATTATTTGAAAGGATTTTTCAAATTAATAACTTTTGAAATTCAAATTTTTGTCTGTAATTTCTAATAAATTCTTCATCAACAGAAATCACTAGAAATTTCAATTAAAAATCACTTAAAGTTTAATTAATTTCAAAAATCTGAATGTTTAAAATCTTTAAAAATTCAATTACTTTTGAAAAATGTTATCTAAAATTATTTGATAAATTATTTTCAATTATGTAAAATTTAAAATTATTGTCTGAAATTTATAATAAAGTCTATTGAAATTTAATTATTTCTCAAAATTTCAACTATAACCCCTTATTTTTTTAGGGCAATAAAATTTCAGACGATTTTCACTTCAAAATTATAATATTTAATGATTTTAAATGCATATGAAAAACTTTATAGATATTTCTTTAAAGAAATTTAAATTAGATTTTTTGAAAATGATTTGATATTTCAAAAAGATGCAATTGAAATTTTTAATATCGATTAACTTAAAAAAAAATGTAAAATACAACATTCTTTTTTGCAAGAGAGTTTTAGTTGAAAAGTTTTTATAAATAATTTAATTATTTGGATTTAATATAAATGAGGAGCAATTTTTCAATACCTGATTAATCCATTAAAAAAAATGTTTTTAACATGATTTTTATCAATATTATGTTGAATTATGCATAAAAATTATATTTGCAATTGCAATATTTGACATTAATTTAAATGATTTTAAATTAAAAATTTCCAAATTAATTCAATTTCCAAAGAATTTATTTAGAATTATTTTATTTTTAAGTTACAATTTTGAAAATAATTTAATTTTCAAAGATAATTAATAACAAGGCTGTTGAGTAATTTAAATTTTGTAAAATTTCATTACTGATTTTTAAAATTGTACTTTTTAAAAAATTTAATTAAAATTTTTGAAATTATAATGTAAACCAAGTCCACTTTTGGGCATATAAAATATTGTTTATTAACTTAAAAAAAACTAAATATAAAAATGTTTATTTATAGCGATGCCAGAATGGCGATTGAGAAGACAAAAATGTGTTGCTATAGCGGAAGAGGATCGTTCAGTGACACGTAAATTAAGTCGACATGCTTCAGAGGATTCTCGAAGTAGACGAAGTAGGCATTCGAAGCAAAAAATTTTAGGTAAAACAGGTTCAGAGAGTCAAATTAAACAAACAGGATCAATGGAATTGGAGCCACATGTTGATGAATTTCATTATTGGAAATCAAATCAAAGTGTTCGTAGACTTAATTCGAATTCAATTCCCCTGGAAACACATTTAATAAACGATCATCCACAAAGTCTTGAGATAATCTCGAAAAAAGATGACAATGATAAAAATAAAATACCATCCCATCCTCAATCACTAGAAGTAAGTTAAAAAAGAATTTTTTACTTTTTTAAATTTTTCTATAATTAACAAATTTTATTCAAATCAAAATGGAATTTTCTTTAATCTCATTTTTAATATTAGGTTATTCCTAAACGAACGCATCAACAATTAGTTCATCCACAAAGTCTTGAAACTATCGGTGCATCGAATAAAAATTCTAACACTTCTGATGACAATAATTTACCACTTCATCCGCAAAGTTTGGAAACAATAAATTCAAAGAAGGTAAATTAAAAAAAAAATAATATTGAATAGAAAACTTTAAAAAAGTAGGAAAAGAAGATAGAAAAATAATTTTTTATCTATTTAAGGTACTGACACAAAATACTTTAAAACGAAATCAATTGCAATTGCTGCCATTTTTGAGTGGATCGGAAATTGTTCATTCAATCGCAGAACAAAGTGATGAACAATTTACAAATGAGAATTCAGGCGCTTTTACTCTACGTGATTCCTATAGTCCATTATTAACGCGCAAAGAAATAGAATACACTAATAATTCAAATCGTGATAGAAGTCTAAGCACTGGAGGATCGGAGGATAGATTTTTAAGGTAAGGGAAATTCTTTCATTTTTCTATTTAAAATATTATTAATGGGGCTTAGCTCTGGAACTTTTAATTTTTTATTTTACAAATGGATAGATTATTGATTAAAATTAAAATTCATTTTAATTCTAATCAACCTTCAATTCAATTTATTCAAATTTTAATTCATCCAAATTTCAATTTAATTAAATTTTAATTTAAATTTCAAGTTAATAAATAAATTTATTAATTATAATTGTAATCAAATGCAAATTTAATCAAACGAAACTTAAAATTGTATGACTTTTCCGTCTTTTTTTTTAAATTTGTCCTATTTTCTACTTATTTTTAATAAATGGAGACATTTTCGATTAATTAATTTACAAAATAAAAAATCTAAACAGTGTTTACAGAATTATTTTATTTTATTTGGTAATGTATACGGACTTATAAAATTAAAAGTGAATTAAAAAAAAAAAATTCTTCAAAAATTGATTTATTTAAAACATTTTTTAATTAAAAATTCTCTAAAATTCAATTATTGACAAAATTTTTTTTTTTTAATCTTCAGCAAATTAAAATTTACAAAAATTTTCCAATTCAAAATCTCCTGCAATTTAATTAATTCTTAAAATCTTAAAAACTTTTGAAATTCAATTATTTTTTAAATTTCTATTTAAAATTATTCAGCCAAGTTAATTATTTTCAATAATTTTAACCAAGTTCTTCTAAAATTCAATTATTTAAAATATTGTTGTATTATTTAATTAAAAAAATTTTAATATTCAATAATTATCTGTAATTTTTAAAACAAACTTCTGCAATTTAATTTTACAAAAATTTCAATTTAAAATCTCTTCAGTTATTTCTAAAAATCTAAAATTATGTCACTCTTCCAAAATTTAAGTATTTTTAAAATTATCAAAAATTTTTCGACCAAATTAATAATTTTCAATAATATTAATCAATTTGTTTTAATTGAAATAATTTTTATCATGTTTTTCTAAAATTCAATTATTTAAAACATTTTTAGATAAAAATTCTTCCATTTTCCATGAAGTATCTTATTTTTAAAAAGTGGATGAAATTTTTTTTTAACCATTTCAACTTCAATCTTTGTCGAAATTCTGAATTTGTAAATAATTTGTATAAATCAGAACTGAAGTTTTTTTTTGAAGTAACTTTAATATTTTTTTATTTAAAATTTTTGAAATTCATGAAAATTTGTCTCAGTTCGATTTTAAAATATAATCTAAATAAAATTCCTGTGTAATTATTCCGATTAAGGAATTATTAAAATTTATTTTTAATATCTAATAACAATTGTTAATAGAAATAAAATATTTATTAAATTTTAAATGTATTTAAATTTTAAAAATCAACTTTTTTTCGACTTTTCTTCTAATTTAAATCTACTAAAACGACTTTTTTTTAAAAATTATTCAAATTTGAATTATTTTTTCTCGAAGCACATTTACATATTGTTAAATAGCAACTGTTGATAATATATTTAATTACTTTTTGAATTTACTTGAATTTCGTAGAGTATTACTTGGAGTAAGAAAAAAATGATAAATATATGATTACGGTTAATTGTTCCAGAGCTTTATGCCCTTATATCTTTTTTTTTTTCTTTGTCATTTTATTAATTTATTATTTTACAGTAGGTTTATTGGCGATACAGCAGTTGATAATAATTCAGCAAATTCTCGCGATGCATTACTCGAGGATCCGGAAGTTTGTTCAAAAAGAAGATTCAGCAATGCAAGTCAAAGTAGTTCGGAATTATCTGACGGTGAAAGTAGACGTGAAAAACGACGTCAAAAAAGATGTGAAAAATTAAAAAGTCTAGATGATCCACTTACGGGAAGTATCGTTGGAATTAATTGGCTCTTTGAGAATGGTGAATTTGGAGTTGATACCTGGGCGAATAAAAGTAAGTTTGCATGAAAAAAAAAATTAAATAAATAATAATTTTTAGTTTTTTTTTTTTTTATATTTAAAAATTTTTTAAACTAGGTAGAAAGTACCTTAAATTCAATGGTCCGTATTGAATTGGTCTTAATAATAAGCAAACGAGCGATCTTTTTTTTTTTTTCCTTTTAGTGAACAAAGAAATACGTCTAGTGTTTTTTAATAGAAACTCTATAAATTAACAATAAAAATCTATTTAGAAGTTTCGCCTTTTCTAATTAATGCTGCTAGTATTTTGGAGTTTGAAGAGTTCCGACGATACGGACACATCAGCTAGCACTGGATGTAAGTTCTTAACGGTTAAAATTTCTCTAAGGGTTTAGTGGCAGTTTTAATTTTTTTTTACAATTCAACTTTTTTTAAAACTTTTTATTAATATATTTGAAATTAGTGTTAATTTTTTTTTTTATATTTCATTAAAGAGATCAAATAGGGTAACTGTACCAATTACGGCGCATTCATAAAAAAATAACTATTATTATAATAATAGTTATTTTTTACAATACACATTTAAACAATTATTAATTTAATTATTTGAGATAAAAATTTTTTTCTCGCTGTAATTGAAACATTTTTAATATTTCCATTGGCTCCAATTTCAGCGGGTAAAGTATCTTCAAAATACACGTGATTTTGGTCACCGAAACTGATACAAACGCGCCGTAATAAAAAATTATGGTATTAGTTTTAATTTCTTATATTTGGGACATTCTATTTTAAAATTATACCCCTAGTAAACAATTGACAATATAAGACATTTTTTAAATAATTATTTCTCCCATTTAATTAAATCAAATTACTTTTGCAATGAGTGGTTTTGAAAGAGAAATTTCTAAACTTTATTATTGTAAAAAAAATTTTTTAAAAAAACGTTTAATTAGCATAAAAAATTTAGTTTGAAGGTTAAACTTATAAATATCTCAAAACACGTTGTCTCCGATTTTGACAAAATCTGTGTCAAAAGAAAGCTTAAATATTCTATTTTTTATTTCCGTAAAGTTTATAATGGACATTTTCGAGGATTTCGAGAAATTAATTAAAATTCTCAGACGTTTCAAAGGTTAAAAAGGGTTGAAATTTGCATGAATAGAGAACCTCTGTTCAAATACAGCGGCATTTGTTTTTACGAAATTTTTAAATAAATAAATTTTAAAACTTCAATTTTAATCTTAATAATTTTTTTAAATTTGAAAAATTTTTAATTGCAAATAGCTAAAGATCAATATATTTATTGTTTACAATATTTTTTTCTCTAATGTCAAGTGATGTAATAATGTAAGGTTAATGGAAATTAAATTTAAAAAACAAAATCCGCTCTTAAAGAAATGGTTCTCCATTCATACAAATTTCAATCCTTTTTAACCTCCGAAACGTCTGAGAATTTTAATTAATTTCTGGAAATTCTCGAAAATGTCCATTATAAACTTTACGGAAATAAAAAATAGAATATTTAAGCTTTCTTTTTGACATAGATTTTGTCAAAATCGGAGACAACGTGTTTTGAGATATTTACAAGTTTAACCTTCAAACTAAATTTTTTATACTATTTAAATGTTTTTTTGAAAATTTTTTTTTACAATTGTAAAGTTTAGAAATTTCTCTTTCGAAACCACTCATTGCAAAAGTAATTTGATTTAATTAAATGGGAGAAATAATTATTTAAAAAATGTCTTATATTGTCAATTGTTTACTAGGGGTATAATTTTAAAATAGAATGCCCCATTTATTTAAATAATCGATTTTTATAAAGTTAAACATTTTTTTTTAACATCTAAATAACATAACCTTTTAGTTTAATAAGTCTAAAATTGAGTTTATATAATAGAAATGTCGAATTTTCTATTTTAAAGGTGTTTTGACTCGAATCGCACCGCAATTAGTGCATTTACCCTAGAACAAATACATTTCTAAAATTTAAAAATAAAAAAAAATTTAAGCATAAATTACTTGATTTTTAAAACTAAATATTAGACCAATGTTTTTCATTTAGTTTAATAAATTTCCAATTTTAAAAACTGATTTTGAGGCTAAAAACCTTAATTAGTTTCGCTGAAAAACTTGTTTAAAAATCGTAAATCGTGATTTTTTAAGAAATAATTTGTTTCAAGGCGTTAGTAACGTTCTTTGTGACTTATTTTGTATTATTTATTTTATTTATTTATTTATTTACACAAATTCCCAGAGTCCAATATGTATGGACTATAAGCGGGTAACGAAATACAATAGAAGTTCATAAATTTTAGATTAAACAATAATAAAAACGACAGTAAAAATATATGGTTATAAATAGTTAATAATATAAGAAACATAGAAATAAAAAAAAATGTAATTAGTCGAACTTAAACAAATTAAACAAACTAAACAATAAAACAGATTAAGATAGATTAGAAATATAAGACTCAAGAGTTGATGTAAAAGTCCCAAATGATACGAAAAACAAATCAAGGTTAGGTTCGAAAGTTGTAATTATCTGTATTTATTTATTATTAATCATATATCAGTCAGTTTTTAAGCTACAGGGTTAATTTTTTTTAAATAACTTGAAATTTTATACACTTTCTTTTTCATAGTATGTAATTATTTTTACGCTAATGGCGCACTCACACCTTTTTTGGCTGCCTGCCTGCCTGCAAGTTACCATGGCAACGCACGAGTGTGAGTGAGACAGAAAATTTGAATATTCAAATTTTTAAATTTTCTGTCGCACTCACTCTCATGCGTTGCCATGGTAACCTGCAGGCAGCCAAAAAGGTGTGAGAGCGCCTTAAAATGTAATGGGAGGCTTAGGTAATTTACACACCGAACGTAAGTTACACGTAATTTCCGAACCCTGGCGGGCAATCGAGTTGTGAAAGCACCATTCGACGTAAAGGCCTGAGCACAATAGCCACGTAAGCGGAATCGTAATCGCAATCCAAGAAGTCTAGTCTTCTTGTCGCAATCGCAAATGGAAGAATTAGTAAGAGAAGAACAACAATATATGACTATCCTTTTCTAACACATTCTTCCGTTTACGATTGCGATTGCGATTGCGATTACGTTTCTATTCTGCTCAGGCCTTTAAACCCGTGACGTAAACATAACCTAATAAAATCATCAATCTTGAGCCAATAAAACGTAGCTACTTTCGCGTAATTTTCTGAATTACAAGAATATAGAAGGACGTAACTTTAATTTACAATAAATCTAATTTTTTTTAAGTTTATTTATAATAATATATTTCACATTAGTTATTAATGATATTAGAAATTTTATAATTTCATCCCGTATGGTCTAGTGGCTAGGATACCTGGCTTTCACCCAGGAGGCTCGGGTTCGATTCCCGGTACGGGAAATTTTTTTGAAATTTTCACAAAATTTATCAACTAAATGATACGAATTTTTTTCACTAATTTAATTCGATAAAAGTTATTTATTGTATTTTTTTCTATTTTTATTATTGTTGACTGAAATCAATATTATTTTATTTCTGAAACATTTTTCCGTCTATAATTATTATTCTCTAAAGACTAAAATTTATAAAGAAAAATATTTTTAATTATTTTAGGATTTTACATTCATTCAATTTCATTTTTAGCAAATAATAATAAAAAAAAAATGTTGTTTTTAACATAAATTATTATTTATCAATTAAGGGAACTTACTGGTTTAGAATTGACAAAAAAAAACACATTTTCTTAAATTTTTATTGTAAAAAAAAGTATTAATGTTAAAATATGTAAGCAAAATTAAAAACTTTCGAAAATACGACTTTCTTCGACTTAATTAAATAAGATGTGATTTTTTCGAATTTTTTTAAATATTTTTTTACAGCATTTTTAAACAAAATACGTCTTTTTTGTATACAATGCAGATCTTCTTTATTTCAATTATTTAACAAATTTTTAACTGAAATTTTTCTCTAAATTAATTATTTTTAATAATTTAAATGAAATTCTTCACAAATTCAATTATCTTAAATTAATATTCAATTACAAATTGTATGAAATTCAACAATTGTTTATAATTAAAAAAAAATCAGAAAAAATTACCATAACTTTCAATTTGAAACTTTTTAAAATTTAATAATTTTTTAAATTTTCTGTCTAAAACTTTTTGTTTAATAATTTTAATTTTAACTCTTACGAAATTCAATTATTTTTAATGATTTTTATAATATTCTTCCAAAAATTCAATTATCTGAAAGAATTTTTCAATTAAAAAATATTTAAGTTCAATTTTTGTCTTTAATTTTTAATCAAATTCTTCAGCAACAGAAATCACCAAACAATTTCAATTCCAAATTTATTGAATTCAATTATTTTCAAAAATTTCAATTTAAAACCTTCTAAAATATAATTACATATTTCTAAAAATGTCAACTGTAATTCTTCAAAAAAAATTTTATTATTTTAATTGATTTTTATTCAAAAAACTTCAAAAATTCAATTTTTTTAAAACATTTTTCAATTAAATCTTTTTTGAAATTCAACTTTGGTCTATAATTTCTAATTTTAATTTTGCATCAACAGAAATCATCAAAAATTTCAATTAAAAATAATTTGAAGTTTAATTAATTTCAAAAATCTGAATTGTAAATCTTAGAAAATTCAATTATTTTTAAAAACAATTTATCCAAAATTATTTAATAAATTATTTCAAATTCTGTAAAATTTAATTATTATCTAAAATTTAAAAATATCTTTGGAAAATTTTAAATATTTTAAAAAAATTTCAACTATAACTCTTCCAAAATTCAATTATTTTCAATAATTTTAATATTTCTTTAAAAATTCAATTATTTAAAAAAGTTTTAAATAAAAACTCTAAAATTGAATTTTTGTCAGAATTTTTTTTTCAAAATTTGTCCTACTTAATTAAAATTTAAAAAAAAATTTGTCTTTGTTGGATTCTGAAATATTCGAAATAAATTTTCTTAATAATATATACCTATAGAATTATTTTTATTATGGAATTAATAAAATGGATTTAATATTTAATAACATTAGTTATTTAAAGTAAAATACTTATAAACTAATTAAATTTAATTAAAATAAAAAAAAAATAAAACGACTTTTTTTGCACCTTAAAGTCGATCCAAGGCCTGTAACTAAATAAATAATTCAATTTTAAAATTCCTCCAAAAAAAATTTATTTAACTGAGAAATATTTAAAAATTATTATTTTTCAAAAACAAATTTTGTTCTAAATTTTGCTTGTTCAGCACAAAAAGAGATTTTTTTTTTTTTTTTTGAAGAATAGGTAATAATTTTTTAATATTTTTTAATAAAGAAATGTTTTTTGTGCCAGACTAACACAATTCAGCACACAAAATTTGTTTTTTGAAAAATATCTTTAGATAAAAATATGATTTTTTTTTTGAATTTTAAAATTAAATTATTTTAAAAATATTAAGAATTGAAAAACGAGAATTTAAAGGGAAAAAATAGCGTGAATTTTATTATGTTGGAAAAAATAAAATAGAAATTTGTAGAAAAAAAGAGAATTTGTGTGGTAGAAAGTGAAATTATAGTAAAAACTTATAATAAAATTTCTAAATTGATTGGAAAAAAAAGGTAATGAATTTTTGGGGAAAAAAATAAAAACTCTTTTGTATGGAATTTTTTTAATTCGTAAAAATGCAAATATTTTTTGTATTTTTTTTTTGAAATGCCACTAAACCCTTTTAGAAGAAAGGATATCTATACTAGGACCGTGTGATTAGAATAGAATCAATAGATTTTTTCTCACAGATTTCATATAGACCATTTTATATATTTATATATGTGCATGTTTTTTTTTTTTTTTTTTGAAATATAATACAAATACAGAAAAAATGTTATTTAATTATATTTTTCAATTATAATTTAAAAAAAAAAAAAATTATTATCTTATTTAAAATTACAGATCTACATACAAAGGAACCGGATTCAGGTTCATCGAGTACAACAACACTTAGCATTGAAAATGAAGTACAACTTAAACGTAAACTTCTTCTCACATCCGAGGTGGACAATAAACGTCAACAAGGAGCAATTCCAAAGCAAAGTTGTTCAAAAATACCATCCGAATTGGCAAACAATGAAAGTACAACAAGTTCTGAGGCAAGTCGACGTTTAAATATTGAGGCGAGTCGTCGTAAGCCAAAACGAAAAATTGACATTAATCGCGAGAGAAAAAAGAGAAAATTAGAAAAAATAAGCGGTTCAAATAATGAATTAAGTACATTACTTCCAAGTCCAGCGCCACCATTATTGGCAGCACTTCTCAACACTGGCACTGCTATTGGTAATGAATTACCAAATCCAAATAATATACTTCCAGAACCAAGACTTGTACGCTCATCACAAACACGAAATATGAGAACTCGTCAACGACGTTTAAAACGACCAAATCGAACACATCGCGGTACAAGATTAAATCGTGACGATTCACTTGTACCATTAACAGCACTCTTTGGTTTATTATCAAATGGCGAATGTCATCTCGCAACTAGTCACAATGATACATCCGAGGGTGCAGTACATTGTTTTCGTGATGATAATGGACGTTGGTTGGCCTATACATTCGATCAAAAAGGTTCTGGTTTTCCATCGGTAACACGTTATTCATCATCAAATCATAATGAAAAATTACTAAATACCTTATTGCGACAACAAATTAATCAAAATCTTCATTCAAATACAAATTGGGAATTTCCCGATTCATTGAGTAATAGTTACAGTAGCCTCTCGTTAAATTCAGCGGGCCTTACTGTTATTATTGATACACCACCTGCCTTATCGAGTCCAACAAATAATAATAACAATAATAATAATAATAATAACAATAATAATAATAAAATACAAAATCTCCCTCCAAATTTAATAATTTCGTCAAATACAAGAAATTTAAATCAATGTATCATTGATACAACATCGCCATTAACGACAATGATGGCCGATAGAAATCGACGTTTACAAAGTCTTTTTGGTAATTTTAATCCAAATTCATATCAAAATGATGGTAATCAACCGGTATTAACATTACCAATTCAATTGGAAGGTGATAATAGTGCAAATTTACCATGGAATCGTTTATTGGATGGTTTACAAAATTCAAATGAACAAAAATCAAAAACGTCGAAACATTATTATAAATGGAAATTAGGAAAATTACCAAGTATTAAAGTGAGATTTGATCGTTTAGCATTATTGGCATTACTTGATAGAAATTTAACTATTCTTGAAACAATTGTTGCAACATTATTGGCTATTACTGTCGCTGGTTTAGGTTTAATGTTACTACAATTGGGTTTCTATAGGGATATATTTGCATTTATTTTCTGTTTTGTAACAGCTGGTTGTCAATATTCGCTATTAAAATCTGTACAACCTGATGCAGCATCACCAACACATGGTTTTAATCGTGTTATTGTTTTTTCAAGACCTGTTTATTATATAATATTCGCTGGTCTTATATTAATATTTAATGAGGCATTAAAAAATTTTCAAAATTCCGATTTTCTTGTTTATGGAATTAAAGTTGCCAATTATGATGTTATATTACAGGCACGTAATGTTTTACTTATTTTTCTTCTTTGTTTTCCAATTGTCTTTTCATTGGGATTATTTCCGCAAATTAATACATTTCTCATGTATCTATGCGAGCACATTGATATACATATTTTTGGCGGTAATGCAACAACAAGTCTCATATCATCGGCATATTGTCTTTTTCGTAGTTTTCTCACTATTATGATTTTATATGGTTTTGCATATGGAGCATTAAGAGAGGAGAAATCATCGCAACATATATTATTTTCAATATTTATGGGATTATTAATGGCAGTTGCTTATCATTTAAGTCGTTCATCATCGGATCCAAGTGTAATTTGGGAAATTGTTAAAACAAATCTTTGGCCACCTGATTATATTGATGAAAAAATTGATGATAATATAAAAAAAGAGAAAGATATTGAAAAAGAAAGGAAAATTGATGAAAAAGAAAATAAAGTAAAAATTTCAACAAGAAAAAAAGATGTGAAAATAAATATTGGTGAGGAAATATCTGATTCAGAACTTATTGATCCACTGCCAATGAAATTGAGAGCAACAATAAAAGCAAGATTGAAAAATGATTTAATTGTATGCGCTGTAATTGGAATATTGACATTTGCAATACATTCATCGACAGTATTTACTGCACTTCAACCTGAATTAAATCCAATTTTATGGGGTATCACAAGTTTTTTGGGTTTTCTTCTTCATTATATTGTACCACAATTAAGAAAACAATTACCATGGCAATGTCTTGCAAGGCCTGTTTTAAGAAGTCATGAATATGCACAATTTGAAGTACGCGAACCAGTGAGAATAATGTGGTTTGAAAAAATTTATGTCTATCTTTGTTTTTTGGAGAGAAATATTCTTTATCCAATTGTCTTCCTTGGTGCATTAACTGAATGTTCAAATAAAATTGCCCTTAAATATGGTGTGACAATTGGTGCATTATTAATTGTTATTTGTGGATTAAAATCATTGAGATCTTCCTATTCGGATCCATCGACAAGATATTTGGTATTAATATTTGCTGTTTTATTTTTTAAAATTGATTTCAAAGGTTTTAGTGAGACATTTGTTATTGATTATTTTGTCACTGGTATTGCATTTGCAAAAATTTATGAATTATTATTAAAAATACGATTTATTGTGACTTATATTGCGCCATGGCAAATCACATGGGGAAGTGCATTTCATGCATTTGCACAACCATTTTCGGTACCACATTCGGCAATGTTATTTCTTCAGGCGGGTATATCGGCAATTTTTAGTACTCCATTGAATCCATTATTGGGAAGTGCAATTTTCATTAGTTCTTATGTGAGGCCAGTGAAATTTTGGGAGAGAGATTATAAAACAAGACGTGTTGATCATTCAAATACAAGAATGTCATCGCATCTTGAACGTAATTTGGGAGCTGATGATAATAATTTGAATTCAATATTTTATGAACAATTAACGAGATCATTGCAACATAGTTTATATGGTGATCTTGCTCTTGGTCGATGGGGTAATGTTGAGCAGGGTGATTGTTTTCTTTTGGCTTCTGATTATTTGAATTGTCTTGTGCACATGGTTCAATTGGGCAATGGATTGGTGACATTTCAATTGAGAGGATTGGAATTTCGTGGGACTTATTGTCAACAGCGAGAGGTGAGTTTTTAGTTTATTTATTTCATTTTTTTTTTCATTGGCATTTTTAGTTTATTGAAATTATTATATAATAATAAAATGCTTGGTCTGTCCTAACTTGAAGTTGGCCTTTTCTGATTTCACGTGTTTTTTTCTTTTTCTCATTTTTGTCAAAGTTGTATAATTGTGTTTTCAAATTTCGGAATAAGTTTCTTTAAAATTCCAAATTCGAAAATTCAATTCACGAAGCTGAAATACACAACGTTTACCAACGAAATTTTTTTTAAAGTTGTATATTGATTCAAAAATTGTATACAAATAGAAAAAAATTATGATGAGAAAAAAGATGCACCAGGAAATTTCATACAAGATAGTAATTTGAAAAAAATTTATTTTTAAAAATTAATTTTTAAGGTTCCCGGGGGCCAACGAATAACTATTAAATATTAATTATAAAAACACAAGCCTCGAATCAACTTAAAGACACAAAAAAGTCGTTTTAGTCGATTTATATTCCAAAAAAAAGTGGATTTGTTTTTTATTTTAACAAAAATATTTTACAGATTTTTAAATAAAAAATTTTTTTTTAATAATAATCCTTTTCGAAAGGTTAAAGTTGAAATTTTTAGAAATAATTAAATTTCAAAAGATATTGTTAATTTTCAAACAATTATTAAATTTTACAGAACTAAAAATAATTTATCAAACAATTTTTGAAAAACATTTTTTAAATTTAATTGAATTTTCAAAGATTTAAAATTGAGATTTTTGAAATTAATTGAAACTTTAAGTGTTTTGTAATTAAAATTTTAGATGATTTCACTAAAAATTTATTAGAAAATGCGGACAAAATACAATAATTTAAAAATCATTTTTAATTGAAAAATGGTTTCAGATAGTTGAATTTTCAAAGAATATTATTAAAATAGTTAAAAATAATTGAATTTCCTTAGAGTTATAATTGAAATTATTAATTTCCAAAAAAAAAAAAATTTTCGATGGAAAATTTTAGAAATAATTAAATTTTAAATGCTTTTAAATTCAATTATTGAAAATTCAATTAATTTTGAATTCAAATTTTTGAGAATAATGAAATTTTATTTGATTTTAAATTTGTAAAATAATTGAATTTCAGTTCATTTTGAATTGAAAATTTTGGGAAATAATTGAATATTAATTGGAATTTTGGATAATAATTTAATTGAAGTTCATTTTTCATTGAAAATTTGGATAATTAATTTTGAATAGAAATTTTAGAAAATAATTGAATTTTATTTCATTTTAAATTGAAACTTTGGTAAATAATTAAATTTTAAATTGAAAATTTTGGATAATTATTGGATTTTTAATTGATTTTGAATTAAAATTTCGGGTAATAATTGAATTTTAGTTTATTTTGAATTGAAATTTTTAAAAAATAATACAATTTTATTGTGATATATTTTTTTTAAATTATAAACAATTGTTAAATTTCATAAAAATTTTAATTGAAAAATAATTTTGATATAATTGAATTTGTGATGTATTTCATTAAAATTATTAAAAATAATTAATTTAGTGAAGAATCATTTTAGTTTAAAATTTGTTAAATAATTGAATTGAAAAAGATCTGAAGATGATCTACATTTTATACTAAAAAAATGTATTTTATTTACATTTTTTTTTTCAAATGTAAAAAAAAATGTCGCATTTTATTAAAATAAGTCGATAAAAGTCGTATTTTTGAAAAAAGTCGGAAAAAGTCGTATAATCCGAGGCTTGTAAACATATAATTTTCATTATTATCATTTAATATGTAATAATATTCTAATAAATTAAATTATTATTGATAATATTAATCTTTAATTTCTTGATAACAAACAATTAAATACTCAATTTGGCGCGCTTGCGCGCGTTTAATTTTGCTAGTTTTATGATAATCTACAATCGGTGAAATTTATGATCAACGATTTGAAATAAAAAAAAAATATTTTTCACGCTGTAAATAATAATATTTTTGTTCTATAAATTTCTCTTTTAAAAATTGTTAATTGAGAAGCATTGCAAAACTGTTTTTTAGTTAAAAAAAATTATAATTTGCGACAAATTTTATTATTTTCTGCGTGAAAAATAATTTTTATTTTTAATCTTGGATCACAAACGTTATAAATTTCACTAAGTAATAATCTCTATTAAGACCAATTTTATTTTTAAATTATTATTTTCATTTTTTTAAAAAAAATTTTACAATTATTATACATCATAAATTTAGTTTAGTTTTTTTATTTTATTCTACTCTTCCAATTAAAAAATTTAAAAATTTAAAACAGGAAAGAATTTAGCAGAATTTCAAATTAATCAAATTTTCAATAATCAGAACGTATATTTGGCAAATTTAATTTTCAGATTTTTTTTACAAATTTATTATTATTGTAAAATTTTTTGATTAAATAAAATTTCAAACAATAGATACAAATTGTGCTAAATAAATTTTATATTAAAAAAAGTCGAAGTTTCTTTGATGAAAACTAAATAATTTGAAAAATATTTGATCTTTTGAAAATAAAAAGTTAATAAATTTTTAAAAATTTTGAGTTCTGCTTGCAAAAAATTAATTAACTTTCATAATAAATTTAGTTGTTTATTTAGGAAAAATTTTATTTTCTATATTATAATTAAAATTCTGCTAAATCAATCTATTGGGTTAAATAAAAATATTATTAATTAAAAATTTAGTTAAAACTAAATATTTTTTAATAAGCAAAAATTTATTTATATCTGTGAATTTTATTGAAATTTTTTTCATTTCATTGAAAAGTTGAATTAATAAGTAAAAATAATATCAATTTTTTAAATTACACTGATTTCATTTTATCATAATTTTCATTAAAAAAAATCACTGATTTTTATCTTTTTAAATCTTTAAGTGATTAAATAAAATTTTATTATCGTAGGTCGAGGCGATTTCCGAAGGAATTGAAGACAATGATAATTGTTGTTGTTGTGAAATTGGACATTTTTCAAATGTCTTGAGTGTTAATGCTGCATTTAGTCAACGATGGCTCGCTTGGGAAGTGGCGAGTGCAAAATATGTTTTAGAAGGTTACTCAATATCGGACAATTCAGCTGCATCAATGTTACAAGTCTTTGATTTTCGTAAAGTTCTCGTTACATATTATGTTAAAAGCATTATATTTTATACGATAAAATCGACAAAATTAAAACAATGGCTCGATAATACGGAAATAATTGATGCACTAAAACCAACACTTGAAAAGAATTTTGTCGATCTTGATCCTGTTTTTAATATGAATATCGATGAGGATTTTGATTTTCGAGCTAGTGGAATAACGAGAAATAGTTTTTGTAATGTTTATCTTGATTGGATTCAATTTTGTGCTGTTAAAAACGACAAGGTATTTTGATATTTTTTAATTTTATTTATTTTTTCACTTTAAATAAATAAATTATTATTATTATTAAATAAAATTAGTTTATAGTAAATTTCTTGTGTTTGGCAATTTAATTTTATTATTTAATTAGAAATTTAAATTTAAATTTCAAAAAAATTTGAATAATATTCTGATATTTTGCAAATTTTTTTGCAGTTGATGGAAAGATCACGAGATTCCAGTCTTGTGTCACTTTGTCTGGCATTGAGTTTACTGGGAAGACGTGTTTTAGGAAATGCTTCACATAATACTGTTTCGAGTGTGGAATTTTTTTTATATGGACTTCACGCTTTATTTAAAGGTACGTTATGATTTTTCAAAAAAAAAAAAAAAAAAAAAATGGAGAACCAGATATTGAAATTCTTGAAAAGTACTAGAATTTTTTTTTTTTTGAACTTTGAAATTCCTTGAATTTTATATCAAAACCTTAAATTATTAAAATTTCCTAAAAGGATATTTATTTCTTAAAATAATTTGTTACACTGACAATTGGATTGCTAATATAAAACTAAAAATCCAGTATGTTATTCTAATTTTTTTAAAACTCGAAGATTAAATTTTTTTTTTCAAAAATTACTGGACACCCTGAGAACTTTCGAATGAATATATTATTTTTTTTTAATCTTTAACGTTTGAGAAATAATAATAATCAATAATTCACAGTGACAGTTTGAGACAAGTCATTTTATTAAAATTATAAAATATTTTGTATTAATTATAAAATTATTGATTATCGAATGAATATATCAATAATAAATAATTTTTATTAGGAGATTTTCGTATAACTTCGGTACGTGACGAATGGGTTCTTCACGATGTTGATTTACTTCGAAGTGTAGTTGCCAAAGGTGTTAGAATGGCTTTAAAATTGCATCAGGATCATTTTATGAGTCCCGAGCAATATGAAGAGGCCTCAGCACTTCACGAAGCAATTGACAATCATAATCAAAATCTTGTTATTAGTCATGAGGCCGATCCACTTTGGAGAAATGCCATTCTCAGCGGTGCACCTAGTCTCTTGGCTCTCAGGTATTTTTTTTTTCTTTACAAATCTCTAAATATGAAAATGTATTTTCAATTTATTATTATATATATATATTTATTTTTAATTTTTTTTTATATTTGATTTTATTAAAATTATTATTGTAAATTTATTTCGATTTAATTGAAATTAACGAATTTCAGGCATGTTTTGGATGATGGTATCGATGAATATAAAGTAATAATGTTGAACAAACGTTTTTTAAGTTTTCGTGTGATAAAAATGAATCGTGAATGTGTTCGTGGTCTTTGGGCTGGCCAACAGCAGGAGCTTGTTTATTTGCGAAATAGAAATCCAGAACGTGGCTCGATACAAAATGCAAAGCAAGCTTTACGAAATATCATAAATAGCTCTTGTGATCAACCAATTGGATATCCCATTTATGTGTCGCCATTGACAACCAGTTATGCTGAGACCAATGAACAATTGTGTTCAATTATCGGTGGACCTTTAAGTCTCGGTGCAATTAAAAATACTGTTCTTAAATTATGGCGAAGGTATTTATATAGAATTGTTTCTTTTTTTTATATATTATATTTTAAAATCGATGCGATTTAATAAAATATTGCCACTAAAATTATTATTATACTTATTATAATTTCTTAAATTATTAGGTGCTTTTGCACTAAAGGGCATTTTTTTATTCTCTTTTCTTGTAAGCCCGTACATTGTAATTAAATAAATATTAAAGAATAGTCACAAGTCAGGTGAAAGGAAAAAATAAATTCAGTAAATTTTACATAATCAAGGGACATGGAAATTGAGTAATTTATTATTGTGGCAATTATGTAAATAAATAATAAATATTTTAAATATTCTAAAATAATTGAATTAATAAAATAGTTCATTTTTTTTAAGTAAAATATTGTAAATAGAATTTAGAAAAAAAAAATTGATTTTATTTTGTATTTTAGAATAAGAAGAAGATGCGGTCAGGGATGTTCGTCGGGTGGTACGGCGTCACAAGACGATGGTGGATTTGGAAACGATGGTGTTTATGCAATGACCACTTACAATATTCATTCTGGTATGTATTTTCAATTTACTAATAAATAAGTTCACTGACTAAAACGGAATAAATTAAGGACCAATTTACGTACCATTTCTAGCTTTTATTATACTAAATTGTTGATTTCAAATTTATAAATGAAATAATATAAAGATTTTTTTTTCTCAACGTAATTGTTATATTTAGTACATTTGTACGAAAGGTCTTTTTTTCCTTTGTAAGTTTATAAATTAATAAATAAAAAATCCTGAAATAGTAAAAATTAGAAACCATTATTAATATTAAAGAAAAAATTAAGTTTCGAATAATTTTTAAAAACTTATTTTTGAAGACTTTAAAAAACAAAAAATTATATGAAGTCAAATATTGAAAATTTGTTCATTCAAAATTTTTTTTAAGGGGAGTCACCATATTTATTTTGAGTCCTTTAAATTTTAATAAATGGCAGAAATTTATATTTTTTTTCTTGCATCATTTGGGTAATATTTTGTTTCTCAAAATTGTGAATATTTTATTACTAACAGCATTTGTTGTTTGTCATCGCAGGTTACAGTCAATCGGGCAATTTGGCTTCTTTAGGTGGCAATAGAGGTTCCCTTGTTTCTGTGGGCAAACCTACAAGTTCGACTTTGGCTAGTCTTGCAGGATTACTTAGTAGCAGTGACATGAAAGTCGAATCAAAGAGTGAAACTAGTTTTACATCAAAATTGGAGAAAGAAGAAGTCTTACAGCGAGTTCGTGTGAGTTTCCATTTTTTTTTTTCCTTCTTTCTCTCTTTTTTTGTCATATTTTCGCAATGAGAAATTCTGTTAGACAAAATTTTGGTACATGAAAATTCCGTTTAGTAAAAAATTCGTTGAATTTTGTGTTGAATTTGAAAAATGAAAATTCGTCTTAAAAAGATAAATTATATTATCTAATAAAATTCTTTAAAAATAAAAATTCTAACTAATAATTTTTATGGAATAAACATGCCCATCAAAATTTTACCTTTTTAAAAAATATTGATTTCAGTAAAATTTTAATGTTAAAAAATGTTTATTTATTAAAAATTTTTATTTCGAAAATTCTTAATTATTAATTTATTTTTACAAACGGAACAAAGATCTCTAGATTTTTTCAATTAATTCTTTTTACTATTCAAAAATTTCCGTTTTTAAATAACAAAATTTGGACCATGAAAAAAATTATTTTACACCTTGAAAAACTTTGAAAAGTCCTTGAATTTTTTTTTTTTTTTTTTTGTCAAAAATTGATAAGGCAAAAATTAAAAAATTATATTTTCTTTTAAATTACAAATTTTAATAATCTGTTGAATAAAAAAATAGCATTTTTATAAGTATTGATTACACTGGTTGATGGTTAAATAAAAATGAAATTATTTTCAGATAATGGATCCAAATCACGTGTACGATGCAATAAATCTTGGCCGTCGAATAGATGTAATTTGGCCGGATGAAAAAATGAGACAATTGGGAGGTCGATCAGGATGGCAGCATTGGGTACCAATTCGAGGTATGGAAGGTTGTGTTGTTCATCGTTGGTCGCCAAATCATCGTGATCCAAATCGTCGTTCGCACGTTGATAAAGTAATACTTCTCGTTAAAATTGAAGAAAAATATGTTCCAATTGCAGAACAGGGTGTAAGAGACTTAGGAGCTGAAGTTTAATACTATATTTTTTAGAGGCAGAAAAAAAAACCCCTCTTTCCTCTCTTTTAAACAAAAGGCATTTCAATTTCAACATTCTCACTGAACCAAAAAAAAAAAGAAAAGTCATCGCGTGACAGAAAATAAATTTATTTTGCAATTTTAAATATTCCAAAAATAAACTGCAATACTTGAGAAATTCTAAGGAAAAAAAAAAAATACTGCCTTTTATAAGTAAGTTTCAATTTTCATACATATTTTTTTTCTTTTGATATTAATCTAATTTATTGTGCCCGATTTTCTTAACTTAAAATCTATTCAAATCAACAATTTTTGCAAATTAAAATAATATTTCAAGACAAAAAAAAGTGGAAAAACAATTTTTTAAGTACAAAATTTATTTTACATATAATTTCTCTTAATAATTTTCCTCTGAGCTGTGAATTGAATATTATTGCAGTTAAGATATATATTTAAAATGCAATACTTGTTTTAATAATAATATATATGAAAAAAAAGAAATGATTTCAAAAATGAAAATCATTTCTCCATTTTCTAAAATGTTCCTTAAATTGTTGTTTAAGAATCAAATGTCTAATTTTAAGAAATGTCTCTACTTACTTTTTATAATTTTTTTTAATTTCAGAAAAAAAAAATTATAATTTGACGATTGTGAACATAATTGCGATTATTGTTCTTAATTTACTAATTGTAATTTTCAGGACAATTTTCATTAATAATTTTGTAAAAACTGTATCATAATATTATACTTAATTTTTGATAATGAAAATTTGTGTCCTTGAAAAATGTCTTGAGTTACAAACAAAAAAAAAAGAATGAAGCATTGTACATAATATTAATTATCGATGTTTTCTATGTTTTTGTTACATTTTTAAAAAAAAGTTTTCATTAGAATATGTGCATAATTTGTAAATACCCGTGATACTCGTGAAAATGTTTAAATAATATTTACTTATAGTTGTATAAAGTTTTTAAAATAGAGAAGAAGAAAAAAACGCCTCTTCTAATACATATCGATGCTTTTACAAATTCAAAAAAAAAAGAAAGAAAGAAATAAACGAATTGCATATTTTTAGTGTGTTCAATCGAGAATTCATTAATTTGCCAATTTGTAATGCCAAAGCATCTGAGAAAAAAAAACATTTCAAGGCTACAACAAAAAAAAAAAAAATGATTATTTCACGGCATTCTAGTCGTTACCGCCTTAATTGAAAAGTTTCTACTATGTTCTCGTGAACGTTTAACGTTTTTTTTTTGTAAATTTAACGAAATATTAACTTTATTTGATAGAAAAAAAATTATAATTATAAAATTATTAAATTATAAATATAGAAAATTGAAGGAAATTTTTTTTCCAAGTTCTATGATTCGAAATATCGCTAATTTGTATAATTTTTATTAGATTGTCTAAATTATAATATATTAAAAAAAATTTTCGTGGTTCCTTGCAAAAAAAAAAAAAGAAAAATTATTTCTAAAACTAACTCGTTTCTTTTTCTAATTATTCAATATAAAAATATTTTGCAAGCAACCAATAAATCACAGCATTGCCTTATCATGGTGTTTTCAAACACCTGACTGACAAAAAAAAAAAAAAAAAAAAAAAAATTAATATTCTTAGCTAGTCGTTTAATTGCTAGCGCGCATAGAAAATTTTTATTGTTCAATTCGATCACATCAATTTTTTTGCCTTAAAACTTTCTTTAAAAATTCAATTATCTTTTTTTTTAATAAATACAGTGAAGAAAGCAAGAAAAAAAATTTGCCATTTATTTCGAAAATAATCTAAATTAAAAGAATAGAATGAAAAATAAAGAAAAAAAAATTCCGTTTTATAAATTTAATAACTAAAGAAAGTTTTGTAATTTCAAATGATGTGATTGATTAAAACAATTCTTGTAAATATCCAATCGCTGCCAAACGATAATGACAAGTCTGCTTCACTGGACAAAGAAGAAATAAAAAAAAGAACTGAGCAATACACAAAAAAAAAAAAAAAAATTGTGTTAGACTCGATGCCTAATCCGCTTTTTATATATATACATACAATATTATTTTTCAGTGAACGGAATTAGCTTATCTATATTATATATATATATTATAAATTGTACAGTAAGCTTTAATAGTACATAAATTTATTGTTAAAAAAGATTATACCATTAAAAAAAAAAAAAAAAATTCGACGAAATATAGGCTGTAATATTCTTAATTACAATAGTGTAATATATATACATATATATATATATATATATTTACCTATAGAAATTAATTATATGCTAATTCAAGAATTAATGTATTTTAAAAAAGAATATCAAATTAGGGTGAGTAAAATATTTTTCATTTCCTTTTTTTATTGACTTAATGTAAAAAAAAATCGGAATTTAGTTGGTACTTTCATAATAATTATATATACTTATAACAATTATAAATATATAATAACTATTATATATAGGTTGTAATATTTCAATTAATAATTATTTTTATTTTAATGACAAATATATTGAAAATAATACCAAAAATTATTTTTAATGAAATTTTAATAAAAAAAAAAAAAACCTCAATCACTGAATTAGCATTTAATTAATTTATATTTTGGAAATTCCAAGCTCCCATTGTTGCGATATTCATAAATTAAAATATTACAATTTTTGTAATTACCTACATTATTATCAATCACTACAATAACGATAGTATAAATAAAAAAAAAAAAATTATGAAAAGGTGTATTGCAAAAAAAAAAAGATGCATTACGAATAATAAAAAAAAAAAGTTACTTTTTTAAAACTAAAAACCTTTCATTTCATGTAATTATTTTTACCGATTCCGTTAACAAATCATGGAGGCAGTTTGCAATAATAATTTACAAATTAACTTTCACAATTATTCTACTTGAAAAATGAAGAAATACATAATTATTTTTTAAAAAATTTTCATTCGATTTTTTTTTTGTATTTTTTACGAATTTTTTTGGATTTTTTGGCAGAAAAATGAGTTTTCTTTTTGTTGCATTTTTTTGCTTAATTGTTTTACAAAACTGGAAAAAATAACAAACAAAATATAAATATTTACTCTGACACATGATAACGAATCCTTAAATTATTTTTCAGTTCTTCACAAAATTTTAGCTTAATTTATCAATTGTTTGCAAAAAAAAAATCTGCGGAAAATATTTACATGTGAAATCACAATAGTTAACATGACCTTTAAAAGCAAAGAAATACTAAATGAAATTTTTGTGGTAAGCAGTACATAATCCTGAAATTTTTGGATCAAAATAAAAGATGGTCTTTTTGAGAAAAAATTTTTGTTTTTTCAAAAAATTGATTCATATGTGTACCAATAAATCCTGAAAATTTTGTGTAAAAAAAAGGTGGTGGTTTTTAAGAGAAAAATGCAAAAAAAAACTCATTCTTTTGGCCACAAACTTACAAAAAAAATACGTAAAAAATGGAATAAAAATTTTTAAGAAATACGTATTTTTTAAGTGTAGAATAACATATTGTAAAGTTAATTCGTAAAATATCATCAAGACTGTCTTTATAATTTGATATAAATTCGAACTATTATATCTATAACAATAATAACATTTTTAATCTTGTTTTTGTTTTAGAACAAATTAAAAATCAACTATACTTTTTGTAAATCTTTTGGGAGAACAAATTTAAAAAAATAATTTTATCAATAAGCGTACTAATGAAATAAACATAAAATAATTGAAAAATGTACATTTGTTAATGTATATATATATAAAAGAAAAAATGATAATAATAAAGAAAACATTTAGTTTCTTAAAAATTATTTATTTAATATACTTAATTTTTTTTTTAAAGACACCCACGTGTCTGTAAATAATATTCTCACAAAAATTATTTTATATAATGGCACATTAAATCCATTTCTTTTTCTTTTTACTAAAAATTAATAAATTACAAATAAAAAAACAAATGTAAAATAAAAAAAATTATTCACTTAAAAAAAAAAAATTACTAAAATATTGTTCGTTTGAATTACAAATTTCTTTTTGATTTGTAGATTTCATTGGAATAATAATCATTGAACAGTAAAAGAATTTCGATGACGTTACATATTTACTATAGCACACAATTTTTCGTAAAGTTTTTTCCTTTTTTTTTCTATAAGAGAGTGTAAAGTTTACAGAGATATTTTTAAAGTGTCAACACATTGATAGAAATTTTTATTTTTTTTAGAGAAGGCAAGTTTTTTTATCGTATCGGATATTGCATGCGTCATTTTCATTTTAAAAGTAGAATTTTATAATTTTTTAAAAACGGAAAAATTTTCATAATTTTTTATACGTGTATGAAAAATAGTTTTAAAATAATTTTTTTTTAAATAAGATTAACTTCAAAGAGTTCAAATTAATGTTGTTAAGGGGTGTCAATTTTTTTTTTCTGGCATTATTTGGGATCTAAAGTTATTGTGAATTATCAAAATTAAAAAAAAAAAAAATTCTTTTGACCATTTTAGAAATTTTATTTTTTGAAAATATTAAAATTTTTAAAAATCCATACGATTGATTATTCAGAATCATGAAAAAAGCGCCTACAAAAAAAAATTTACCGATAAAAAATAATAAAAATTCTAAAAGAAATTAAATTTTTAAGGAATAATTGATAAAATTTAAATGAAAAATAATTGATTTCGTTTAGGGGTAACAATTTAAAATGAAAAATAAAAAAAAGTAATTTTTTTTTATTTTTCAGAAATTTTATTTTTTGCAAAAATTGAATTTTTTCAAAATCCATACGATTGATTGTTTAGAATCATGAAAAAAGTGTATAAAAAAATCAGCAATGAAAAATAATAAAAATTGCGACACAATTTAAAATTTTTAATTTTTGAAGATTTCGAGTTTTATTTTAAAAAAAAATTATTAATGAATTAATTGTTTTTCAATTTCCTATAGTATATTACAATTTTAAATACTCAATATTGTCAGAAAAAAAATTGTCAACAGTCTTAATATCGAAAATTTGAAATTATGACTGATTTATTATGATTCCGATCGATAAAATTTTCTTTTTTTTCAAATGAAAATGATACACGAAATTTCCCATATTTATAATTATAGATTTATACATAATTTAAGTTATCAATGTTTAAAAAGCATTATAATGACTAGGTTTTTTGATCTTTCGAGTCTTTTTTGAGAAGTTTTTGTATTAAATTCTCTATCATATTGGCTTCAACTAAACCAATGAATTTATCGACAACAAGTCCATTTGAAACGGCAATAACAGCAGGTACAGCTTTAACTTCAAATGTATGAACCAATTCGGGATTTGATTCAACATCAACAATTGCTAAATGCAAATCATTTAATGGTTCAACTAATTCCTCAAGTTTTGGCGTCAATATTTTACATGGATCACACCATTCGGCATGAAATGTTACTATCACGGGTACACGACTGTTTAACACTTTATCTACAAATTCATTATTGTCTTTAATTGTGAATTTTTTATTCACACGACTTAATAAAGAAATACCGCGCACTGTTTGTTGAACGACGCTTCTAAAATTTGACAGCATTTTTTTTTTTTAATAGATTTATATCTATATCAAAAATTTCAAAGATTTAAATATTTTATCGAGTTAGATAAAGTTTCAGAAAATAGAGTCGTTGACAATGCGAGAATTGACAAGAAGAAATTGGTGTTTTAAGTTGATTTAAGAATATTTTTCTTATTTTTATATATATATATTTTTTTAGAGCAGTCGTTAATCTTAATTCTAGTTAATTGATAATTTTTTTTTTTTTTTGTTGAATTTAATAAATCCAACTTGTTACACGAACTGGTCGAATTGGTTCCATTAATTCAAATTTAATATATCCTACTAGTCCTACAATTGATGACGCTGCTATTAATATTAGCAATATTAAACGCCAGATAAATAAATGGTCGTATGGCTGAAAAAAAAAATTGAAAAATTACAATAATTATATATACAAAATTTTATAGGGTCATTTTATTTTATCTATAAAGTAATTGCGGATCTATTTTTAGAAAAACCTTTTAAATCGTAATTTTTTATTATTATTTAATAAAATTTTTTATATTTTTTCAGATCTCGAATTCTACGAATTTTTCAATGTATTTTAAAATATAAAATTAAAAATTAATTAATTCATTAAATTAAAAACAAAAAAAAACCTTAAATTTTTTTAGTACAAACTGTAGCTCTTTTAAAATTCAATTATTTTGAAAATTCGAATTTAACAAATTTTTTTGGAGATATTTAATGACTATTTTCAATAATTTTAATGAAATTCTTCGAAATTCACAATTATTTAAAACATTTTTCAATATTAAAAATTCTCTAAAATTCTATTATTGACAAAAATTCTTTTAAAAAAAAACCTTCAGCAAATTTAATTACAAAATTAATTTAAAATCTCTTAAAATTTGACTAATTCTAAAATTCTAAACTTTAATTATTTTTTTAATTTCATTTTAAAATTCTTTGCCAAATTAATTATTTTTAATAATTTTAACAAAAAGTTCTTTTAAAAATTCAATTATTTAAAATATTTTTTAAAATTCAATTATTGTCTGTTATTCGTAAAAAATCTTACAGCTATTTAAGGGGGGAACACCAGTTGTAACTTTCGAAAAATCGATTTTTTTTTTGGTGCATTTTCTTAAAGTATACATATTTAGAAATGTGTCTGTAAATTTCAAAGAAGATCCGGTGAAAAATAAATGAGATATACAGAACACTGCAGCGGCGCGTCCCGTGGCTTCATACAAGGTGGCCAGCCATACCTGACCCTAACGACAGATGGCCTTTTCCTATGATTTAGAAACGGCAACCACTGCGGAAGAGTTATTATATGGTCCAGGAATCGATGACTCTTTGTAACTTAGAAACAAAATTTCTTCTGAACAAAAAAAAGTAAGTTGAAACTTTTAATGCGTTTTTCTCAAAATGACATTTTCCAAGTCGGTGACCACGATTACTCGAATACCATTAAACCGATTTATTTAAAATTTAGTGTGCTTCATTTACACATATAAGTCTAGTTCGTGATCGAAGGATTTTTTTTTTTAATCAAAACTTTTTTTTATATAGCTGAAAATCGACCGTATTTTTTTAACGAAAATCATACTTTTGACTTTGACAGGTCGTCATTTTGTCAAATTTTTTTTTTTTTTTAAATCCTTCGATCACGAACTAGATAATCTTATAATAAATGTAAATCAATTTCATTTTTGTATTTCAGACGAAGTATACTTGCAGAATGCTGGTCACCGCAATTCGCCTTTTTTCTTAAGACGCCACTTCAATGGCTCATATCTCCAAAAGTTTTTGTTAAAAAAATTTTTTTTTTCTTTTAAATTACAGCTTTTTACATGTACTTTTAACTAATAAATAGTATTCTTTAAAAAGATTCATTGTTCTTTTGGAAAATATTCTTGAAAAAAGCATTATTTTTTGAGTTACAACTGGTGTTCCCCCCTTAATTTCACAAAAATTTCAATTTAAAATCTCCTGAAATTCAATTATATTATAATTTTTCTAAAAATCTTAAATATTTGACTTTTCGAAAACTCAATTATTTTTAAAATGCAATATTAATCAATATTGTTTCATTTGAAATAAATTTTATCAACTTCTTCTAAAATTCAATTATTTAAAACATTTTTTAGCAAAAATTCTCCTACTTCTCATAAAGTAACTTATTTTGAAAAAGTGACAAAAAAAAAAATATATTTGTAGTCTTTACCTGTTTAAGTAAATAATTTTCAAACTTAATATTTTCGAAACGAAACAAAATACCTTACAGGAAAAAGATTACAAACTACAAAAAATTATAAAACTTTTTCAATTGAAAAAACTTTAAAATTCGCTTATTAACTTAAAGTAATTATTATTATATAATTAATTTCAAATATTTCATCAAATGAAAATATCTTAACTTATTCAATCAAAAATAATTAAAATTATTAAAACTGTTTTTAACTATTAAATTAATTAATTAAAATTATATTTAATATAAATATTCAATTATCCAATGAAATAATTATTGAATAAATCCACAACGTTTATGAACAATGATTTGGAAGAAAAAAATAATTTTCTATATTATTATAATTTTTTCACTGAAAAAAATTCTTCCAACGTTTAAACTAAATAAATTTTTAAAAGAAAAATTTGTAATCAATAAATTTTATTACTTTTCGTGTGAAAAATATTTTTTATTTTTAATTGTTGATCATAAACGTTGTAAACTTTACCGACGTCTATTTTAAAGAATTATTAATGAAGAAATTGACATTATCTATTTTATTCCTATTCTTTTTTTATTAAATTTTTCCAGCTATAAAATTAATTCCTTTTTTTCGTGTAACACAGCTTTAAAATTCAAATTCCAAGATAAATATATAATTATAATTTTATTAATATTAATTATTAATAATTATAAATAATAATTACGAATTATAAGATTTTTTCTAAAAATAGCAACGAATTTAGGTGAAATATAATTATTAACTTAGTAAAATATATTTTGATGCTTATTTAAAAATTTTATTTCAAAATTCAAAAAAAAAAAAAAAAAAAAATCTAATTCAAATCTATTATAATGTTTAAATCAATAAAATTTATATACCTTGTCTTCAAATAATTTTGGACTTTCTGAAGCACGAGGAACACTTATCAATATGACTGTTATAATTGCAGCAATAATAATCACGGCAAACCCAACTTTTTTATTAATTCTCAATGAAATTAGAAAAATTAATGCCGAAAAAAACCAAAGGCATGTTATTACAAAAAGCCCAACGCCAACACCTAATACAAAAGTGGTCATTACCTGTAAAAAAAAAAAAAAAAAAAGAAACATATCATAAAATAAAAACCTTGAAATTACATTTTATTACGTCAATATTATTGCGCCATAATTTTCATCATAATTTGAAAGTTAAAAATTTTACAAAAACAATTTTTTCCACATACTAATTTGTATCTCTATTATTGATTTGTCAAAATTAGAAAAAAAAAAATTTTAATGAAACTAATGATGACGTAATAGTTATTTTTTTATTACCTTTTAAAATTTATTTTCCCAGATTATCACAAATGTATAGATTTTTTTTAAATAATACAAATCTTTCGATCAGCAATAATTTTTTTGTACAAAAATTGAAAAAAGAAAATTGTTTCTTTCTTCCAATTTAATAAAAACAATATATTTTATGTATTTAAAATAAATACTATACAGGTATATTTCACCGGAAAAAGCAAACAAAAAGTAGTTGCAACTGTTAAAAAATACCAAATAAATTGTTTTTCTAATTTGTTTACTTTTTTTTTTGAAAAACTCATTTAATTAATGAAATTTAATTAATTATTTGTATTATTTCACAATATTTTATCACAACTAACCTATTTATAAGTTATAACGTTGACGTTTTCATAATTTTTTTTTTATTATTTTTATTGTAAAAACCGATAAAAATCTAAAAAATCACAGCTGACTAATATTTAAGCTGCATTTTCAAGGACGAAAATTTTATACAGCGTATGCGTTGTCATTGGCTATTATAAACAGCGGTAATTTTTGAATATATTTTTATTTTTATAAAAAAATTTTCAAATTGCTCTATATTGAAAAATCCCACATCATTAAAATTTATTTACAATCATATAAAATTAATTACATATACATTAATTGAAATTAATTTAACGTAAATAGAATTTTTGTTAAAGTAAACTTCTAATTGAAAAATCAAGGTTTTTAAAAATTTTGTAAAAATCATTATTCAATATTTTAGAATAATTTTATAAAATTATTATTATTATAGGAAATTTATTTAAAGTTAAGAAAAAATTAACTTCTTTTTTTGCATCTTCTGAACCTAATTATTATATTGATTTAAACATAATTCCGCCAGATGGCCATCATTTTTCTAGTTGATTTTTTTTAAGTGATTGAAGTTTGGGAATAAATCGCTCATAAAATGGTAAATGTTAATGTTTATTATAAATGAAAACATATTATTTGTTGAATATTATTTTTAATCAAACAATAGGTCTCATTATATTTTTATTTAAATTTTCAGTTCATTGACATTTAAAGTGTATATTTACCGGCGTTTCACTTTCATTTAATAGGTTAGGTTTTCAGAAAATAAAAATCATTTTTCATTATAACACGAGGTCTCTTGCATGTTACATCAGCTATATATGATTTGATGATTAATGTGAAAATAATTATCATTATACAATGTTTTTTTTTTTTTTTTTTCATTTATTAGAATCAATTGTCATATTGTTTTATAAGTGTCCTAATTTTAAAGATCAAATTTTTAAAAGGTCATATTACATTTTCATGTCTGATTTTATTTTTTCATTAATTTTACACAATATTTTGCTATGAGTTTAGTTAAATGTTTGACAATAAAAGTCAAGAAAAATTAAATTAAATGTTGACAATTTATTTATTTTCATAATATAGGTTAGGCTTGTTTTTTTTTTTATTTTTTTATTGAACGTTTTCGATTAATTTTCTCTAAAAAAGAAATCTTGATTCTCATTTTTAAAAATACTGTATAAATCCATATATTATTTTAAATTATTACAATTTTTACTGATATGTATATGTATATTCGTTTTAGTATCAGAATTTAATGGCGTGTAGAGCCAGTTTATCGGGAGCGGCTCGTTCTACACAAGCGGGAAAAAGATTTGGTCATGGTTCAAGAGAAAATTCATTAACGAGAAGTTTGTCGCCTTCAACACATTCTGTGGATATTCCTCGAATGAAAGATGTTTCGGTATGTTTTGTATTTTTTTTTTTTTTTTTAGGTAAAGGTAAAAGAAGAAAAAATGTAGTTTGTGTAACTTATTTTTTGGAAAATTTCAGATTAGACTCTATTCAAATCCAGCTAGAAGGCCAGGTTTTTTTAGTCAATTTGTCGAGAATATTAAGCAAGATATGCAAAAAAGTAAGGAGATGAAGGAATCGTTGAAAAAATTTCGCGAAGAAGCTGATAAACTTGAACAATCTGATGCATTGAAATCAGCGAGACAAAAATTTCAAACAGTCGAATCGGAAGCCAGTAAAGGATCTGAAGTTTTAAAAGAGAAATTGGATACTTTAAAAGAAAAAGTATTTAGCAAAAATTTATTTATATGAGCCAAAAGTTTTCAACGTTCAAATGAATGAAATTTTTTTTTGCAAACTTCTTTACAATTACAAATTTTATTACAAAATATTGTTTTAAATATCTAAAAAAAAGTTATTAATTTAATAATAAATTTTAGCAATTTATAGATTGAAAGAAATATTTCGTTTATTTGAACGTTCAGTACTTTTGCCTAATTTATTATAATTTTTTATTTTTTAATTTATTTTCAAATTAATTTTTAAAATATTTCCGATAATTTTTTTTAATTAACAGGCCTCGGATTATACGACTTTTTCGACTATTTCCAACTTTTTTTCAAAAATACGACTTATTTTTAAAAATGCGACTATTTCGACTTTTTTTTACATTTTTTAAAAATATTTTTTTAAAAAATATATTTTTTTTAGTATAAAATGCAGATCTTCTTCATATCTTCTTTATTTAAATTATTTAACAAAAATTCTTCACTAAATTAATTATTTTTAATAATTTTTATGAAATTCATCACAAATTTAGTTATTTCAAATTATTTTTCTATTAAAATTTTTATAAAATTTAACAATTGTTTATAATTTAAAAAAATAACAAATAAAATTAGCAAAAAAATTTAATTCAAAATCATAAATCAATTCAAAATCAAATAAAATTCAATTATTTTCAAAAATTCCAATTCAAAATCAACTAAAATTCAATTATTACCCAAAATTTCAATTCAAAATTAAAGAAAATTCAATTATTTCAAAATTTTCAATTCCAAATCTTTTAAAATTCAATTATTTTCCAAATTTTCAATTTAAAATCAGATAAAATTTAATTATTATCCAAAATTTCAATTCAAAATGAATTAAAATTCAATAATTATCCAAAATTTCAATTCAAAATTAATTATTATCAAAAGTTTTAATCAAAAATCAACTAAAATTTAATTATTATCCAAAATTTCAATTATAATTCAATTATTTTTAAAAATTTGAATTTAAAAGCTTCTAAAATTCAATTATTTCTAAAATTTTCAATAAAAAATCAACTAAAATTGAATTATTATCCAAAATTTCAATTATTTTCAAAAATTTGAATTTAAAAGCTTCTAAAATTCAATTATTTCTAAAATTGTCCATCGAAAATTTTTTGAAATTTAATAATTTCAATTATAACTCTAAGAAAATTTAATTATTTTTAACAATTTTTATAATATTCTTTGAAAATTCAACTATCTGAAACCATTTTTCAATGAAAAATGTTTTTCAAATTATTGTATTTTTGTCCGCAATTTCTAATAAATTTTTTAGTAAAATCATCAAAAAATTTTATTTAAAAATCACTTGAAGTTCAATTGATTTTAAAAATCTCAATTGTAAATCTTTGAAAATTCAATTACATTTAAAAAATGTTATCTGAAATTATTTGATAAATTATTTTTAGTTCTGTAAAATTTAATTATTGTCTGAAAATTAACAAAATCTTTTAAAATTCAATTATTTCTAAAAAAATTCAACTTTAACTATTCCAAAAGTATTATTATTTAAAAAAAAAAATTTTTTTATTTAAAAATCTGTGAAATATTTTTGTTAAAATAAAAAAAATCGATTTTCTCGACTTTTTTTGAAATATTAATCGACTAAAACGACTTTTTTTGTGCCTTTAAGTCGATCCGAGGCCTGAATTAACTTTCTTGATTAAATTGTGAAAATTAAAATTTTAGGTTCAAGAAGCTGTTGAGGGAGTGAGTAAAACGGAATTAGGAAAAAAAGCAGGACAAATTGGTGAGGAAATTTCGAAAACTGCTAAAGGCGCTGCGGAAACAATATCAGAGACGGGTCAGGCAATTGGAAAAACGGGAGCTTTTAAAAAAATGTCCGAAACCGCTGAAGCTGTTCAAAAAGAATTTAATCATGGAATTGAAGGTGAGAATTATTTTTTTTTGTATTCTCTATTTTTTTTTTTTTTTGACAATTTCAGGGTAGCCACAAGTTAGGGAAATTTATGAAAATAAAAATCAATTTTTTCTCCTAAATATTGTTATTCAAAGTTTTTTAAACGTCTTTTTTTGTTTGTCATGAAAATTTTGTTTATGAAATTATAACGAGCTTTCACTTTTTTTTTAAAAAATCCGATAGAAAAATTAAAAAATAACAAAATGGTGGCCATTTTACTAAAAATCTTTGAATTCAAATTACTCAAAATTTTATCTGAAAGCATTTTTAAATTAGAAAATTTTAAAGTTCAATTTTTGTCTTTAATTTTTAATAAATTCTTCAGCTATTCAATTTCACAAAAATTTCAATTCAAAATCATTTGAATTCAATTATTTTCAAAAATTTCAATTTAAAACCTTCTAAAATTTAATTACTTTTAAAAAATGTTATTAAAAATTATTTGATAAATTATCCAAAGTTCAATTATTTTTAATAATGTTAATATTTCTTTAAAAAAATCAATTATTTAAAAAAGTTTCAAATAAAATCTCTAAAATTGAATCTTTATCAGAATTTTCTTTTTTTTTTTTTAAGAAAATTTGTCTTTCTTAATTAAAATTTACGTTCTCGATTCTGAGATATTCGAAATAAATTTTCTTGATAATATTCCTAAAGAATTATTCTTATTAAGGAATTAATAAAATGGATTTAATATCTAATAATATTAATTATTTAAAATAAAATACTTATTAGCTAATTAAATTTAATTAAAATAAACAGATCAACTTTTTTTGGAATGTAAATCAACTAAAACGACTTTTTTTTGCTCCTTAAAGTCGATCCGAGACCTGAAAATTTCATTTTTCTCAAGAAATCATAATTTGCTTTTTGTTAAAACTGTTTTTAATTAATTTTACAATAAAATAGGCCTTGTACGGTTTTTTAATAGGGAAATTAAATAATATATTCTTGTGGCAACTCTGAATTTTAAAGCATATAATAATAAAAAATATAAAACAGGTCGAGTTTATGTACCATTGAAAACATTAAGGAAGCGAAAAGAAATTATCGAATCTCAACAAACTTTCGAGGCAAACACAGAAGCAACAGGTGTTGAACTTCACAAAGATTCTAAATTTTATCAGTCGTGGCAGAATTTCAAGGTAATTATATATATAATTATATTATATTATATTTATTTATTTAACAATATGATTTTTCTGCTTTCCAAATTCTTATATTAATAATTTTGTCTGTATTAAAAAAAAAATTGTTTTTCTTTTTCTTTAGGATACAAATCCATATGTGAATAAAGTTTTGGATTGGAAAATAAAATACGACGAATCGGAAAATCCAGTTGTTCAAGCATCAAAATTAGTTACGGAAAAAGTCACATATTTATTTGGTGGTCTATTTCAAAAAACTGAAATCTCAAATACACTCACGGAAATATGTAAAATTGATCCGAGTTTCGATAAAGTACAATTCTTAAAATATTGCGAGACTGATATTATTCCAAATATTCTAGAGGCAATGATAAGAGGCGATTTGGAAATTTTAAAAGATTGGTGCCACGAGGCTCCTTATAATTTACTCGCACAGCCTTTAACGCAAGTGAAAACATTGGGATATCGTTTAGACAATAAATTATTAGGTAAGTTTTATAATTTTCATTTTTAATTAATTAATTAATTTTTTCATTTTAACTAGTTTATTTATTAACGAAGTGTCCAGCGTCAAATTTATTTTTGAGTTTCATTTTTTTTGGTCAAAAAAAAATTTTTTTTTCAAAAAAGCATATTACCAATCGAAAGAGCATAAAAAAAGCTTTCGAAACTGATATTAATAAAAATTTTTTATTTTGATATTTTAGAGAAAAAAGCCATTTTTTTCCCATTTAATCACTTCACGTATTTATTAAATAAATAAAAAATATTTTCATAATTTCTATATACCAAAAGTGGACCTTGAAAAAAATTATTTTCAACTACGAAAAATTTTGAAAAGTCCTTGAATTTTTTTTTTTTCAAAAATTGCTGAACTGAATATAATTTTAATTAATTTATTAATTTTTTTTAACTAATTAGAAATTTTCTGCCAATTTTAGATATCAATAATATTGATCTAGCAATGGGTAAAGTAATGGATCAGGGTCCAGTTTTAGTAATAAATTTTCAATCACAACAAATTATGTGCGTGAGAGATATGAAGAACAATATTGTCGAAGGTGATCCCGAGAAGGTGATGCGCGTTAATTATGTTTGGGTTTTATGTCGAGATCCCACTGAATTAAATCCCAATGCTGCATGGCGACTACTCGATCTCAGTGCCAATAGTTCCGAGCAACTTATGTAGTGTGCGGTATTTCAAATTTTACCTAATGAACTAATTTTTTTTTTTTCAATTACAATAAATTCAATTGCATAATCCGATTATTCAAACGGGAAATTAGAAAAAAGAAAACTTTTACAGTTTTCATAAAATTTCAATTATACAAATTATCGGATAGTTCACTGAGAGAAAATTTGTTAGAATTGTTAAATAGATATATTTATATATCGATTACAATTTTATTTATATACCGATTATTGACTGAAAATAATATTAGTAATAATATTAAAATAATAATTATGAACATATTTAGATTACTTTTTTTTTTTTTTTTTAATATTATGACTAATATTTTCAAATGTTTAAAACAATCGCTTCGTTTTCCATTTTCTTTTTAAAAAAGAATTTTGCAAATTTAATATAAAAGAAATATGGAAGAAATCATTGGTGAAAAAGAAATTTATATATATTTTAGTTGACAAAGAAAATTGTACAGGTGTTGAGACTTGATTTGTCTCTGTGTAAATTTTATTATATATACATTATAATTTAAAAATTGTATTAGATAGATAAATTGTATCACGTACTGTGTTCTTGTACTGGGTACAAGTCATTTTACTGTGAATAACAAAATCGTTAGTAACACATTGTAAATATAATTTCTAAAGAATGTCGACGTAGAATAGTTGGCTTTTCATTTATTTCGATTAAATTTCGAAAATTGAAAAGCGACTATTTAATATTAAAAAAAATTTGCGATTTTTATTTAAAAAAAAAAAAAAAAAGAAAATAATATCGTAATATTTGACTTAACTCGAAAATAGTCTTATCGGATATTATGTAAATTAAAAAAAAAATGCTTGTAATCGTATCAAAACGATAATATTGTTTTATGAGCGACAAGATTTATTAACAAACTTCAATGCGTATTTATAGAAAAGAAAATCTTGATTCGATTTAATTACAGTACTATATATTTATAATGTTCATCAGTTTTTTTTAAATATGACTGGAAAAATCTGCTGGATTAGATATGTAATATATATAAATATAAAAAATGAAAAAATTGTTGATTGTAAAAAAGCAGATGAACTTTATAAAAAAATAAAATGGGTACTGTAATTTTTAAAATATTTTTAACACTAACTTTTTTTTAGATAGTCATTTACGTTTTGTACAATTATTCAGAGGTAATTTTTTTGATTTACAATAAAATACTGAATGATGTAATGTAAATAAAAGAAAAAAATTTAATAGAAATTTAAAACGTAGTTTTGTATACAGTATCATTAAAAAACAATTTAAAGCAATATAGAGGCACTTGTATAAAACTGAATCCTTAGAAAAAATATTGGTTTATCGAAAAATAGTAAAAAAAAATTATCATTTAACAACTCTAAACATAAAAAATTGAGTAAAATTTATTTGCAAAAATTCAAATATAGAAAAATATTTTCTTATCAAAAAAAGTTTTATTGATTCATTTTTTCTTTGGAGTTGAAAATAGTTATTTCATGTGACAAATCATCATTACTTGCTGTAAATAAAATTATCACTTTATAAATTTTGTAAGTTGTTAGGCCAAATATTTCCTCTTAATTTGATATATTTTACGTTATTTTTTTTTTTTTTTTTTTTTTTTTTATAACGACGTTTCGGCAGCTACCGCTACCCTTATCAAGTTACATTAAAATATTAATTTTAGTCATTTTATTTATATAAACTAATTTTTAAATTTACAAAATAAAATGACTAAAATTAATATTTTAATGTAACTTGATAAGGGTAGCGGTAGCTGCCGAAACGTCGTTATAAAAAAAAAAAAAAAAAAAATGTAAAATATATCAAATTAAGAGGAAATATTTGGCCTAACAACTTACAAAATTTATAAAATTTAATTCCTCAATTATAAATACTACTATTAATAAAATTATCACTACCTGGTAAGTTTTCACATTAATTTTATCTAAAAATTCTTTAAAAATATTTTATTAATTTTATTAATAAGAATAATTCAACAACAATTTTATCAAGAACATTTATTTCAAATATTGCAAAATCGACGTAAGACAAATTTTGAAAATTTTAATTGAGTAAGATTATTTTTTTTTTAAATTCTTAAATTTGGTTCTATTTTAAAAGTTTTTTAAAGTCTGATTCAAGCAATTTATTCGAATTTTTAAATTTTGGCATAGTTTTTAATTTTAATGGTGAAAAAAATTTTAAATAATTGAATATCAGAAGATATATTAAATTTTCTGTAAATTTTGTTTCTTAAATTTCTGCCAACAATTCCGTTTTAGAGTTTTTATTTGAAACTTTTTTTTCAAAAATAATTGAATTTTGGAAGAGTTACAGTTGAAATTTTTAGAAATAATTGAATTTCCAAAGATTTTGTTAAATTTTAGACAATAATTAAAATGTACAGAATTAAAAATAATTCATTAAATAAATAATTTTCCATAACAATTTTTATAACTAATTGAATTTTTAGAGATTTACAAGTCAGTTTTTTGAAAATAATTGAGTGATTTTTGATTGAAATTTTTTAGAAATAATTGAATTTTAGAAGGTTTTAAAGTAAAATTTTTGAAAAAATTGAATTTCAAGTGATTTTGAATTAAAATTTTTGATAATTTTATTTTTTTTTTTTTTGAAACAAGATATCGATTATTTTAGGATTTTTTAAAACATTGAATTTTATAAAAAGATCTCCATTGTATAATATTTACATTTACAGGCCTCAAATCTAATAATAAATGCAGTCCTCGGATCGACTTAAAGGCACAAAAAAAGTCGTTTTAGTCGATTAATATTCCAAAAAAAGTCGAGAAAGTCGATTTTTTTTATTTTAACAAAAATATTTTACAGATTTTTAAATAAAATTTTTTTTTTAAATAATACTTTTGGAATATTTAAAGTTGAATTTTTTTTAGAAATAATTGAATTTTAAAAGATTTTGTTAATTTTCAGACAATAATTAAATTTTACAGAACTAAAAATAATTTATCAAATAATTTCAGAAAACATTTTTTAAATGTAATTGAATTTTCAAAGATTTACAATTGAGATTTTTAAAATTAATTGAACTTCAAGTGATTTTTAATTAAAAATTTTTGATGATTTCACTAAAAAATTTATTAGAAATTGCGGACAAAAATACAATAATTTGAAAAACATTTTTCATTGAAAAATGGTTTCAGATAGTTGAATTTTCAAAGAATATTATAAAAATTGTTAAAAATAATTTAATTTCCTTAGAGTTATAATTGAAATTGTTAAATTACAAAAAATTTTCGATGGAAAATTTTAGAAGCTTTTAAATTCAAATTTTTGAAAATAATTGAATTATAAAAAATTTTGGATAATAATTCAATTTTAGTTGATTTTTGATTGAAAATTTTATTTATTTATTTATTTATTTATTTATTTACGGGACTTCAAAAGTAAAGTGCCCTTTAAATACAAATTGTATAATACATATGTAGGGTCAACTGGGGTAAATCCGAACGCTTTTAGTAAGTTTCAACAATAACATAAGTTTTTTCTTTAAAAAAAAAATACTTCCGGTATTCTGGTGCATGAAGTTGTTACTTTACTTCCATAGAACAATTTTATGGGGTAGAAAAAATTTTTGATAAATTACAATCGCAGGAAACTTAGCGTTCGTATTTACCTCGATACTTTGCAACTTTCCTAAAATATGGGGGTAAATACGAACGCCACTGTATTTCAGAAAAATCTTAGGGAAAATAAATTTAAAGTATTGCAATTGTTAAACTTATATAAAAACTCAAAAAAAATACGATAATAAACCTATTATGTAATAATGCATCATATATAAATACAAAAATCAAACAGGTTAAAAATTAAAATGCATTACACAATTAAAACCTTCAATAACTTTATCAAATCATAACGGATTTTTGCAAAACTTGGTACAAAAAGTATTTTGGAGTGATTGAATGTAAATACAAAAATAAAAGTCAAATTTTTTAAATTCAAAATGGCGGACTTTCCTAAAACTTATTTTTAAAAATCATCAAATTTGCTAACCCTGAAACCCCCCGAGTAACAATTTTCGAGCGAATCCAATGAATTTTTTAATTCTCGTCCGCCATTTTGAATTTTGAAAAACTGACTTCAAATTGGTAATTAGCGACCCCAAAAACCGTAGAATACCAAATTTTATTAAGATCCTGAAAAACTTTTTTCAACAAACCATTTGGCAAAAAAATTGAAACACTCCTTCGAGAGAACAGAGATTAAGTTTCTGCTTATTAATTACTAACGAGGATACGTATAGAAAGAAAAACTTTTTTCTATGTACTTTTATAATGTTAAAATAATAGTGTAATCAAATAAAAACAATTTTGTGTGGCTTTGATGTAAAAAAAAATTATTAAAAATACCGTTCGGATTTACCCCAGTTTTCCAATTTTCTTGGGTAAATACGAACGGTCTGATATTATTAATAAAATTTTACAGAAGGCAAAAATCAAATATAGTTTCTGTTCTAGTATTCATAACAAACAATTATAAATAATAAAATGAATTTTTAGCTTCTTTTTCTTGAAATACGAGACAAAATACTGAAAGAGTGTCATCTTTGATTTTCAATCTTTTTTGCAATACTTGTTATCTTTGTTTATGCTGTTGCTAATTAACAAACAAAAAATGGGATAATACTTAGAATCTCTTCAAGAGGATCTGAGGTAAAAATTCTCATATCGAACTTATTTTTAAAAATTTTAATTAAGCTGAAATAATTAGCGTTCGGATTTACCCCCCGTTCGGATTTACCCCGACTGACCCTATAACGCTGCTATTTATAAAATGAAGAAACTAATTACTAAATAATAGATTACGCAGTGCTGTATTAAATGCTTCTAACTTAATATTAAAAAAGTCAATGTCATTAGCAACCGTATTAGCCTTTATAGATAATCTGTTAATGACAGAATTAATTCCGTAATTTGTACGATGATATGGTATTTGAAACAGTACATAATGTCTGGAATGACGTTTTGAAATAGAAAATTTAATTAGTGATAGTAAGGGGGGACAATCAACGTATCCATTTAAAATTTTAAAAAAGAAAAGTAAATAAAAATAGTCAAATCTAGATGTAAGTCTGGATATGTTCGCCAATGAACGTAAACTGTCATATTCATGTGAAAATCTATCAAAATTTTGATAATAATTAATTTTGAATTAAAATTTTGGGTAATAATTAATTTTTATTTGATTTTAAATTGAAAATTTGGAAAATAATTGAATTTTAAAAGATTTTGAATTGAAAATTTTGAAAATAATTGAATTTTCTTTGATTATGAATTGAAATTTTTTGGTAATTTTATTTGTTATTTTTTTAAATTATAAACAATTGTTAAATTTTATACAAATTTTAGTTGAAAAATAATTTGAAATAATTAAATTTGTGATGAATTTCATTAAAATTATTAAAAATAATTAATTTAGTGAAGAATTTTTGTTAAATAATTGAAATAAAGAAGATATGAAAAAGATCTGCATTTTATACTAAAAAAAAATAAATTTTTTAAAAAAAATTTTTAAAAAATGTAAAAAAAGTCGAAAAAAATCGTATTTTTGAAAAAAAGTTGGAAATAGTCGAAAAAGTTGTATAATCCGAGGCCTGTAAATGTTAAAAATTTTAAAGTCAGTGCGATTCCAAGTGAGATTTTGACTTTTTCGGAGTAGGTTAACCGATTGCAATGAAACTTTGGAATTTTGTTATATATAGTAAGACTAATCTTTAACGTAAATTTCAGCCTAAAATATTTGTTAGTTTACGAGATTTGCAATAATAACAAAAAATTAAAAAATTGCTATATCTTCCGTTCTAACAAACGGATTGAGGTCTACTTTTTTTTAAAATGTCAAGGAAAATGAGAGGAATAAATCTCTTTCAGAACATTTTTTTATAATTTTACAACTAAAAAAATTATTAAATAATAATTGAATAACTTTCGCGCGACTAACTAAAATTCAATCACTTAAACGCTAAAATGATCTTACCTGTGTTTTCTTTAATGTTCTAAAGGATTTTTATTGTAAATGTAAGTTTAACTTAAGAAATTTTATTAATTTATTAGTATAAACAATTGAGATTTCTGCTAGTTGACGTGCAGACGACATTGCGCACGCAGCATTCTCACATAGCCAATTTAGTCCACGAATCACGTCAGTTGGCTATGTGAGAATGCTGCGTGCGCAATGTCGTCTGCACGTCAACTAGCAGAAATCTCAATTGTTTATACTAATAAATTAATAAAATTTCTTAAGTTAAACTTACATTTACAATAAAAATCCTTTGGAACATTAAAGAAAACACAGGTAAGATCATTTTAGCGTTTAAGTGATTGAATTTTAGTTAGTCGCGCGAAAGTTATTCAATTATTATTTAATAATTTTTTTAGTTGTAAAATTATAAAAAAATGTTCTGAAAGAGATTTATTCCTCTCATTTTCCTTGACATTTTAAAAAAAAGTAGACCTCAATCCGTTTATTAGAACGGAAGATATAGCAGTTTTAAATTTTTTGTTATTATTGCAAATCTCGTAAACTAACAAATATTTTAGGCTGAAATTTACGTTAAAGATTAGTCTTACTATATATAACAAAATTCCAAAGTTTCATTGCAATCGGTTAACCTACTCCGAAAAAGTCAAAATCTCACTTGGAATCGCACGAGCAATAAAGAGGCACTTATAAAAAACTAAATCCTTGGAAAAAATATCGTGAAAAATTTAGTTTGATAAGCATAATAAAATTATATTTTTATCTTTAACTTTTATGAAATTTTTAAATATATTATTTCTGAATATTTGTTCTCATCACTAGCTAAATATATACAATATTTAATCCCTTCAATAAAAAAGGAAATTTGTTTTAATTGAAAGTACAAGATAATGCCTATTTATAAACTGTCAAACTGATTGAAGCTTCAGTATCTTTTAAATGGTTTAGTTTAAAAGTACTTACATCTTCCTGTAGTAATAAAATTAAAATGTGCATAATTCGTTCACACAATATTAATGTATGAAATATTAATGTATAAACTATCTTTAAATGTTTATTTAATGAAATATTCTTAATTGTTTTTTTTTTAAATAAAATAATGCTAATTTATTTTTATTTAAATAGCTCTATAAAAAATACAATTAAAATTTATTAAATTTCATTTATAGATAATGAAAAGATTTCTTATTTTTCTGGGACCTCTTTTAGTGTTCATTTTTCTCTTAAGGTAAGTTGACAAAAAATTTATATTAGTTATTAATGAAATTTTTTTTGTCATTTATTAAAATTAAATGTACAGTGAAATTAAATTAGTAAGATTAAAAAAATTGTAATAAATAATATTTATATATTAATTTTTGGAATAATAAAGTATAATTATTTTAAATAGTTTGACTGAGAGCAATGCTTCTAATGTGAAAAAACCGAGAAAAATAATAATAGACACCGATGCAGGAGCTGATGATGCTGTTGCTATTCTCTTAGCTTTAAAATATGAAGCAGCTAATAAAAATGACATTGATATTATTGCAATTACTTGTACATATGGAAATACTAAACGGGAAAATGTTGAAAAAAATGTTCTTAAAACTTTAATCATTGCAAATAGAACCGATGTATGTATACAAAATTTTTTTTTTTTTTTGCATTTGTTAATTTACATTTTTTTATTATTATTATTTAATTTACATTAAAAAAAATTTTTTTAATAGTAAATTTAATTTTAAGCTTTTTCTTTAAATTAAAATATTTTTTTTAGATTCCAATTTATGGAGGTGCAGAATCGCCTTTAGTGAAACATTGGGAAGATAATCATTATTTTGGTATTGATGGATTTGGTGATTTTCATTTTGATAAAAAAATTCCAATTTCCGTTAATAGATCCAAACATGCGTCTGTTGCACTTATTGATTTAGTTAAATCTAATCCAAGTAAGATTAATATAAAAATTTTTTTTTTTTAGAAAAAATCCTATTTTATAACATTTTTAAAAAGAGTAATAATATTATCTCTGATTCTTATCTTATCTAAAGTACTAGTGCAAAAAAAGTAAATACATATATAGACTAATAGAGATGAACTTGATATATATTTAAAATGTATTTTTTATATTTTTCAAATTAAAAAAAAAAAAAATTTTTTTTAGATGAAGTAAGTATAATTGCACTTGCACCTCTTACGAATATTGCAATGGCAATTAAATTGGATCCAACTTTTATTAATTTTGTCAAAGAATTCTACATTATTGGCTCGAGTATCTCTGGTATTGGAAATGTGAGTCCAAATGTTGAATTTAATTTTGGTGCTGATCCTGAAAGTAGTTTTATCGTATTTAATTCTTCAACAAAGCCTAATATTTTAATACCATGGGAACTCGCCTTGGAATCTCCAATTACAAAAGTAATTTTTTTCTCAATTGTTTGAATTTATATTAATTCATTTATCAAAGACAGTCATTAAAAAAAAAGTTTTTCTTGATAGAAAACAATTATTTATTAAAAATCACGTAACTGTTATATATGTGATTTCTAATATAAATAATTTAATAATTTTTCTTTTCTTTTATTACTATATGCAGAAATGGCGAAATAATGTTTTTGGAGAACTCAAATCAAAAGCAGTGAAATTTTTAAATCAAGCTGAAGCTATTGTTTTAATAAATGCCGATTCTTGGATATCAATTGATGCAATAGTTATAGCCACTTTTTGTTGGCCAAATTTAATAAATAATTCATGGACAACAAATATTACTCCCGTTTATGATGGTGCTGCACAAGGCTCAGTTCTTGTTGATTATTTAAATATTACTGGAAAACTGCATAATGCAAAAATTATTAAATCATTTGACGTGGAACTTTATAAAAATAAATTACTTCACTATTTTCGAAATTAAATTAAATGATTGAAGTAAATTTAAATAAAATTTTAATACACATGTAAAAATATAAAAGAATTATATAAATTGAATTCAAAAATAATAAATAAATTTATTATTAATTAAATATTATCTAAATTTAATAACACTGCTTTATTATATCCATGAAGAACGACAGATTTGCCTGCAGGATGCCATTGTGCATTTAAAATTGTAATATCTTTTGGAGTATTTCGACAAATTACTTCATTTTTATTCCACATAAAAATATGACTACTCTCCGAAAGAATTAATAAACGAGGAGAAATGGGATTCCATTTTACAGCTGAAAAAAAGAAATTTATTTACTGGAATATTTCTTTTTTTTTTTAATATAAATAAAATACTATAAATGTATATATTTGCGATGGTATAGTAGAAGAAAATTAATATTACCGGAAATTGTGTTTTGTAAAAGAATAAAATTCATATCGCCCGTTTTTATTTCCAATATCCATAATGTTGTGGGATATATTTGATGTCTTATTGCTAAAAAATGACCACATGGACTAAATTCCAATATATCAAAATGAGCAATTTTTATACAATCTTTTTTACTAATTGGAATATTTATTGGCCGAGTTAATATTTCTTCAACTGAAAATATATAAAAATTTATTTTAATTATTCTTTTCATTCAATTTCACTTATTTTATAAATAAAAAACAGTTGGACTCCTTTTTTCGAAAAAAAAAAATCACGATTATTTTCCATGTTAATCAAAGAAAATTTTTTGATAAATTTCTTTGTTTGAAAAACTTTCTAAAAAAAAATTCCATTTTTTAATCAATTATTAAATTGAACTAAAAATAATAAATAAATAAAAAATCACTAAAATTGTAAGTAATTTTTTACTTTCCAAAGAAAAGAATTTATTTTCTTTTTATTACAGGAAAATTTAATTAATATATTATAACTTACTATCGTGTTTCGGTCTCTGTGTATTGACATTATTTGGATCCTTATTGTGAATAATAATTTCCTTAAAAACTCTATTATGACAATGACTATCCGTAATAACAGGATCACAATATATTTGTAATGAAGGTTTCCAAGTTATGCAGTTTATTAAAACAACCTGTGAAAAAAAAGAACAAAAAAAAAAAAAATTTCTTTTTCAAATAAAAGAAAATTCTTAATTAAAAAATGAAAATATTATCAATCACATTTTTTAAAGAAACCAAGTGATAAATATTTGATATTAAAAAGAAAATTTTGCTATTATTATAATTAAAAATAAAATATACCATTTCATTGTGACCAGAAATTGCAATTAATTGTGAACTAGGCATCCATTTAACTAATTCAATTCCTCGTAATTTTTTATGAAAAACATTGTCCATCTCGTCATGTTTCTCATCTTTTGGAGAAAAAATTCCAATATGACTTTCTGAGATAGTTGAATAAATAATTAATTTTGATTCACCGCTATTCGAACACCAGATACATAATGCTTCTCCATTTGGCGACCAACACAAACCATTAATTGAACTTATTCGTTCGCATATGAGTTTCTGAAAAATTACATTTATTTTGTAATTTTATATTTTAAAAAATTAAGAAATTTAGATAAAGAAATTTCGTTAAAAAAAAAAGAAATAATATTTAATTTGATACATAATTATAAATTATTGGTAATACAAAAATTTTTTTTTGTAAAAAATGGAAAAAACAATCGTTTACCTTTTATTCTTAAAACTAAGTGACAAAAAAGCGATAAAAAAATATAGTTAAAATAAATTAACATACAAAATAACTAATTTGTGTCTATTTCAACTTTTCATCAATAATTGAACAATTAATAGTTTAAATTTTGGATAAATTGAAACTTAAATCAATAAAAATTTGAATAAATGGAAATTCGAATAAATTTAAACTTAAATCAATTGAAATTTAGATGAAATAAAATTCGAATAATATATAAACTTCTATAAAATGAAAATACTGCAAAATAAAAATTACGTAAAAATTTTGTTCGGTAAAAATTCGTTTAAAAATAAATTTAATTAATTAAACGATAATTTGAAACTTAAATCAATTGAAATTTAGATCAATTAAAATTTGAATTTGAAACTTCGATTAATCCTTCGATTAGATTGAAATTTCGTTAATTTTAAATTTTGATCAATTGAATTTGACTAAAATTTTACATAATTAATATAAATTTATTTTTATCCAATAAAAATTAGAATTGATTAAAATTTAGAATAATAATAATTTGAAACATAAGACCAATTAAAATTTTGACAAATTAAAATTCGTATATTTCAAAAACTTAAATGAATTAATAAAATTTAAATAAATTATAAAATTCGGATAATTTGAAATTTTAATCGATTTAATCTTAAGATACATTGAAATTCTAATAATTTTTTTCTTCAAAACTTCATTAAGAGCATTTGAACCTTCGTGACGTCACAAATCATGGCGCATGACACGCAAACTTCTCAGGTATGTGAAAAGCACAATTTTGAATATTTTTTAAAAAAACCTTTTGGAAAATGTTCAGAGAAACATAGACTATGTCTGTTATGTGCGAAAAATTCAAAATTTTGCGTATAAAACGTTTTTTAAACAATGTTTAAGTTGGTTGTCACAAGTAAGGAAAAATACACGAATTGCTTATATGTAGGCATTGTTTAAAAAACGTTTTAAACGCAAAATTTTGAATTTTTCGCACATAACAGACAGAGTCTGTGTTATTCGGAATATTTTCCAAAAGGTTTTTTTTAAAAAATATTCAAAATTGTGTTTTTCACATACCTGAGAAGTTTGCGTGTCATGCGCCATGATTTGTGACCTTAACATTGTTTAAAAAACGTTTTAAACGCAAAATTTTCAATTTTCCGCACATAACAGACAGAGTCTATGTTATTCTGAACATTTTCCAAAAGGTTTTTTTAAAAAATATTCAAAATTGTGCTTTTCACATACCTGAGAAGTTTGCGTGTCATGCGCCATGATTTGTGACGTCACGAAGGTTCAAATGCTCTTAACAAAATGTTTGCATAACCTAAAATGTATTTCTTATCATTTTTATTTAAATTAATTTGGTATTACAAGTGCCTTAATTTTGAATAGTACAAATTTTAATTAAAACTATTTTACAATGTAAAAATTTTATTATTTAAAAAAATTAATTTAAAATTTAAAAAAAATCAAATTAAAATAATTTATAATTATTACTATACTGTTGTTATAATTATAATAATCGAAAATATTTAATAGTAGGAAAATATTTAGATTCTGATCACATTTTTTAATCTTAATTGTTTACTCAATTTTAGAAATACAAATATTTACAAAAAATATTTCATTTTTTCAAAGTGCATTGTGTTTGTTCGTTAGAAGCGATAATTTTAATTCACATTTTTATGAACTAGCGATGTATTCCTCGCTCGCTAACGCTCGCTCGTTTAAAATTGTACTTATTGTTGTTTACTTACTGTAGTTTATGTATATTATATTTATAATTTATGTTTTAAATTAATATCTTATTAATATTGTATAAAATTTATCATAAAATTGAAAAAAGATGTTACATAAAAATAGTTTGTAAGACTTTCTAAAAGCATATATGCAAAGTATTTTGATTTATTTGAAAATAATTGAAAATAGATTTTTCAAGGACGGTGTCGAGGTCACGGGGTCGGTGTCCGTTTTCGAAATTTGTTAACTTAATATAATAGAAGATGTTTCGTTTTAAATTAAGAAATGTTAAAATTATTAAGTTAAAAACATTTGATTTTAATGACACTTAAAGTAGACACAATATTATAGGTTACTAACTAAAAATTGGAAAAACAACAATAAATAATAAAAAATAATAATAAAGAATTGAAAAAATCAAAAAATTCTTAAAAAATTGCAAAATAACCCTTTTTCGGGTTAAAATTGAAAAAAGATGTTACATAAAAATAGTTTGTAAGATTTTCTAAAAGCATATATGCAAAGTATTTTGATTTATTTGAAAATAATTGAAAATAGATTTTTCAAGGACGGTGTCGAGGTCACGGGGTTGGTGTCCGTTTTCGAAATTTATTAACTTAATATAATAGAAGATTATTATTTGATAACAATTGTCATTTTATCCTTTAATAAAAATGATAGAAATCGAGATTTTTTTTCTATAAAATAGTAATGAAATAATAATTTAAAACATAAATTAAATATAAATATGAATAAATTACAATACATTTCTAAATATAATTGGAATTATGTGTTTATATAATTGAACTTTTATTAATTATAAGTAAAATAAAGAAGACAAATTTCGAAAATAGAACTTAAGAACTTTGTTTACTTTTGATTTAAGCCCTGTTCATATCCAGCGAATTGCACAGTAAATACGTAAAATACACCGAGTTACCGAAGCTAAAATTTTCCCCGACTCAACCTTGTCTCTTGTCACATGGCAACATGTTCAGGTTAGAATCGTAATCAACAAGACAACAAAATAAACTTTTGTATATACAATAATAATTGTAAAAAAAAAAAAAAATGTCAGAGACTATTAATTCCCACATTCAATACATCAGCTGCGCTTGTAATCGTATTCCCCATTCAGCAGATTATGGTAAAAATGGAATTTTATCATACGGTGCATGTAATTCAGTGGCAATATGTGATTTCAATACAAAAACAACAACGGGCAAAGTAATTAAAACACTTCATCGTCATAAAAATAAAGTCAATGTTGTACGATGGATTAAAAATTCATCACAAGAATCGGAAACAGAATTAATTTCCGCATCATCCGATGGTACTGTCATTATTTGGAGTAAAATTGCAATGAATTATAAGCCAACAAGTACAATTAATGTCAATGATTCTGTTTCTATTTGTCATGCTATTTATACAACTAATGAAACAGAATACAATCTTCTCATATGTACAGGATCGATAAATGGTGATTTTCGTCTTTGGAAACGAAATGAAGCAAATGAAATTATTTTACAACAAACATTTTCCTTTGCCAAACGAATACCCTTGCAAGCATGTCTCTCGTTTCTACCAAAAAGTAATGAACCACTTTTATTTATTGCATTTGATGATTTTACAATTCAATTATTTACAAAAAATTCCATGGACAATGATTTAATTAAAGTGAAAAGTTTAATTGGTCACGAAGATTGGGTGACTTGTATGGATGTGATGGTAGTTAATGATGAAATATTTCTCGCGAGTGGATCACAAGATACTTTTATACGTTTATGGAAATTGTCACAAAAATATGAAACACTGAATGAAGAATTAACAACGAAAGCCGAAGAATTTGAAATAAATAATAAAAAATATCAAATTGTTTTGGAATCAATTTTAAGTGGACATGAGGGTTGGATTTATGGAGTTAATTGGCATCCGGCAATTATTGACAATAATGGAATATTAATACAGCCAATGAAATTATTATCGTGTTCATTGGATAAAAGTATGGTTATATGGGAATCAAATGAAAGTACGGGAATGTGGATGGAAACTGTACGCGTTGGTGAAGTTGGCGGTAATTCTGTGGGATTTTATGGATGTAAATTTGGATCAAATGGAAAAGAAATAATAGCGCACGGCTATCAGGGATCGTTTCATATTTGGCAATTTGATGAGAATGAAAAAAATTGGATTCCACTTTCGGCGCCTAGTGGACATTTTGGTGAAGTTGTGGATTTAGCCTGGGATCCAAAAGGAAGGTATGTATTTTCTTAAAAATAAAATAAATATCATCATCTATTCATTTTTCTTCACCTATTTAAAATTTTCTCACTTTTTGATAATTTTTTTTTATCTTTTTCACTTTTCTCACGATTTGATTAATTTGTTGATGTAATAATTGAAAAAAAAATTAAATTTACAAATGAAAAAACATTAATTTAATGTGAGGAATGTTGAAAAATAATTATTAGTTTAAAAAAGAATTTTTAACATTTCTGAACTTATATTAATTTACAGAATATAAAAATTACAAATTTTCATTTTTTTAAAAACTAATTCAATAGACACAAGCTTGAATTTATCAAAAAAATATTAATCGATTTTAAAAATTATTTAGGACACTATTTAAAAAATTTATTGATTAAAATTGTAATCGATCTAAATTTAAATTAATTCTAATTTTTATCATCTACCAAATCAAATAATTTAAAATTAAATTTATTCAAATTTTAATTCATCAAAATTTCATTTTTAATTAAATTTTATTCGATTAAAGTTTTAATCGATTCAAATTTCAATTCAATTTAAATTTTATTTTTTAATTTCAAGTGATTATACTTTCAATCAATTTTTATTTTTTATTAGCCAAAACAAATTTATTAATTAAAATTTTAAATGCAAATTCAATCGATCGAAATTTAAAATTAACGTATTTTCAATCTAATCTAAGGATTAATCGAAGTTTCAAACTATCCAAATTTTCATTGAATAAAGTTTTATATTATCCAAATTTTAATTTATCTAAATTTCAATTGATTTAAGTTTCAAATTATCTTTTAATTATTTAAATTTATTTTTAAACGAATTATTACTGAACAAAATTTTTAGGTAATTTTTATTTGGCAGTATTTTCATTTTATAGAAGTTTATATATTATTCGAATTTTAATTCATCTAAATTTCAATTGATTTAAGTTTAAATTTATTTGAATTTCCATTTATTCAAATTTTTATTGATTTAAGTTTCATTTTATCCAAAATATAAACTATTAATTCTTCAATTATTGATGAAAAATTGAAATAGACACAAATTAGTTATTTTGTACGTTAATTTATTTTAACTATCATTTTTTTATCGCTTTTTTGTCACCTAGTTTTAAGAATAAAGGTAAACGATTGTTTTTTCCATTTTTTACAAAAAAAAATTTTGTATTACATACCAGTAATTTATAATTATGTATCAAATTCCAAATGTATCAAAAATTCCAAAAGGAAGGTATGTAAATTGTTAAAAATAAAATAAATATCATCTATTCATATTTCTTCACCTATTTAAAATTTTCTCACTTATTTTTTTGATAATTTTATTTTTATCTTTTTCACCTTTCTCACAATTTGATTAATTTGTTAATGTAATAATTTAAAAAATAATTAAATTTACAAATGGAAAAACATTAATTTAATTTTAGAACTATTGGAAAAATAATTTACTAGTTAAGAAAGAATTCTTTTCTAACATTCCTTGAGCTTATATTAATATACAAAATATAAAATTACAAATTTTTATCCAAACTTGAATTTATCAAAAAATTTTCATTGATTTTAAAAATTATTTAGAACAAATTTAAAGTATTTATTGATTAAAATTGTAATCGATCTAAATTTAAATTAATTCTAAATTTTATCATCCACCAAATCAAATAATTCAAAATTCAATTTATTCAAATTTTAATTCATCAAAATTTTATTTTTAATTAAATTTTATTCGATTTAAGTTTTAATCGATTCAAATTTCAATTCAATTTAAATTTTATTTTTTAATTTCAAGTGATTATACTTTCAATCAATTTTTATTTTTTATTAGCCAAAACAAATTTATTAATTAAAATTTTAAATGCAAATTCAATCGATCGAAATTTAAAATTAACGTATTTTCAATCTAATCTAAGGATTAATCGAAGTTTCAAACTGTCCAAATTTTCATTGAATAAAGTTTTATATTAACCGAATTTGAATTTATCTAAATTTCAATTGATTTAAGTTTCAAATTATCGTTTAATTATTTAAATTTATTTTTAAACGAATTTTTACTGAACAAAATTTTTAGGCAATTTGTATTTGGCAAAATTTTTATTTTATAGAAGTTTATATATTATTCGAATTTTAATTCATCTAAATTTCAATTGATTTAAGTTTAATTTTATTCGAATTTCCATTTATTCAAATTTTTATTGATTTAAGTTTCAATTTATCCAAAATTTAAACTATTAATTCTTCAATTATTGATAAAAAATTGAAATAGACACAAATTAGTTATTTTGTACGTTAATTTATTTTAACTATCATTTTTTTATCGCTTTTTTGTCACCTATTTTTTTTTTTTTTAAAGTGCATAATTGTTTTTTTCCATTTTTTATAAAAAAAATTTTTGTATTACCAATAATTTATAATTATGTATCAAATTCCAAATGTATCAAAAATTCTAAAAGGAAGGTATGTAAATTGTTAAAAATAAAATATTCATATTTCTTCACCTATTTAAAATTTTCTCACTTATTTTTTTGATAATTTTTTTTACCTTTTTCACCTTTCTCACGATTTGATTAATTTTTTGATGTAATAATTTAAAAAATAATTAAATTTACAAATGGAAAAAGATTAATTTAATTTTAGAACTATTGGAAAATAATATACTAGTTAGGAAAGAATTTTCTTTTAACATTCCTTCATCTTATATTAATTTATAAAATATAAAATTACAAATTTTTATCTTTACAAAAAAAAAAAATAATTCAGTACATTAAAACTTGAATTTATCAAAAAATTTTCATTGATTTTAAAAATTATTTAGGATAAATTTAAAGTATTTATTGATTAAAATTGTAATCGACAAAAAATGAAATTAATTCTAATTTGTATTATCTATCAATTCAAATAATTTTAATAGATCCAAATTTCAATTTAATCTAAATTTTATTTTAAATTTCAAGTGATTCAACTTTTAATCAATTTTGATTTTTACTGTTCAAAACAAATTTATTAATTAAAATTTTAATCTAATGCAAATTCAATTAATCGAAACTTAAAAGTAACAAAATTTCAATCTATCTAAAAATTAATCGTATAAGTTTCAAATATTATTCGATTTTCAATTTATCCAAATTTTAATTGGTTTATGTTTCAAATTATCTAAACTTTCTTTTAATTGGTTTATTTTTTTAATTAATTCATTTAAATCTGAAATTATTCGACTTTTAATTTATCTAAATTTTAATTTATTTTACGTTTAAAATTATAGGAATTTTAATTTATCAAAATTTTGATTGATTTAAGTTTCAAATTATTCGAATTTAAATTTATCAAAATTTTGATTAATTTTAGTTTCAATTTATCGAAAAATCAATTTATCCAAATTTAAATCTGTTCATATTTTAATTCATACAAATTTTAAAAAATATGACTTTCAATTCATTATAAATTTTAATTGTTCCAACTTTCAATTAATTCTAATTTATTAATTATAATTTTCACTAAATGTAAATTTAATCGATCGAAACTTAAAAGTAATAAAATTTCAATTTAAAGTTTAATCGATTTAATTTTCAAATTATCCGAATTTTAATATATCCAAATTTTGATTGATTTAAACTTCAATAAAATTTTATTAAGAATTTTTTTAGAATTGAGACAAATTTTCAAAATTAGAATTGAATAGAATAGATTTTGAAAAAAACTTGAAAAATTCTTTTTTTTCTAATTTTTAAAGTCTAATAATTATTATGCAAATTATTTTAATTCTTAATTTCAGCAAAGATTTGCAATTTAAATCGTCAAAAACTTTTCAATAAGTTTTTTAAAAAAGTTATCTAAAATCGATGCTTGAAAAATTATTGAGGTTTTAATTGATACAATATTTGAAAATAAAATTAAAAATAATTTTGTTTAATTAGAGTTGTTGACAATTTTAATAATTATTAATTAATAATCAATTTGATTAAATATTTGCAGCTAATTTTATTTATTTGATTGGATAATAGAATATAATTTCAAATAATTGATTGGAGATACATTTTATATATATTTTTATAAAGAACTAATTTGAAAATTTATTATTAAGACTTTTAAAAATGTTTTGAATTTTAATTTTCAGAATTATTCTAACACAAAAATTTTTTAATTAAATTATTTGTCTCAACAATGTTCTACAAAATAACATTAGAAAATAGTTTTAAGATCGTTTTTTGAATCTTCTTGTTAATTTTTGTGAATCTGTTAAAAATGAAAATTTTTTTGATTTGCATCTTTAAAATTTTGCCGAAAATTTAAATTAGATAATTTTTTATAAATTATAGTTTAAACACTTTTAAGCTGGAAATTTTGTCTAAAAAAATAAGGAAATTAATTACAAATTTGGTATTTAATATCTATTTTATATATTTTAATTTATAAATGTACATGAAGTCCTGAACGTACAAATGAACGAAAAATTTATTTACTTTTTTTTAACTTCAAATTTTATTATAAAATATTGCTTTCTGTATCCAAAAATAAATTAACAATTTATTTTTTTATTTTTCATTATTGTAGTAATTTAAAAAAAATTAATTCATTCATTTGAACGTTCAGAATTTCAGGCACATAGTTATAAATTTTTTTTTTTTTTTTGTCATTGAAAAGTACATGAAAAATTGTTCAAAAATTCCTGTTTGAAAATTAAAATTTATTCTTTCTGTTAAAGATATTTTCTATACAATTTTTTTTTTAATTTTGAAAAAATATTGAATATTTTCACAATATATTAAAAATTAGTTTCAGATAGCGATGATAAAAATTAAATATTCATTTTTCACAATTTTAAAGTCAATCCAAGACCTTGTAATAAGAAAATTAAATTGATAAAAATTTTGATTACAGATTTTTGGTGACAGTAAGTACCGATCAAACAACAAGAATTCATGCACCCTGGATGAACAATTTGGACAATTGGCATGAAATTGCCCGACCACAAATTCATGGACACGACATGTCATGTTTAACAATGTTGGCACCCTATAAATTTGCCTCGGGTGCAGAAGAAAAAGTTGTTCGTATTTTCACATCACCGCTAACATTTAAAACATGTTTAGAGAAAATATCATACGCTGACGATTTTAAAGGACGACTTGCTGAAAATGCATCGCTACCTGCACTCGGTCTAATGAATAAAGCAATTTTCGAACAAGATTTAAAGGAAATAGAAAAACACGCAGGTACATCGCGAGATTTAATATATGAACGACCACCAGTTGAAGAGGAACTTATACAACATACATTATGGCCAGAAGAACAAAAACTCTATGGACATGGCTATGAAGTGTTTACAATGGCATCGCGTCACGATGGCACATTATTGGCAACTGCCTGTAAATCCACTAATCCTGAGTATGCGGCAATTTTAATTTGGAACACAAAAACATGGCGACAAGTACAAAAATTAATAGCCCATCAATTAACTGTGACACAACTTGCATTCTCGCCAAATGACAAATATTTATTATCAGTTTCACGCGATAGACGATGGTCATTATTTAATTTTAATAATGGCGAATATAATTTAATAGCGGCGAGTTTAAAAAAGGATAGTCTTCATGGAAGAATAATATGGTGTTGTGCATGGTCGCATGATTCAAAATTATTTGCAACTGGTTCGCGTGATGGAAAAATTGGAATATGGAGTGAAAATGTTCATTTAAATAAACCTTTTATTCCAATAACAAGTTTTGAGGGAAATATTTCTGTGACAGCTGTTGCATTTGCGCCAATTTCATTATGTTCAGATGAATATATTTTGGCAATAGGCTATGAAAATGGTGAAATTGAAATAAGACAAATTTTAATCAAAGAAAATGAATCAATTTGGAAATTATTAGCAAAATATGATTCATCATTTGCACATCATTTAACTGTTAAACGTCTTCAATTTTGCCCGCGTGAAAATAAAATGGACACAATTTTACAATTAGCGAGTTGTGGCTCAGATCATATTGTTAAAATATATAGTTTTGATGTTGAAAAACTTGTAAATAATGTTTTATAAATAAATTTTCTTTTCTACTTTTATTTATAATGTTTTAATTCATTTTGCTTCCTCGTGGAGGAAGCTTTGTAGTCCTTTCGTTTATAAAAATTTTCCAATGTGGCGGAAACAAATTTTTCTCTATATAGAAACATGTTATATGAGATCCTGATCAATTGTCCGGATGTATGTGTGTGTGTGTGTGAATCCCTTTTTTGTTTAGAAGATAACTTTAACAGGTTTTAATGGATTTAGATAAAATTTGGTAGGCTTATTTATCATATTAATATCTCAAAATTGACCAAAGGATTTTAAAAAATACCCTAAAAAAAAAATTTTATCGTCTTTTTTCCGAAAAATTTTTAAATAGAAAAATTTAAAGTTATATATAATAAAATCGTATTCCTTACGTCAAGATAAATCGATCGGTATATATAAAGTATAGTTTTAATTTAAATTTAAAGAATTAATGAAAGTTAAAAAATCAAAAATTCACATTTTAGCTGAAAAATTTTGTATTTATTTAAATTCAAGTTTAAATATAAAATAATTGTGTTCCTTGCATTGAAACGAATCGATATAATTGTAAACAATCATAAATTATATATTATTTTTTATTAATTTTTAGAAATTTCAGCTAAAATGTGAATTTTTACTCAAATGTTTATATTATTATATTATTTTTGTATGTTTATTTCAATGTTAATGCTTTCTCCACGAGGAAGCAAATTTTTTTTGCTGATCGTAAAGAGGAAGCAAAATGTTCATGTAATGAACATCTGAATTTACAACTTGTTTAAATGTGTTTTATTAAATTAATTAAATTAATAATTAATTTTTTAAAAGAAGGTAAACCTTTTTTTTAAATTTCTCTACTTTAAAAATTATAATTTTCTATTTTAAATAAAATGAAATTTTCATAAAAACATACCCTACTCAGCTTCCAATCTTCTGTTCTGTATATTTCTACGCTATCTTTTGTGTCATCCGATATTACGACTGCCAAACGTTTTCCATCGGGACTGAATTCTAATTTTTCATTAGCTGAAGATTTTAAATTCTGTATGTGAATAACGGTTCGAGTTTGCAAAGACCATATGGATAATTGTATCTAAATTGAAAAGAAAAATTTTAAAATATTTTATAAATTACATTATTGTTAATAATAAAAATAATAAAAATAATAATAATAATAATAATAATAATAATAATAATAATAGTAATAACAGGCCTCAGATTATAAAACTTTTTCGAACTTTTTTGTAAAATACGATTTTTTTTGACTTATTTTAATAAGATGCGACTTTTTCGATTTTTTACAAAATTTTTAAACAAAATACGTCTTTTTTGGTATACAATGCAGATCTTCTTAATATCTTCTTTATTTCAATTATTTAACAAATTTTTAACACAAATTTTTCTCTAAATTAATTATTTTCAATACTTTTAATAAACTTCTTCACAAATTCAATTATCTTTAACTATATTTTAATTAAAATTTTTATGAAATTTAACAATTGTTTACAATTTAAGAAAAAAAAATTAGTAAATAAAAATACTAAAATTTTCAATTTAAAACATTTTAAAATTTAATTATGATATTTTAAAAATTTTTCATCTACAACTTTTTTAAATTTAATCATTTTAAGTTTTAACTATAACTCTTTGGAAATGTAATTATTTTAAATGATTTTTATAATATTCTTCTAAAAATTCAATTATCTGAAAGCAATTTTTAAATTAAAAAATTAAAAAATTAAATTTCTGTCTTTAATTTTTAATAAATTTTTCAGCAGCTGAAATCACCAAAAAATTCAAATTTAAAATCACTTGAATTCAATTAATTTCAAAAATTTCAATTTAAAACCTTTTACAATTCAATTATTTCTAAAAAATTTCCATCTAAAACTTTCTAAAATTTAATAATTTCAACTATAACTCTTCCGAAATATAATTATTTTAAATGATTTTTATAATATTCTTCAAAAATTCAATTATTTGAAAGTATTTTTCAATTAAAAACTTTTGAAATTCAATTTTTGTCTATAATTTATTATAAATTCTTCATCAACAGAAATCACCAAAAATTTCAATTAAAAATCACTTGCAGTTCAATTAATTTCAAAAAAAAATAAATTGTAAATCTTTGAAAATTCAATTATTTTTAAAAAATGTTATCTAAAATTATTTAATAAATTATTTTCAATTCTGTAAAATTTAATTATTGTCTGAAATTTAACATAGTCTTGAAATTTTTATTATTTCTAAATATATTTCAACTATAACTCTTCCAGAGTTCAATTATTTTTAAAAAATTTTAATATTTCTTTAAAAATTCAATTATTAATATTTTTTTCTTTTTCTAACAAGATATAGAGCTAAGCCAAATATTATTTTAAAAAGTTTCAAATAAAAACACCAAAATTGAAATTTTTTCAGAATTTTTTTTTTTTTAGAAATTTATTCTACTTAATTAAAATTGAGGAATTAATTAATAAAATTAATTTAATATCTAATAACATTAGTTATTAAAAGTAAAATACTTATTAATTAATTAAATTTAATTAAAATAAAAAAATCGACTTTTTCGACTGTTTTTGAAATGTAATCGACTAAAACGACTTTTTTTGCGCCTTAAAGTTGATCCGAGGCCTGTAATAATAATAATAATAATAATAATAATAATAATAATAATTAAATACATAAATTAACTTACATTAAAATCTGATAAAGTGGAAATGCTTTTACTGTCGGGAGCCCAAGTAACATTTTCTAAGCCTGCACTACCTTCGGTAATTTTACACTTCCATTCTGGAAAGGAAATTGAAAATACTTGGACAATTGCACGCTTCAAATTGAGACATAAAATGTATTCACTATCTGGAGACCACTCGATATACTGTAGAAAAAATTTACAAAGTTTAGTTAAAAATATATTTATCAATAAAATTATTATATATAATTTTATTAAATCAACAATTTTAGATGTAATAAATTTCAAGGTTGCACTGATTTAAATATTGATATAAATCCACGGTGAATCACATTCATTTTGATCCCTTTGAATTTTAATATTTTTTTTATTAAAGTAAAAGTAGTTAAATATTTAAGATGAAAGATTAACGAAATTTCAAATCATTTTTTCTTTTCTTTTTGTTAAAAGTTAAAATTTTTGAAAATCCATGCGAGAGATTCAAAAAAAGTATTTAAAAAAATTTGTAAAAAAAATGTCGATGAAAAATAGTCAAAATTGTGAAATTTCTACTCTAAATAAAAATAATTAATTTAATAAAAAATTAAAAAATTTAATTAATTCTAAATTAATAAAGTCATTTTTTTTAAAAAAGTTGCGTAAAAGATCAATTCGTAGAAAATTGTTAAATAAAATAATTAAAAAAAAAAAAAGTTGAATCAAAAAAATTACCAAATTTGAACTCATACTTTAAAAAACGTCTAAGTATTTCAAAAATAAATTTTCAAAAATTATCCAAACTTTATTACGGAGTTCTTGAAATTTCAAAAATACATAATTTTAAAAAACATTAAATGCATTAATTGTTGTACAATTTTAATTTTTAATTTCAAAAAGGTTATATTTTTTTGATAAAAATACAAATATTTCTTGAAGCTCGTATTATTAAATTTATCGTTTAATTTGATTTAAATATAAAAACTTAGATTTTTAAATAAAAAGAATCGGGTTTTGCTTTTAAGTCATGATTTTTATCAGCCCTATTAAATTTACTATAATTTAACATTTAAAATAATAATTTTAAAAAAATATACATAGAAACACATGTGCAAATATTAACAATAATGAAAATAAACAAAATTCTAACCTCAATGATATCAGAGAACATAAAAGAATGAATTGTTTCGCAATTCTTTGAATATTTTACAATTAAATTACTTTGAAATGCTATGGCTAAAAAATTTCCATCGTTAGATAGAAGACATAGATTTTTATTTATACGAAATATTTCACTACACATATTTTTAATTAAAATTATAACAATATCAACAACAATACATAAACAAACGACTAGCGCAGTATGCTATATAGCAACGGCAGAGCTGCCAACATTAGCAAAAGTCAACAATTAATTAATGAAAAATAAAAAAAATCTTTTTTTAATGAAATAACTACATTTAATTAAATTTTTCTATTTAAAAAAAGTAATTTTATTTATTTATAACGTTCAAAAAATTTGTATTAAATGTTTATAAATTAGAAATAGTATTTAAATAATTTTATTTAAATATAAAAGTTGGTGGAACTGAATTTAAAATATGAGACAGTATGACGTATGAATGTGACGTAATGGAGGTGGATGGTTCCTAAAGATTTTTTTTTTTGTTCCAAAAAAGAAATCGGAAAATTATAATTAAAAAAAACAAACAGTAATAAATATTTAGAAAAGTTTATTAAACGCATGTAATATTTAATTATTTTTTCTATCAATTATGACTGAAGAGTCGCAACAATCGGAGACATCCGCGCAATCCGAATCTTCCAATACAAGAAATGCAGATATCACAAAAATAAAGGACACTAAAAAGGAAAAATGCCGACCAATGACAAAGGTAATTTTCTAAAAATGTATCTTCTTTATGATTTCTATATAACAGGATTTTTATATTATTTTGTAACAAAACTGTTAAAAAATACATCTTTTATTGAAAATTGTAAGGTTATGTTTTAACCGCTGTCAACATATTTTAAAAAATTTTGTATTCCTAAATATTTTTTATTTTATTATAATTGAAAAATAATAAATAAAGTTCTTGAAAATTTATTATTAATTTATTTTTCATTTAATGCAACATGTTTTTTTGTGACAAGTGAAATATTTATGTGCGAATATGAAAATCGCAGGGTAGTCACAAGTCTGGAAAATTGAATAGATTTACAGAAAAATGTCAATTATAAACTTTCTCTATAGATAAAAAATTTTTTAACAATTTTTTACTTTTTAATTCATAAAAATTTTAATTCAAATTAAATTTTAAACAATATGCATTTCAATTCATATTATAAATTTTAATTCCTTAAACTTTCAATCAATTCTAATTTTTAATTTTGTCAAAACAAATTTATTAATATTATAATTTTCATCGAAATTCAATCTATCGAAAATTAAAATTAATAAAATTTCAATCTGTTCAAAGATTAATCGATTTAAGTTTTAAATTATTCGAATTTTAATTTATCCACATTTTTGATTGATTTAAACTTCAAATAATCAGAATTTTAATTTATCCAAATTTTAATGAACTATTGTTATTATCAAATTAATTTTATTTATTCCTGAATAAAAATACATAGCAATATTTTCAATAAAATTTTATTAAGAATTTTTTAGAATTGAGACAAATTTTCAAAATTTGAATTCAGTAGAATAGATTTTGAAAAAAACTTTAAAGATTCTTTTTTTAATTTTTAAAGTCTAATAATTATTATGCAAATTATTTTAATTCTGAATTTCAGCAAAATATTTTCAATTCAAATCGTTAAAAAGTTTTCAATAACTTTTTTAAAAAAGTTGTCTAAAATCGATGCTTGAAAAATTATTGAGTTTTTAATTGATACAATATTTGAAAATAAAATTAAAAATAATTTTGTTTAATTAGAGTTGTTGACAATTTTAATAATTAATAATTAATAGTAAGTTGATTCAATATTTGAAGCTAATTTCAGTTATTTGATTGGATAATAGAATATAATTTCAAATAATTGATTGGAGATAAATTTTATATATTTTTGTAAAGAAATAATTTAAAAATTTTATTTTTAAGTTGGATTTTTAAAAATGTTTTGAATTTAAATATTGAGAATTATTGTAACACAACAATTTTTTAATTAAATTATTTATTATTATTAAATAACTTTAGAAAATAGTTATAAGATCGTTTGTTGAATATATTTGTTAATTTTTGTGAATCTGTTAAAAATGAAAATTTTCTATTTTGCACTTTAATTGTTTTTTTTATCACTTTTTCGTTACTTTTCGATAAATAAATTCACATTTTCACCTATTTTATGAGATAAAAGTTTTGAACGTTCAAATGAACAAAATATTTTTTTCCATCTATAAATTATTAGAAATTATAATGTCAATGTAAAATAAAACAGTAAATTAAACAAATATTAAATTAATAACTTCTTTTTAGATATTTAAAACAATTTTTAGTAATAAAATTCGTACTTAATGAAGTTAAAAAGAAAATTTTGTTCATTTCAACGTTCAAAACTTTTGGCTCATCCTATTTTCAAAAAAAAGGTATTGTGATTTTTTTTCTAGTAAATAAGAGTGAAATAAATAATAAATTATTATATATTTATTTGAAACCCGTTTATGTTTGAAATAAATAAATAAATATATTAAAATTCACTAAATTAAAAAAAAAAAATTAATAAAATTTTTTAATATCAGGAAAATTGAAAAATTTATTCTTGTGGCAACCTTATAGGAAAGCGAAATATTTTTTGCGAATATATAATGGACAATTATTTTCACGCCATAATAATTATTTATTGTTATACATTTTTTTTAGGTAGTGGTACGTCGACTACCACCGTCAATGACACAAGAACAATTTATCGAGCAAATTTCTCCTCTACCAGATTATGATTATTTATATTTTGTGAAAGCTGATATGTCACTGGGACAATATGCATTTTCTCGTGCATACATTAATTTTCTCAATCAACAGGATATTTTTATTTTCCGAGAAAAGTTTGACAATTATGTTTTTGTTGATTCGAAAGGTACGGAATATCCTGCAGTTGTTGAATTTGCACCATTTCAGAGATTGCCAAAGAAACGAATTGGAAAGAAAAAAGATTTAAAATGTGGCACCATTGAATCTGATGCTTATTATATTAATTTTTTGGAGAGTCTCAAAAATCAAGAAAGTGACTCGGGCACTAGTCAACCGAAAACGGAATATTCATATCAACCTGCCGAGAGTTAGTATATTTTATTTTTTTCATTTTTTTTTTTGTTGTTTTGTCTACTTTTGTCTTTATTTTTTGTTTTTTCTCTTCTATTAATAGATTTTTTTTTTTATTGAATAATATTGATTTTTATTGCATTTTTTAGACACTCCGAAAAAAGTAACAACACCATTGTTAGATTATTTGAAGCAACGAAAGCAGGAAAGACAACGTGTTCGTGATGAAAAACGAGAAGAAAGACGACGTCGCGATTTAGAGCGACGACGAGCGAAAGATGAATCCACTGTGTCTAAGGTAATTTTGCTTATAAATTTTAAATTAATTTTTTTATACTATTTTTTAAACTATTTTTTACTCTATTTTTAACATTATTTTTAACTTAAAAAAAAGAAAATGCAACTTAATTTGACTTTTATAGAGCGAAATGAAACTAAACGAATTTTTCTAAATTCAAATTTATTTTCCTTATTCAAATTGTAATAACGAGTAAAAATAGTTTAAAATAAAATTTCTTATTGTTGCATAACAGAAAATTTAGTTTAGAATACATTTTGAAAATTTATTTAATGTCTTTATTTTTGGAGTTAAACTATTTAAAAAAAAATATAGGAGTTAAAATTTTGAAAATTATAATAACTAAAAAAATTCTTTTAAATCTTTGACTAGAGAAAATTCCATGAATTGACAGTAGAAAACTTATTTGTAAATCTGTTAAAAAATTAAATTTTTTAAAAATATAATTTCAATTGTTTCATTTAATACTTGAAAATATTTTAAATTATTCAATTATTTGATTGAGTATTTTGAAGTTAATTTCAATTAAATATGATTAGTTAATAAATATTTTTGATAATTTATTTTGAGCTCATATTCAAATCAATCCAATAATTCTTATAAATTTTTTAATCAACAATATTCCATGAATTGTCCTTAAAAAACTTTTTGTAAATTTGTTTAAAATTGATAATTTTTTTTTTATTTATTTTATCTTGAAAATTTCGTCGATAAATTTAAATTAGATTAATTTCCATAAAGCAGACTTGAAAATCTTTTTTTAAAAACTGGACAAACTTACAAAATTATTTAAAAATTTGTTTTTCTTTTTTCAATCGTTGATCATCAACTTTGTCAACTTCACCGACGTTTTTCTTAATTCAAATTTCGAAATTTTGTTTATGAATTATTTTTAAAAATTTAAAGAAGCAATGAAATTAATTAATTCATTTAATATTTAATAATAAAATTTGAATATTTAATAATAATAGTAAAATATTATTAGTAACTAATTAAATTGATTTGAGAATTAAAAATATCGACTTTTCGCGACTTTTTTTGCGTCTTAAAGTAGATAACGAAAATTCGTGAATCGTTTAAAATGTTCTTTGCCATCAAATACAGTATATTAAATTAAATATCATTGTAAACTTTTGAAAAAAAAAAACGGAAAATAATACATCAACTGAAATAATAAGAAAAATATTTCTAAACTACAAATTTTTATTTTAACTCAATTTAATTATGAATTATAATTTTATAAACTTGTTTTATATATAAATTAATTAATAAAAATTAATTAATTGTAAATTAAAATTAAGTTTTAATGATTTTACTGTATTTGTTGACATTGAATCTTCAATTCACAGAAAAATGTCGATATCACAAGTTCACATTCAGAATATAATAACAAGGCAATTTCATCAAGCGAAGAAATACATTTGGAAACAATCAAATCACTAATACAATCATCCAATAATTCATTTGATGTTTATCGAAAAATTAATGAAAAGTCAAAATTTAATGAGATTCGTGGAAAATTGAAAACAAATAAAAATCAACAAAAAAATTACGAGAAATTTGTTGATTATCGCGAGAGAAATTTAACACGTGATTATTATTGTTGGGATAATATTTCCGATTATCATTGGTATTGTGTAAATAATAATAATAATAATAGTAATTATTATCGAGGATGTAAATTACAACATGAACAATATAATTACAATTATAAATTATTTCCCACATTATCGGAATCACATTCAATAAATTTACGCAAATTTCAAGAATTTCGAAATATCGCGAATGTTGGCAAGTCAAAAAGTTGCGATTCAATGAATAATAATAATAAAAATTTAATAAACAACGTTTGTCATATCAAGTCTATTGCTAAAATCAGTTTACCAGGATTTCGAAAGAATTCATGATGAAAATTACAGAATTCGTGTGATTGAAAAAAAAGAGAAATTCACGTTCTGAAGATGAAATCGATTTTTATCTTGAAGAGTGTCCACCGCCGTTAATTTATGATTATTAAATCTCCGAACGTAAATAGCGTTGTTTTGTTATAAAATTTTTTGAGTGGATGAAATTTTTTTTAAAAAAAGAAATTAATGCATTTATGCAAACACATCAAAATTTGTTATTATTTTATTTTGTAATAAATGTTTTATATTACACTTTTATTACATAAATTGAAGTTTCATTCTGTCGGATTTTGTATTTATCTACTAAAAATTACTATTTGCAACTTTTTTTTTATAGTTTGTTAATATTTGGCTACTTTTTTTAAATTTTTAGTTCCTCAAATTATCATATTTAGATATTCTTATATCTCATTTTTTTTTTATTTTATTAAATTTATATATTTATTTACTTTTACAAATTGCGATTAAAAATTATTAATTTGTCCTCAATTTAAAAATTTTAATTTGAGGATTTCTAAAATTCTCAATTTATCCCGAAAAATTTATTTTTATTTTTATTCTTTCTATTTTTTGGGGGGGAGGGAATTCCTAATATTCTCTACTATTCCTTTAATTTCTTCAATTTTTTGTTTTCGTAAATTTTTGATTTCCTTTCATTAAAAAAAAATTCGTTTTTTAAACCTGACAATTTTCGAAATTGTCATTTTGTAAGAACTTTTGTTTAGAAAGTTGAACATTTTTATTATTTTTTTTTTTTTTTAATTCAAGAAGTCAAAATTTAGAAAATGTAAATTTCTGCTTAATATTATTTGAAATAAATTTAATTTTTAATTTTTTGTTATAGGTTCTAAAAAATCCAGACTCCGAGAGAGAAGTAAATAAGGACAACAAGGAGAATAAGGAGGAGAGAGAGAAAAATATTGCCAAGGATGTGAAAATTCGTAATAAAAGAGATGATAAATTTAGGGATAAATTAATGAGAGATCGTGAGGGAAAATTAACGGCAAAAACTTATAGAGATGAGAAATTTAAGGACAGAGAAATGAAATATCAAAAGAAGCATGATGAGAGAAAATTGTATGGCAAAAAAGAGGAGAGAGATAATAATTTTAAAGAAAGAAATGAATCGAGAGATGAGAGAAAATTTGATAATCGTGATGAAAATAGAGAATTTAAAGAACGTAAAATAGATGAGAAAAAAGGTAAAAGCTATGAGAAAATGCGTCAGGAAAAGAAGCGATTGTCGGAGACAAAAAAACAAAATTTAATGGAAAACAGTGTTGAGATAATTGGCGAAAAAGTGAAAATTGACGAAACTAAAAAGTCTGAGAGCAATGAACAGAATTCAATGGAAATTGATAAAGTGACATTGGAAGCAAGAGGAAGTGTTGAAAAAGAATTTGTGAATATTAAAACTCATGGAAAAGAGGATGAAGAAGAGGTGGGAGTAGAAGAAGAAGAAGAGGAATTGAAAGCTGTTTTAGATGAAGCACCAAATTCTGAAAGTAATACAATTATTTCGCTATTTTAATGATTATAAAAATTGGAATAGTAATTTAATTTTTTTACATTTTAAAAATAGTACTGCTATAAACTATATTTCATTTTTCAATGATCTATTTAATTTATTTTTTGTTGAATTTTTTTTTATTAATTACTTATTTTCATTTATTTTTTGAAACAAAAATATCAGTTGTACAATTATGAGTTTTGAATTGATTAATTAATCAAAATTTCATTATTTGTTTTTTTATAATAATTTAGTGTTAGTGTTGAAATAAATTATTTTTCATATTATAGATGCTGAAAGATTATTGGGATCGGGAGATGAGAAAATTCCAGTGAATTGTGGAAAATCGATATCCGATGAACAATTAGACAAGGAATCGGATTATTGTTGTGTGGATGAACCAAAAAAAGAGACGGTACTTGTAAAAAGAAGAAGTTCTCTGGAAAGTGGTGGTGAAGGTGGAGGTGGAGATGGTGCATGTTTGAGACGTCACAAATCATTAGACGGCGAAGATCAAGGAAATTTGCAGAAGAACGTAAGAGATGAGAAGGAGAAAAATAAAAAGGATCCCAGATTGGAACGACGCATTAGAAATAAGGTAAGTTTAAATAAAAATATATTTAAAATATTTTACATTTGAAAAATAATTTTTATGTTTTTTTTTTTTTTTATTAATTAAAGGATCGACCAACAATGGAAATTTATAGACCTGGAATGGGTAAATTTAGTAAGCAACGTATTGAGAGAGAAAAATCAACTAACGACGAGAGAGCATCTTTATCACAAAGTCCAACGCCAACTACAAATGTTTCTACGTCTTCAAAAAATACTAAATCAGGATCTGAAGTTCGCTCCATGACTTTTAAGAGAAGCGTTAGTCGAGATATACCTTAATGAAAAAAAAAAAAAAAAAACAAGATTTTCTTTCTTTCTTTCTTTTTAAAGGGAAAACATTGACCGCAAATAAGTGAGTTAAATATTTAATTTATTAAAGTTTTCCCCCATTTTCATCAACTTTTATCTATTGTGATATTTTACATACTTATTTTGTTTTTTTAAATTCTAAATTTTCGAATTTACTTCCTTTTAATATTAATATAAAAAATTACAATTAATTAATTTTATAAATTTTTTTTTTAAACGATTAATATAATAATTGTAGTAATTTTTTTTTTTTAATTTCCACTTCAGTAAAATATAACAATTTCAGATGACAAATTTTGTTTGAAAAAAAAAAAAAATTTGCTTCATGGAAAAGTTGGAATAGTGCCGAAACGCCGAAAAACTATGTTATAATGTAATCCAAAATTCAAGATTTTGTTAGATATTCAATTGAATAAGTATCAAAACAAATTTATTAAAAAAATTTTTTTTTTTTTATTGTAAATTGTTATTTTATTTTGTTAGGATTTTTTCTATTAAAAAAAAAAATAATATCAGTTTCAAAACTTATTACACATGTTTTTTATTAATTTTTTTTTACAATATATAAAAATACTCTAAGTGTAAATATATTGGAAAAATTTGATTTTAATTAATTTATACAAATTATTCTTATAATTTAAGATACTTATTGCAACTCTTAAATTTGTAAGTGTGTGTATGATTTTTTTTTTTTTTGTAAAAATTATTAGGAGAATCTTTTCGATTTATTTGATACTCTACTTGAACTTCTTCGAACAACTACTTCTTCTTGTTTTGTCCTTTTTGGTTGTGGAGCTCGACTTGTGGACGAATTGTCTGAATCACTTGTTCTTCGTGACTCGGCTGAAGGAAAAAAGGAGAATTCTTTTTTTTATTCAAATTTTATTAAAAAGTTTTTAATTTTTTTCTGATAGGATAATTTTTATAAGACTTTATATGGTTTTTTTTTTTTTTACTTTTAAGCAAATTTTCATTATTATCGAATTTGACTGAATTTTTATTTAATTAAATTTACATTTGAGTAACTTTTAATTAATCCATTTAGGTAAATTTAGATTTGATCATTTTTTAATTATTTCATTTAAATAAATTTACATTTTTCCAATTTAATTAAATTGTTATTTAACAAAATTTGCAATTAATCAATTTTATTTATAATAATTGAATTTGCTTTTGACGAAATTTTCTATTGAAAAAATGTTTTATTGATCCAAATTTTCATTAATTTTGTGATAAAAAATTTGTAGAAACTCTAAAGTTAATAAAATGTTATTTCGTTTCTTTTTATTTATTATATTTTAATTTAAATTTAGAATATATATCATTTCAGTTCGTTCATTGTGAGTAATTGTGAACTTGGTCAAAAAAAAAAGAAAAAAAAAAAATTTCTTTAGACAAATTTCTGATTATAAAAAGTTCATAAATTTTGAAGTTTTTTGTATTATTATACAATTTTTTGTTAATTAATAATATTAAAAATTTCTTTTCTCACCATTTCGTTCTGGCGTTTGATTTTCAAAATTTCTTCTTTCTGTTCTACTGGATGATCTTGTGGCTGTAGCAGGTGTTTTTATCGATTTTCCTGGTGTTTTTGTTGATTTTCCCGGTGTTTTTGTTTGTAATTTATTATCTTTTGTTGATTTACTAGCTGTTCTTGTTCCTCTTCTAGGAGTTTGTTTACTTTTTATCGGTGTACTCTCTGCAAAATCTTCATCACTATCAGGCGATGAATCTGATTTTCGTGAAGGTTTTCGACCTACGCGTTTTTTAGCTGCAACAGCTGAATTTAATTTTTAATTAATTAAATTTAGTTACTTTTTTTTTTTTGTTAATTATTTGAAAATTTTAATTATAATATTAATGGAGGTAATTATTATCATTCCAGGGGCTATTACAATACCTATTTTTTTTAAATTAATTATTTTTCGAAAATTTGTTTTAACAGTAAATAAATAAGTATAATAAATAATTCCAAAATTATTTAAAAAGCAATACTCACCAACTCTCGAAGGTGTTTCATCTTCACTGTCCGAAGAATCATCATCATCATCATCATCATCATCATCGACAATCCGAGCATTTTGTCGTGGCTTTTTTTTATTTAACGGAGGTCTTGGTGGCGGTGGCATAGCCTCACTATCAGAAATATTACCCTCTTTTTCATTATTTTCAGCGTTCAATAAATCATTAATTTTTTCTTCCAATTCTAAGCATGCTGCTTTTGCATCTGCCTTTTTCTTTGTCGAATCAATTATAGAATTGAGTGCTTTCAACACTTGTTTATTGTGAATTTTGTCTTTTAAAAGTGGCAATCCCTCAATAAGTCGTCGTATACCTAAAAAATTCATTTCCAATCAAATTTTCCGAAAATATTTAAATTTTTTAATTGAAAAAATTCAATTAGTTTAATTATCAAAAAGGAAATTAGAAAATTTTCTTTAAAATAATTAAAAGGAAATTATTTTAAGTTTAAAAAAAATTGAATACTCACTCTTTGCATTAAATTGCAATAATGAAAGACAATAAGAGAGATCTCGCCATTGGCGTTCTGTTGTTGCTAATTTGAAACGAGCACAAATTTTTTCAATAATTGTATCAATTTGTCTTTCTTTTTGCAACAGTCCAAGAATAAATCTGTAAATAGACATTTTTTTTTTAATTGAAAATTTCTAGAGTTTAGTAGTATTTTATTTATGGACTATTTTTTTTTTAAATTTTCTTTTGAAATTAGAAAAACTTACTGTAAAATTTCTTGGAAACAATCTTCGTCAAGTTTCAAGTCAGGATCAGAGAGACGTGACAAAATATCCGGCATAACATTGTAAAGTGCATTTCCTTTTTGTGACAATTCTTTGAAAAAAAGCTTTGTATTGTGACGAATATCAGGATTAGAATCCACAATGCAAAGGGCAAATTCAGATATACTACCCTTTACTCGAATCATTTCTCTCATTATAAGATTAGACAACATTCGAACGCAAGTACTTCGAACTTGTTCACTGTTATCCTTTAGTCTTTTCAATGAAAAAGAAAATCATTGTTAAAAATATAATTATTTAAAATATGAAATGAAAATAATTTATTAAATTATAGTATATTTTTTTAGAAAGAATTTTTTTCCAGATTTATTTTAATATTTTGATTATTTTATTTCATTCGCAAATAGGTATTTAAATAATATTATTCAAAGGAAAAAAATTTCTTTTTTTTTATCTATTTACCTTCCGTAAATGTGACTTGTCCATGGTTCGACCTCATTGGGAAATCTCGTTGCCAAATCTGTTAATCCAATAAGAATATTAGATCGGATGCCCGAATATGGTGAACGTTCGAGAATAGTGACTAAAAGTTGAAGATGATTTGCACAAAATGTAGAACTTATCGTCATCATTTTACTGAGTGCAAGAACGCTATAGGCTTGTAATTTTTCATCATTATATTTATCGGGATCTTGACAAATATTTACAATCAACGGACTGAAATTATAGAAAAAAAAAAAAACATATAAAGTTTCCATATTTAAATAAAAAATGAAATTAAAAAGTGAAATAAAATTTTAATAATTTCTTATAAATTTTTAATTGCAAAATAAAATACTTACACATATTGTGACAAAAATCCATTATGCGAGAGAATTTCATTTTCAAGACATGAATTTATGAAATCAGCATCAGCATCATCGGCTGAAGCGCCTTCAAGTGCGTCCTCTCCATTGTCTTCAATTGTACTTAACTAAAATATTTTAAATATTATTTTTCACATTTTCCAATATTATTAAAATTTATTTCTTTTTACTGTTTGTAATTTTTTATTTATTTTTTCTTTATCTATCAATTTCTCAATTTTTCTCAGTGACAATAAAATTTTTTTTTTAACAAAAAAAAGTGTAAAGAGTAACAAAAAAAGGCCTTTTCATTATAATTATCAAAAATTAATTTAAAAAGTGTTATTTAAAAAATAAATTACAGATCAACAATAATAATAATAGTGGAATGTTTATTAATTTACCTCCTTGTTACGTCTCGTTACACTTGCGGAGCTTGGAGTTGATTCTGTTGAATTGAGAATAGATCTGCCTAATGTTTTTCTACCTCTTGTACCCTTTTTTTTATCGCGCAATGCATTTCTTCTTTTTAATTCTTTATAAATAGTTGTATCTAAATGAACCATTTGCCGAATAGCAACATGACCAATTAGATACACCAATCTACTCAATAATATTCCACGTAATTTTTTATCATCAACATTAGTCTCTTGAAATAAATCAGTGGCTTTTATAAGCAAACTTTTTGCCAAATGATCCGGTTGATTAGCCAACTGAAATACATAAAAAAAAAAAATTCAAATTACTAAAAAAAAAAAAACAAACAAACGAACAATAAAATCAAATACAAAATAAATAATTGTAATTTAAATTGAATCGTGAATTTCGAAAAGGGCTCAATTTTAAAATCCATAAGAGTCATTTTCACTATCAATTGTTATACAAAAATTATACGCTTTTTCGAGTTGAGCCCTTTTCAAAATTTACGATTCAATTCAAAATTATATAATTAAAATAAAATTAAACAAATAAAAAACGAAATAAAATATTAAATTGTTATTGTTTTATAGAGGAAAATAGAAATACATACGTGATAAATGACGTTTATAGCGTGCGTAGCAAAAGAAACGTAACCATTTTCATTTTGCGAGCAAAATTGGTTTGTTAATAACAATAAAATGTATTTAAAAATATCATGATCGTTGGCATACCTGATAAATAGTTAATATTTTGATTAATAATAAATTTCATATATATATCCTTTCATGCATAGTTAATTGAATTAAATAATAAATGATTGATCAATTTCTTTTCAGATTATCCAATCCAACAAAACAAAAAAAAAAAAAATAATAACACGGGTTTTTAATTTATATGACAGAGCAATTGGCTTGTCTTAAAAAATAATTCCATGTAACTAATTTAAAAAAAAAATCAAAACATTTTTAAATATGAATGACTTTTCGTCTGATTTAATTGAAAAAAAAAATTTTTAACTAAAACTCTTTGAATTCAAATTACTCTAAAACCCCATTTTCTCTTTTGTTAAATTTTTTGGTAGTATCCAAAAAAAAAAAGTTCTTTCATTTACCGTATAGGTGGTTTTTCCACATCGGAACCATCTTGTTTAATTTGCATAAATGCACGACATGTATCGCGAGCCAAAAGCAAATCAGTTTCTGAACGAGGTCCAAATCCCACTTTAATAAGTGTCTCTAAATTTCCAAGTACAATCCCCGGTTCAGCTTGTGCTGCCATTGTTATTAACATTAATGCAGCACGACTTTCTCCAGCCGTTGTATCTGATAATTTCAATGTAAACTTTTCCCACAAAATCTGAAAATTGATTAAAAAAACAAATTTTAAAATTAAATAATATTAGAAATACAAATTTTAGAATAAATTAATATGTGTACACATATTCATTTATCGTATTTCTCAAATAGAATCAAAATATAAATTTTCAACAGAAAAAAACAATTTAATATTTACTTGTAATATTTCTCCATTGAATTCATCTTTTGTACGCCATGTGACGATCATTTGTGCCAATGCCGGACTCTGTCCTGCTTCTAAACTTTTTACTAAATCAATTAATTTATTAGCAGATTTTAATGCTTTTTGTCGTGACGATTGAACTGCTTCATTTTCACAAAGATATATTTCCTTATAAACAATAGCGACATTATCACGTACCGATTGTTCGCGAACAAATACTTGATATAATGCTTTACGAATTCCACGATCGGCGCCTTTTATTTCAAATTGATAAGCCGCACCCAATAGTGCACACGATTCAACAGCATCGCCAACTGTTGTTGAAAATAATAAATGTTCAATCATTGGTATTGCATTCTCCATTTCTTCAGCGAAAGTCAATGAATTCTGTAAATAAAAATTTCAATTATTTGTACAATTTTCAAAAAAATTTTTTAAAGGAGTAAATTATTTAAAAAAAAAAAAAACTCTTATAATTTATACTTATGTATAAAATATAATAAACTTTTTCACCTCAAAATATGAGACAATTTGTTTTTTATTTTTCAATTCCTCCTTTTGTTTCATTAGATTTCGATCATTTGCTTTGGATGTATTTTGTGCAACATTTTTATTTGCATCCATTGAAGTTGGTGAATCTTCTGATTCGGCAAATATTTTACCGAGAAATAAAAGTAAACAATGAGTTTTGTCCTCAATTTTCATTGTATCGAAATCTTCACAATTTGGCAAAAGTTTAATAACTGATTTTAATCGTTTCACTGCATCGACCATATTTTCCTCTAACATTAATTGTCTCACTTGTTCGAAAACTTCATTTATATCAACATTCTCGTTAGGTTCTTCCATATTTTCTGTAATTAATTATTATAATAATGTAATAATGACATATTTTCTGCAATTAAATATACAATATTGAAAAAATGGAATTGTTAATTAGAAAATTTGCCAAAAAAAATTATTATTATTATTATTATTATTATTATTATTATTATTATTATTATAAAATTTGTAAGGATTGCCACGCTTTTGCTACACTAAAATTCGCTGACTTTTCCAGGTTTTCCAGGACAAAAAACGTTATTTTTCCAGATTATTTATTTTATTAATATATATTATGATTTATAGAATCATTTATGGTAATTTGATAATTTAACTTTGAATATTGTAATTTTAATAATTTTATAATTGATAATTTATTAACAATAATTATAGATTTTTGATCAATATGATTTACTAAAATCATATATAAAATATGAATTTTTTTCCTATTTCAAAATGTTAAAATTTATTGAAATAATTAAAATAAAATGTTATAAAATATTTTACTTGATATTATTAATGTTATTAGATTTTAAATTCATATTACATTAATTCTTTAATTAATAAGAATATTATTAAGAAATTTTATTTCAAATATTTCAAAATCGAACTAAGATACAAATTTTCAAAATTTTAATTAAGTAGGACAAATTTCTAATAACAAATTTTTTAAATTTCATATTTAACATTTTTTTGAAGTCTAATTTAAACAGTTTATTTGAAATAAAAATTTTAGCATACGTTTTAGTTTTAATATTCAAAAAAAATTTCGGACAATAATTAAGTTTTACACATTTTTGAATTAATTCTGTTTTAAATAATTAAATTGCAGAAGACTTTACATTTGTATTAAATTTTCTGCAAATTTAAACTGTTGTTGTATTTTTTTAATTTCTGAAAACAATTCAATTTTAGAGTTATTATTTGAAATTTTTTTAAATAATTAAATTTTTAATAAAAATATTAAAATTATTAAAAACTAATTAAATTTTGGAAATATTACAGTTGAAATTTTTAAAAATAATTGAATTTCAAAAGATTTTGTTAAATTTAAAGACAATAATTAAATTTTACAGAATTGAAAATAATTTATCAAATAAAATATTAGATAACCTTTTTTAAAAATTATTGAATTTTCAAAGATTTACAATTCATATTTTTAAAAATAATTGAACTTCTAGTGATTTTTAATTAAAATTTTTGAAAATAATTGAATTTTAAATTATTTGAATTGAAATTTTAATTGATTTTATTTGATGTCTTTTTTTTAAATTTTAAACAATTATTGAATTTTATAAAATTTTCAATTGTAAAAATAGTTGAAAATATTTGAATTTGTGAAGAATTTAAGTAAAATTATTGAAAACAATTAATTTAGAGAAGAATTTTAGTTAAAAATTTGTTAAATAATTGAAATAAAGAAGATCTGAAGATGATTTCCATTGTATACTACAAAAGGACGTATTTTATTTGAAAGTCTTTTTAAAAAAGTTGAAAATGTCGCATCTTATTAGAATAAGTTGAAAAAAGTTTTATTTTTGAAAAAAAGAATCGGAAAAACTCGTTTAATCCGAGGTCTATAAAAATTACACATGAAAACTTACCTTCATCATCGAGAATTTCTTTAATCGTTTCTAAAATATGAGGAAGTTTACTTTTCAATAATTCCATTCTTTCCTCATCACCTCGTTCACTTCGACTGGCAAAGGCCGTTTGTGCTTCCTTTAATTTTGCCTTGGCTTCGACAAGTTGCTTTGCAAATTTTTCCTTATCCAACTATAAAAATAATAATGTTTATGATTTTTATTTTTAAATTAAAATTAACAATTTTCTTTTTCATTTTTTGCCTTATTACCTTTGCTGCAAAAGGATTTCCTTCTAATAAAGCACGAATTAATTGTAGCGCTTGTTTTCGTACATTTGCACTTTTGTCCTCTAATCTTTTAACAACAGCGGCCAAAAGTTGTGCTTGTCTATTGAGAGGAATTGCACGTTCTGTACATAAACGTTGCCACACTTGAAGAACTTTCGATCGAACATAAGCGTTACAATCAAGAATATGTTCCTCCAAATAACTAAGACATTCGTCGCGTGTATCTTTTTTTTCATCACTAAGATCTTCGGAAGTTAATGCGCCCAATACAACAACGGACAATACTCCAATCACACAATTTCTCAATGTATAAAACTGGAAAAAAAATTATTTTTTTTAAATTTAATTAAAATTTATCTTTTTTTAGTAAATTAAAAAAAATACCTCATGATCAAGATAACATGTGATATTATCTAAAATTGGTAAAATTAAATTTGGATCTGTGGAGGCGATTGTTTCAAGAAATATTGAAATATTTCGAGCATCGGATTCCTGTGGTTCATTTTGGCTAACTTCGCGCATTATTTCTTTTATCATTCCCGTGCAGCCAAATTTCTGTGCCATTTGTACCACGCCAATAGCTAAAGGTGCGGCCAAATAATCATATAAAGTCACCAACTAAATGAAAATAATCATTGACATTAAATATGAAAATAAGAAAGCAAACAAAATTGTAAAATAATTTTCAAATAATTAAACTTTTTAATAAAATTATTTACAAAAACAAACCTGAACAATTCGAATCACACAAGTTATTCCCTGATTATGCTTCTTTACCAAAATTGCTAGAATCTGAGAAAAAAATAGAATAATCAATTTAATGAAATTTATAACAATAGATTAATAATTATTCTATAATTCTAATTATTCTAATAATTTTAATATTAAAATTAATTTATCGATGAATAAAAATTTTTATACAGAAACTTACTTCAAAAATTGTATCCCTCGTATCTTTTTGCTTGGGATCTTTTGCTAACTCCAAAATTTTGTAACACACTTCAGTGAGAGCGCTAAAATATTTCAAATAATATTTAATTCAAAAATTGAAATAAAAATATTAACATTTTGCAATTTTATCCAAATTAATAATTACTTTAAAAAAGAATTTTCGATAATTGGAGGATTCCATAATTTATGAAGTGGAAGTTGTAACCATCGAAACATCAATTCTAGAGCACCTTGTCTTTGTCGATCCCATTCTTCTGCTGCATCCGATTTCCTTACAACTTTTTTTCTCTGTTATATAAAAAGAGATAATTATAAATTTTTTTTTTTTGTTCAATAATACAGATAAAAAATAAATAAATAAAAAGAATGACACAATAATAATTGTAAAAATTGCATTCCATACCTTTCCTATATTATCGCCATCATTTGTTTCCTTTTGAAAATGATTGTCAATATGACAAATAATTGAAGACCATAAATAAGCCAACATTTTATTAGCGCACAAATATTCCAATTGCATATTAAACGCTTCATTTGACTGTAAATCTTCTTCTAAATCTTCAATAAGCATTTGTACAGCTAAAAATTTAAAGTTGTGATAAATAATTTAAAATAACAAAAAAAAAAAAACAAAGAATTTGATAATATTCATTAGGGCTGCACTGTTTTAAATAATGATTTAAAATGTGCTTAAAGTTCTAAACGTTGAAATGAACGAAAAATTTATTTACTGCTTTTTTAAGTTCAAATTTTATTATAAAATTTTTATTGTATTCAAAAATACAATAATTTATTAAATGTTAACTATATATTTTTTTATTTTTCATTGTGGTAGTAATTTTTAAAAAATTTATAGATAAAAAAAAGATTTCGTTCATTTGAACGTTCAAAACTTCAGGCTCATCATTTCACTACAAACTTTTTTTTTTGTTAAAATTTTTTTTCGTTCACACGAACGTTCAAAACTTTTGTATCATCTAATATTATTAGGTATTAAATTCATTTTATTAATTCTGTAATGAGAATAATTCTATAATGAATATTATCAAGAAAATTTATTTCGAATATTTCAGAAACGAACTAATTGTAAGACAAATTTTCAAAATTTTATTATTAAATTCTTAAAGTTCCATTTTTATAATTTTTTTAAAGTCTGATTTAAGCAATTTATTCGAATCAAAAATTTTGTCATAGTTTTTAGTTTTTATATGGTCAAAAAAATTTCAGGCAATACTTTAATCAAGTTTTACAAATTTTTAAATAATAATTTTGGAAGAGTTAAAGTTGAAATTATTAGAAATAATTGAATTACAAAAGATTTTGTTAATTTTCAGACAATAATTAAATTTTACAAAATTAAAAATAATTTATCAAACAATTTTATATAAAATTTTTTTAAAATAATTGAATTTTAAAAGATTTACAATTTAGATTTTTGAAATTAATTCAACTTCAAGTGATTTTAATAAAAAATTTTTGATGACTTCTGGTACTAAAAAATTTATTACAAATTGCAGACAAAAAAACAATAATTTGAAAAATGTTTGAGTGAAAAATGGTTTTAGATAATTAAATTTTCGAAGAATTTTATAGAAAACATTAAAAATAATTGAATTTCAGGAGAGTTATAATTGAAATTATTAAATTTCAGAAAGTTTTAGATGGAAAATTTTAGAAAGTTTTTAAATTTATGTTTTTGAAATTGATTGGATTCAAATGATTTTGAATTGGCATTTTTTTTTAGTGATTTCTGTTGCTAAAGAATTTAATAAAAATTAAAGACAAAAATTGAATTTTTAAATTTTCAGGAAAGTAATAATTGAAATTATTAAATTTTAAAAAATTTTAGATGGAAAATTTTAGAAATAATTCAATTTTAGAAGCTTTTAAATTGAAAATTTTTGAAAATAATTAAAATTTCAAAAGATTGTGTTAAATTTCAGACAATAATTATAATAAGAGAAATTTCTAGTGATTTCTGTTGATGAAGAATTTATTAGAAATCACATTAAAAAAAGTAAATTACAAAAGTTTTTAAAATTGAAATATACTTTCTGATAATTGAATTTTCAAAGAATACTTATTATAAAAAGCATTAAAAATAATTGAAATTTTTGCAAATAATTAAATTTCAAGTGATTTTGAATTAAAAATTTTTGGTAATTTTATTTGCTTATTTTTTTTTTAAATTATAAACAATTATTAAATTTCATAAAAATTTTAATTGAAAAATATTTTAAGAGAATTAAATTTGTGAAGAATTTCATTAAAATTATTAAAAATAATTAATTTAGTGAAGAATTTTTTTTTAGTTAAAAATTTGTTAAATAATTGAAATAAAAAAGATCTAAAGAAGATTTGCATTTTATACTAAAAAAAACCGTATTTTGTTTAAATTTTTTTTTAAAAATGTAAAAAAAGTCGCATTTTATTAAAATAAGTTGAAAAAAGATGTATTTTTCACAAAAAGTCGGAAAAAGTCGTATAATCCGAGGCCTGTATACAGAAAGTAAATAATTTACTTTTTCCGTAAATTTGTTTACATAAAAAATGTTCCCTGACTTTCCTATCTTGTGAAATTATTCTAAAATTATATTTAAATAAGAAAAACTAATTAATTTCGAAAATGTAAGGATTTGTGCAATATTTACCCTTTGTTATCCTATCAAAAGCACGTAAAAACACATGTATTTCCAGTTTATTTCCATGTACCAAAACCGAGAAAAATGTGTCAAAATTGTCCAAAATGAAAAGTGTACGCTTGTTTTGAAGTTCATTTTTCGTAGCTAAAAGAATGTTTACAAAATTAATAAGTACTAAAATAATATTAAACATACAAATTCAATTACTTTAGAATCAAAACAATTAAAAAAATAAATATATATAATCAATATGCAAGATGATTTATAAAAAAATGAAAACAATTTTATTTTTAGTAAACAAATATAAACGAACGTCAAAATATTATTTAATTATAATAATTTTCTTATAAAACACTAAAAATTAACATAAAACTATTTTAAAAAGAAAATATTCAGTGTATAATAAATTTTTCAAAATACAAAAAATACTTAAATGACGCGCGATTGTTTGTTATAAACATAACCTCACTTATTTACACTTTAATCTGTTGTGCAAAATACATATAATATTTCATACTTTAAATACTGTCAATTATTAAAAATTTGTAAACAAATATTATAAAACAAAATGAACACTAATAAATTACAATAATATTAATAATAAATTACCATCGAGAGCTTGATTAAGAGCACGAATAGAAGTAACTTCACTAACTGAATATTGTTCAGCATGATTTCTCAAGAGATCATCCTTTGTTAAAGGAATAACAAAATCCTTTACTGACATTGTGAAAATAATTATATTACATTAATTTCACTTTAAAAATCATAAACTTCACTGAATAAAAAATCTCATATAAACTTTGCGCTGCGGTTATTATGTATATTTAACAACAAAAAAAGTCAAAACGACGCGCAGCCCGCGCAAAATTGCCAACGGTCGGTTTCTAAACGACCTAACTGCGCTTGCGTGAATGACGTGTATTGATTGGCTCCTATTGGCGCAATATTTTAAAATTGAATAAAATAAAATTGTTTAAATATTACGTTCAAAAATACAAATACATACCTGTATTAAAAATATATAAAATTAATATATTTAAATAATAAATTAAAACAATTTAACTTTTCATGTAAAGTTAATTATATTTTATTGGGTTAGATTTAAAAATATTCATTATTTTGATCAAAAAAAAAAAAAAAAAAATTAAGAAAATTGAATTATTAAATTTAAAATAAAAAAGGTTAATGTAACATAAAATTTTTAAATTCTCTTTCATATTAATTATTATACACAAAGAATACTTAATACAATAATAAATACAATAATAATTATTAAATTACCTGTTTTATTAAATAAAAATAGAACATGTAAAGTCAAGACTGAAATAACAAGTAATTCATTTACAAGATTTTTCAAAAACAGATTTTAAATATTTTTTTCTTTTAGAAGTGCATAGGTAAATTGTTCCTTATATATTTTTTAATAGTTTTTAGGGGAAAAATTCACCATAAACAATTGTTATTATATATTTTCTACAGAAAAATTCTTTTTTTTTCTCTTTTAAATACTTGAAGAATTTTGTTTCAATCATTTATGAACATTAATTATTATTACATTATTAAGAACAACTAACAGACTCTATATTACAAATCGTAAAATTCAGGTTTGTATTGTGTGTACTGCATTATACAATAAAAATAAAAATAATTACAAAGCATGATAATTGCTTCAAAAAAAAAAAAAAAAAACAAATAAATGTACCGTATTTCTTTAATCGTATTCATCAAAATAAAAATGTCCTAATATAAATTACTAATACTATGTACAATTTGAATCCAATTTTCAAAATTTTGTTACTTTTTTCCTTACAAAGTAAAAGTTTTCTATATTTAAAATTCTTCATTTTTAGATTTGTGTTTCTTAAAAAAAAATATTTATTAATGAATTTGAACAATTTTTCTTTTCTAAGATATTTTTTTTTTTTAATTGGAAAAAAATTATACACGCATAATTTATTAGTAAATTTCTAATCATCAAAATTCAATAAGACGATAATTTATAGCAAAATTTCCTAACGGAAAAAAAATAGAAAAAGCCTTTTAATAAATTTTTAAATAATAGAAATATTGTTTTATAGAACTTTTGTTTTGCTTTTTATAAGCCATAATATTTAAAAATAATTCAAAATAAATTAAAATTTTTCATAAATTGTTTTTATAATTACAATAATTTCACAACAATTTAATTTATATAAATAGATAATTTAAAATTTTTTTTCATTTACATAATCATTTCGTTTTTTTTTTTTTTTTTTTTGCTATAACAATTGTATATTTGCGAAAAAGAAGAAAATTGTAGAGAAATTATTATAAAATAATTATATTAGTCTGTAAAATTGCTTTTCCTATATATTTTTTTTTCACGCGAGGATTGCAATAAGGTTGATAACTTGTGTATTTTATACAGGAATGTTAAAAACCTAGAAGTTTGGAGTAATTTCTCAGGAACTTCGCTATCACTTTTTTTTTTTCTTTACTAGGGTTGGAGAGGTCAGGTGACGGTATAATATTTCTCTTTGCTTTTTCTTTCGTAACTTTTAACAGTCGAATTAAAAGAGAATGACGTATACATTATTTAATGTGTGTTTTTTAGGATTCAATTCAAATCATGTTATTTCATTAACATGTAATTCTAAAATAGTTTCAATTTTTTTTTTCTCGTCAAAAATTACACCTTTTTACACACACACACACAAATATACACACACACACTTTAATTATCAGTTTGGTTTTCAGCGTTCCTTTGTCTTCGATAAATAGCAACATTTGTGTCTGTATAATCCATTATGCGTCTTTGACATTGTCTAACATATCGTTGTTGTTTATGATAAATTTTAAATGCACCTTTTATTGACAAAAAGGCAACTCCTCCCTAGAAATAAATATATTAAAATTATCATTATTATTAAATTTATAGAGGCTTCGCAATCTTTTTTTACTAAATAAACTGTAGCTTTCAGAGTTAAAAAAAGTAGGTAAAAGCAGCCGTGAAAAAAATACAGAGTTATACCACGAGTTAGGGAAATCAGGGAAAAGTTAGGGAGTTTTATAAAAAGTACTGGAAACATATCAAATTTCTAAACATGCTACTAAAATTGTAATTTTGGAAATTTTTAATTCAAACTTTTGCTTCTAAAAATTATTGTCTTACATTTTTATAATTTTAGGACTCGAATCGACTTTTAAAAGAAAAAAAAAAGTCATTTTAGTCGATTTACATTTACAAGAAAAGTCTAAAAAGTCGATTTTTTAATTTTGAATAAATGTAATTAGTTGATAAATATTTTATTATTATTAACAATTTGTTATTGGAAATTAAATAAAATTTATTAATTCCTCAATAAGAATATTTTACAGAAATATATATTCAAAAATTTTTCTTTTTAAACCACCGAATTAAACTGAGACAAATTTACAAGATTTCAATTCAGTTTCAGAACAAATTTTGAAAAATTATTTAAAGTTACATTAAAAAAAATAAAGAAAAAGAAAATTTTCCAAGTCTGATTTATACACATTATTCGAATTCAGAATTTCAGAAAATGTTTTAAATAATTAAATTTTCGAAGAATTTTATTTAAAATATTATTGAAAAAGAATTAATTTGAAATAAAAATTTGTAAAATAATTGAATTTCAGAAGATTTTTAATTAAAATTTTATAAAAAAAATTGAATTTGGAAGAGTTTGATTAAAAATTTTTTAGAAATAATTGAATTTCAGGAGATTTTTAATGAAAACTTTAAAAACTTTAAATTTATGAATTTTTTTTTTTTACAAATTTCAGACAATAATTGAATTTTAGAGAATTTTCAATTGATATATGTTTTAAATAATTGAATTTTGATGTAGTTACAGTTAAGATTTTTAGAAAAAATTGCATTTTTTGAGATTTCAAAAATTATAATTTTGAAGTAAATATAAACATTAATTAAAAAACGATTTAAATAATTAAATTTTCTAAAAATTGGATTAAAACTGTTGAAATAATTAATTAAATTTCAGAAGATTTTAAATTAAAACTTTCATAAATTGTAATTGATAAAAATTTTTTTTACAAACTTTAAAGAATAATAGAATTTTAGTGTATTTTTAATTTAAAAAATTTTTATTTCCCTAAATTGTTGAAAAACTGCATTAAATTAAACTAAATTAAAATTAATTTAGCGAAGAATTTTAAATAAAATTTTTAGAAATAATTGAATTATAGGGAATTTTCAATTGAAAAATATTTTTAAAAATTTGAATTTTCGATTTTTGAAATTATCAATTAAAATTTTAATAAATTTGAATTATTGAATTTTTTTAAAATGATATCAACAAAAATTTAATTTTAAAAACTTAAAAATTAAAAAACGTTTTATGTAATTGAATTTTTGAAAAACTTGATTAAAGTTATTAGAAATAATCGATTGGAAAAGAAATTGAAGTTAAAAATTTGAGAAATAATTGAGTTTTGGAATAGCAATAAAAATAGATTATTTTTCCCGTCTATATTTAAATAAATAAAGAAATTAAAGAAATCTTATATTGTAAATAAATTTGAAAAATTTCTAAAAATTCTCAAAAAAAAAGTAGCAAATAGTAGCTTTCAGTAGATAAGTGCGAAGCACTTATCAATTAGATTTTATCTAATTTAGATATGATAAAATGAATAAAAATTAATTTTGTATAAAAATTTAGTTTTGAAAAAAAGTTTAATAAAAAAAAAAATGAAATTGTTAATTTGAAATAATTTATAATTTAAGAATTATCTAATTAATCATTTACTCACAAGTAACGTTCTTTGAAAATTTGAGCTTATACTCTCGAAGAATATTTTGCCACAAATACTTGCAATTGTGGGCAATAATAATGCGCCGCATAAAACTCTCGTCACAGAAACTGGATCACTCATTGGTGGAATTTCTTGTGATTGTGTTCTATCTTCGTCAGAATAACTGAAATTTACAATTTTTAGAAAGTAATTAACTAATTTCTAAAAAGATAATTAATTTGATTTTCATTTATTTATATTTTATTAATATAAATAATAGAATTAAAATTTTTTTAAATAATTAATTATTAAAAAAAGAATACGTGAGTGGAAAAATGAATTGTGAAGATTAAAATGAATTACCTGCTAGGTAAAAAGTGCCTTAAAATTGGAACTTTGCAAGCGTGCCGCCTAAGTAAACTCAATGCTTGATCTTCCCATTTTAACATTTTTCCTAAAACAAGCATTATAGGAATTGTAGGTAAACCAACTAGTAATACTAAAGGATCGGCATTTTCCAACATTGTAAAACCATCCTTGTGACCAACAACTTGCATTACTGTTATTGCTCCATAAGTAACAGCTGTCCAATAAACAGAACCAACAACAATACTCGCTGCTATGAAAGGACATACTCGAAAAATAACTCCATCAATTTTGTCCAATATTACAACCAAAGGCCCTGTAATTGATAAAACAAAAACAACAACAAAATAAATTTAACAAATGTATTACCTTAAAATTGTTTATAATTTCCACAAACAATAATAAAAATCATTCAACATTTATTGGATCGTTTTTTTTCAAATTTTAACATTTACGATTTTAAACAATCACAAATTATTTATAGACAAATTATAATGATAAATAACTGATTTGTTTAATATTTGTAAATGAAAAATAATAATTTTTTTTATAATTGTAATAAGATTATTGTAAATATTTAATTACTACATAAATAATTATAATATATAATTGTAATATTTACCCATATTCGGATAAACAATGATATATTCAGTATTACATTGTGGACACACAACTCTTGTACTGGCTCGACCTTTTTGTTTTTCGTCCACCCAACGTTGTATGCATCCCTGATGAACCCATTTTGTCGTTCCTCGACAATGACAAGGTTTCACCCACAATGCAGTCGCATCATCCTCGTCAGTTGCAAAACAAACCCAACAATATCGCTTGCTAATAATAGAAAATAAAAAAGAAAACGACAATTAACTATATTAGAAATATGAATTTTAAAAATTAAAATTTATTCATAGAAAAAATCGAGACGCATGAATATACACTAAAGCTAATTTTTTAGAATATTTTAGAATAATTCTATAGAATATTATTTTTGCAGAATAGTAATCTAAAAGAATCTTAATTTTGCAGAAAATTAATTGTACAGAATTTTAATTTTGCAAAATATTCATTTGTTCTAATTTTCATTTTACAAAATAAATTATTAACCGATTGTCGCAATGTTGGCGAATTTTTATTTAGACAAAAATTAATTAGCCAGAAATTCAATTTCATTGAATTTCAATTTGTGCGAAACGTTGTTTCGTAGAATATTCATTTTGCAGAACAGTAATTCAAAAGAATCTTAATTATACAGAAAGAAGATTAGAAAGAATATTAATTTAACATTTGACAGAAATAATTCGGCGCAAAGTTTAAAATTTGACAAATCAGAAATTATTACAAAAAATTGTGATTAGTCAATTTTAAACTTTGGGCTGAATTCTTTCTGTCAAATTGATTTTCGACCATTTGCACTTTCTGTAAAATGAATATTCGAAAAGAAGAATATAATGTTAAATTAATATTCTTTCTAATCTTCTTTTTGCATAATTAAGATTCTTTTGAATTAATGTTCTACAAAATTAATATTCTACGAAACAACGTTTCGTAGAAAATGGGATTCGATCAAATTGAATTTCTGGCTAATTAATTTTTGTCTAAATAAAAATTCGCCAACATTGCGACAATCGGTTAATAATTTATTCTGTAAAATGAAAATTCGAAAAAATTAATATGAATATTTTGTAGGCAAAATATTAAACTATTATTTAAAATAAAAAAATAATTTAGGGTTAAAAATGAGCGATTATTCTGAAAATCTCAACATAAAAAGAAATTCTTTTATATTTCTCTATAATATAAAATTAAAAAGTCAGTATATTATATGAAAATACATTAAAACTATACTTACAGGCCTCAGATCGACTTTAAGGCGCAAAAAAAAGTAGTTTTACAAATTGTTGTTAGTTGATGTGATTTGATTTGTTTGTTAGTCGATTTAAATTCCAAAAAAAGTCGATTTCTTTATTTTAATTAATTAATAAGAATTTTACTTTAAATAATTAATGTTATTAGATATTAAATCCATTTTAATAATTCTATAGGAATATTATCAAGAAAATTTATTTCCAATATTTCAAATTCAAAGACGTAAATTTTTTTAATTTTTAATAAAAAAAGACAAAATTAAAAAAAAAATTCTGACAATAATTCAATTTTAGAGTTTTTATTTGAAATATTTTTAAATAATTGAATTTTTAAAGAAATATTAAAATTATTAAAAATAATTGAACTTTGGAAGAGTTATAATTTGAAATTTTTTAAAATAATTAAATTTCAAAAGATTTAATTATTTAATTTCAAATAATTTTAGATACAATTTTTTAAAAGTAATTGAATTTTTAAAGATTTACAATTTAGATTTTTGAAATTAATTAAACTTGAAGTGATTTTTAATTAAAATTTTTTGTGATTTCTGTAAATGAAGAATTAATTAGAAATTAGAGACAAAAATTGAATTTCGAATGTTTTTAATTGAAAAATGATTTTAGATAGGGTCAGTTGGGGTAAATGACGACAAGAAGTTTTAGATAGCTTAATTTACAGTTTTAAAATTAAGTTCAACGTCAATATTTTAACCTCAGATCACCTGCAAGAGGTTTTGAGTATTGCCAAGCTTTTATCATGACAATTGGCAGCAAGATAAAAAAAGTTATCGCTCAATGCATAAAAACTTGAAAATCAAAGTCAAACTGTTTCAGTATTTTCTCGCATTTCAAAGAAAACAGACTTAAAAATCATACCAAATTTTTTTCTTATTCCTTATGACTTCCAAAACAGAAATTCACTTGAATTTTTTATTTTTGTCAATTTGGTTAATAATGACAAGCTGTCCCCATTTACCCTGAGTTTTCAAATTTTTGGGGTAAATGAGGACAGATTGTTATTATTAACCAAATTGACAAAAATCAAAAATTCAAGAGAATTTCTGTTATGGGAGTCATAAGGAATAAGAAAAAAATTTGGTATGATTATTAAGTCTGTTTTTTTCAAATGCGAGACAAAATACTGAAATAAAAAAAAAATAAAAAAAATTTAATTGGCTCAACTATTATATATCTACTACAAATTTTTTTCAAGTTTTTTCATCCCTTAATACATACAGTAATATACTTAAGGAAACTTTTTTCTTAAAACATTCTTAGAAACTATGCTGTCCCCATTTACCCCGAATTTTATGAAATTTTCTAAATTTTGACGAAGCTGAAGTACGCAACGTTTATATAAACGATTTTTAAAGAAATAATTTTTTAAAATGAAAAATTCTATAATTTTTTGCCTAAACAATATTTCTTGTAGTTTTCATTAATCAACAAATTATAAAAAAATATTTTTTAGGCAAAAAATTAGAGAATTTTTCATTTTAAAAAATTATTTCTTTAAAAATCGTTTATATAAACGTTGTGTACTTCAGCTTCGTAAATTTTGGGGTAAATGGGGATAGTCAATTTCATGCGTTTAAAAGCTTATCTAAATTTTTTCTGCTGCATAAAATTAATCCTGGGAACGTAAATAACAACTTAAAAAAATATAAATCCGTAAATATTACCTTTTAAAGGAAGAAGAAACTTACGTAATTTGTGAAAAATAGCGATTTTGTCCCCATTTACCCCAACTGACCCTAATTGAATTTTTGAAGAATATTATAAAAATCATTAAAAATAATTGAATTTCAGAAGTATTATAGAAATTATTAAATTTAAAAAAATTTTAAATGGAAAATTTTAAAAATAATTAAATTTTGAAAGGTTTTAAATTGAAATTTTTGGTAATTTTATTTGTTAATTTTTTAATTAAAAATTATAAACAATTGTTGAATTTCATAAAATTTTGTAATTAAAAAATAATGTAAGATAATTGTATTTGGGAAGAATTTCATTAAAATTATTATTGAAAATAATTAATTTAGTGAAGAATTTTAGTTAAAAATTTGTTAAATAATTGAAATAAAGAAGATTTTAAGAAAATCTGCATTGTATACTAAAAAAAAGACATATTTTGTTTAAAAATTTTGTAAAAAATGTAAAAAAAAAAAGTCGAAAAATTCGCATTTTATTAAGATAAGTAGAAAAAAGTCGGAAATAGTCGAAAAAATCGTATAATCCGAGGCCTGTATTTAACATTAAGCTGTTGTTAATAAAAATTTATTTACAAATTATCAAGAAAAATTTAATTAAAATGTGTTAAATTTTAAATTAAATTTAAATAATCAATTAATATTATGAAAATTAGACTATTTTGAAGAATTATCAAATTAAAAAATTAACATTATCTGTAATATTAATAATGCCTTTTTATTAAATTTTTACATTATGTTAAATTAATCTTTATATCGTGTAACTCATCTTTAAAATTCAAATTTCAAAAATTAAATTTTCTTCTTTTCTATTAATAATTTATGATTTTATGATTAAATAAATTTAATATTGTACTTTATATTTCCATGCGAAACGATTTTTGTTACTCATTTTCAATATTTTATTTATTTATTTATTTATTTATTTGGTACATAATTTAAATAAATTTAATAGTTTAAATCGGTCGCAATTTTTTGTTTTTTTTTTTAAGTTGAAAATTCTCCATAAAGTCATATAAACTCTGAGTTTTGTATTATTTATTTCTTGAATTTATTTATTAATTTCCTCAAAATAATTTTTTTTTTTTTTTTTTGCTTAAAAACTAAAAAGCAATAATATTGAAAATAAAAAACTATCTTACTCTTCATCAGAACTTAAAGTTGGAATTCCAGCTGTAGTTTGATTCGGTGAAGATGCTCCATCAGTTACATCGACTGATAATTCATTGTCAGCAGCATCAGAACCTGTATAATGAGTTGTGTCCTCTTCCGAGGAAATATCTGCTCCTTGTGTCTCTGAATTTTCTGCAATTAATTAAATTAGTTATTTCAATTTAAAACACTATTCACCATAAAAAAATATAGTTTAGAAAATAAAAAAAAAAAAAAAAAAAAAATACAAAATTAAATAGATTTTTTTTCTAAATAAGGAAAATATTAGCAATACCATTATTGGAATCACTGTTGTTTTGATCTTGTCTTACAGTGGCATTCAGTCTTCTTAAATGATCTTCAACAGCTCGCCAATGATCCATTTCTCTTGGAATTATTCCATAAACATCCTCACCATAAACAAAATGAGGAGGTCTACTTCCTGACATTTTATTTCACTGTAATGTACTTTATTATAAATCTGTCATTTTTATCTGCAATCAAAATTAAGTAAAATTTTATAAAATGTATATATTTTTCAAAAAATAAGCTTAATATTTTTTATGCAAATAATTATACAATAAAATAAAAAATTAGAAAATATTTACTGTCATTTACAAAAAATAAAACAATTTCTAAATATGTTACATATGAACTGTTAATAATAATTAAAAAGTAGTACATTCAGTGAATGACATGGCAAAGCAAACTAGAACATTCTATTTAATTTAAAACATTATTAATCAAATAATTATTTACACGCCTGATAAATGCAAACAAAAATTTTTTTTTATCAAAAATAATCATTTCAAGTTTATGCATATTTATAACACATTTCGTCAATTGTAATTCAATATTTCATTAAATTTTCTTATAAAATACATATTCGGATAAAATATTGAAATAATAACAAAATGCAATATGTAACTGATTTTGCATTGTTATTTTAATCAGCTGAATAAATTCAAGAATATATATATATATAGTCAATATATGTTCCTATAATTATTGTCCACCGCTATTACATGAATTTAGGTTATGAATGATGTAAAATGCATGATTTGTTTATTTTTTTGTTTCAAAATTATTTTATAATATTCATTTAACATAATTTGTAACGTGTCTCATTATCTGTGTTATAAAATTAATAAAAATGTAAAACAGAAGGCGGGTCAAACTTACCAAAAAAAAAAAAAAACACCTTCGTTAACCTTCGAGAAGTGCAATAAACAAGAACTTGTGAAATTACCTGCTTTTCCAGAGGAGGGAAAAATTGGATGATGACACTTTTGATATCTGGTACAAGAATAATTTTTTTTGTCATTTATAGTAAACCGAGTAAAAGATATGTGAACTTCATACTTTGTGTTTGTGTATACAAAGACATAGAAAACTGTTAAAAAACACACTTGACATTTTAAGGTGCCAGCTGTAAATGTATTCTCAACCAATAAAAATGAATCGTCGTCTATTGTTCACAGTCTATTGGTTGGAATTTTGAAAATTTGTCCACTTTCTCAATGTTGAGAAAAGTAAATAATTTTTTAAATATACGAAAAAAAATCACTATAAACATTCTTGTGAAAATAAAAAAAACAAGTTTTTTAATTTTAATATACAATAAACTATGAATTAATTACTGTAATTCTTTTTTTTTTACTCTAAATTACTAGAATAGGGTCATTCTATTACAAATAACCGCCAAAATTTTCAACACCGTATGATTGGCTTTCAGCTGTTCAAGGTCGGTGAAAGAATAAGAAAAAAAAAAAAATTTCCATGCTCATTGTTTTTAATTAAAATATCAATTTATTTGAATTATGCATCTATGATTTTTTTTGATTGAAACATAGACTTTAGAGTACGCTTGTCATTAGTGATTATCATCTCATTAAGTTTTTTCAAATGGATAAATATTTATTTTTAGAAATCAAGGCCTTTTACTGTTAAATTCAAATGAGTGATTGAATAAACTATATTTTAGAAAAAATTAAAACTAATATTATACTTTGTGTAGTATTAAAAAATTATTGGTGAATTATTTAATAATAATGAAATGAATTTTGAAAATTAATCGTTTAATATTTAAAATTTATTATAGCGGAAATTGTTACAGCTGCCGGAAGTTTCGATTCACGTAGTGAATGTGGAAGCGTACTTCCATTTTCTCGTTCCTCTCGACGAGTCGTGAGCACGTGTTTAGTTACCGGTTGCATTGTTCTAGAATTTTCAGTTTAAAATTTGACACAAGTTTTAATAAGGCTTTGTCCTATTCTAGAGTTATTTCAATTTTTTTTAGAAATCACCAATCAATATGAATCCTGAAAAATTGAAGAAATTGCAAGCTCAAGTACGAATCGGTGGAAAGGGAACACCCCGTCGTAAGAAGAAGGTATTCATTTTACATTTTATATCTATAAAAATTGTGATTCACGTTAATTATTTATGAAAATTTTTATTTTTCTTTAAATTTTGCATGTTTTTTTTTTCAATTTTTAATTTTTTGCCAAATCAACGAGTGTTGATAAACCCGTGTTTCATGTATGTACTTAACCATACATATACAAAGGATGCGCCAAATCCGTCTATTTCGCGCTTTTATTAATGATTTTATCTGCATGTATTTTGATAATTCTAAATTCTCATTATCAAGGACATATTAAGTTTAAAATTCCAAAAATCGATAGTTTTTCATTGAATAATGCATTGAGAGACAAAAATAATTTTTCTTTGTGTGTGGTGTAATATCGAAAGTACACCAAATGGACCTATTTGGTAATGTCAGTGACTTAGTGTTGTAATCCTAAATGATTCATTATCCATCAACAATTTAAATTAAAATTTAAAATGCTATTAAAAAAAAAAAAAAATTGTGTTTGTAAATAATTTATTTTTAATAAATTTTTTGAAAATTACTTATAATATCTATATAAAAATTGTTGAATTATTTATTTAACTGGAAAAAAAAGAAAAAAAAAATAATAATAATTACCGTCAATCGGGGTTATTATGGTGTGAAAATCGCAAATTTTTTTTTGTTCTAAATAAAATTTCTAAAGTTTATAAAAAAATGTTTTAAGCTATTGTTATAGACATTCATCTGAATATTTTCTTCAAGTTTTATTAGAACAAAAATTTTTTTATGAGTTATGTAAATTCAAATTTTGTACCATCATTGCCCCGCGGTTGGGGGTATTATGGTTTAAAATTTATTTTTTAGTTCATAAAATAAAGTAAAATTTTTTTCCCTCGAATTAAACTATATGGAAACTACGTATTTTGTAAAGCCTTTTTTAAAATTTGCTGAAAAATTATTATTATTATTATGTATAGGAATTTAATTGAAATTACAGAATTTTTTTTTAGGTTAGGAATTATTGTTTTTTAAAAATTTCAAAATGGAAACATTTTAAACTAATTAAATAACTTAATAAGGTCCATAATTGTTTTTTAAAGATATTTTCAATTAAATAGTTTTTAAATTGATTTAAAAATCATGTGAAATTAATAATGTTACTTTTTAGGTTATGTTGTACCCTTTGTAAAATTATAATTTATTTTCCATTTTTTTTTTTCATACAAAAATAAGTCATTTATGTATAAAATCGAAGCATATAGGAGAATTTTTTACTTATTAGGAAATTAATTTTCGTATAATTATTTTTAATTGAATTATTTCTGAAATTTTCCATCTAAAACTTTTTTGAAATTTAATAATTTCAACTATAACTCTTCTAAAATTCAATTTTTTTAAAATGATTTTTTCTTTAATATTTTCCGAAAATTCAATTATACGAAAGCATTTTTTTTTTATTATATAAAAAATTTTAAAAGTTCAATTTTTGTCTGTAATTTCTAAAAATAATTCTTTCAGCAACAAAAATCATCGAAAATTCTAATTAAAAATCACTTGAAGTTGAATTATATTTGCATTAATTTGAATTTTAAATCTTTGAAAATTCATTTACTTTTTTTAAAAAATATGAAATTATTTGATAAATTATTTTCAATTCTGTATAATTTAATTATTGTCTGAAAAATTTAATAAAATCTTTTGATATTGAATTATTTCTAAAAAATTTCAACTGTAATTCTTTAAAAATTCAATAATTATTTTTAATACCTAATTTTAATATTTTTTTTAAAAATTCAATTATTTAAAAAAGTTTCAAATAAAAACTCTAAAATTGAATTTGTATTAGAAATTGAAAAAAAAACCCGCACAGCAGTTTAAATTTGTAGAAAATTTATTTAAAAACTAAAAACTATGCAAAAATTTTATATTTGAATAAATTGCTTAAATCAGACTTGTAAAAATTAAAAAAAAAAAAAAATAATGGAACTTTAAGAAAGTTTTATGTTAAATAAATATTTGTTTTAAGGTTGTGCACGCAACTGCAGCAACTGACGACAAAAAACTTCAAAGTTGTTTGAAAAAACTCTCTGTCAATACAATTCCTGGAATTGAAGAAGTTAATATGATTAAAGATGATGGAACTGTAATTCATTTTAATAATCCAAAAGCTCAAGCGAGTCTTGCTGCCAATACATTTGCCATTACTGGCCATGGGGAGAACAAACAAATAACTGAAATGTTACCCGGAATTTTGAGCCAACTTGGACCTGAAGGTTTAACTCAGTTGAAAAGATTGGCAAGCACCGTTGCTGGCAGCGGAGTTGGCAAAGCTTCCCTCGAAGAAGATGATGATGTTCCAGATCTTGTGGAGAATTTCGATGAAGCCAGTAAAGAAGAAGTAATTTTTTTTTTATTTTCATTTTTCTCTAAATCAACATTTTAGTATAATATAACAAAAATTAAAATATATTTTTTTTTTGAATAACAAATGTTTTTTTTTCAGGTGGCACTGAAGAAAGAACTTGAAGAAATTGTCACCGATAAATCGGCAGATGATAAAAATGAAACCCCGGCGGGGAATGCTGAAGAGAAAAAAGAAGCCCCATTAGCCAAGGTCGAAGTCTAATGATGTGATGAGTGTGAGTTTTTTTTATTATTCAATTTTAAAAAAATAGTGACAGTTCTTTTAAAAAAAAAAATGGACGAAAGTGTAACTGACATTTGAATGTTTTACAGGTATACAGTATGACTTTATAATTTTAATGATAACTTACAAAAAGTATCAACTATTCAAGCCTGACTATAAAAAAAAAAAAAAGAAAAAAACATTGAAGAAGATAATTTGTCCTCTGCCATTGTTTACCCCCTTCCCCCTGCTGTATTTTGATTCCCGTTTATATTTTTATCAATTTCTTTTTAACCGCATTTATTAAGAAAAATGCGCGTTTGAAGTTACACGCGCATAACGTACAATTATATTTTGTGATGCAAAAAAAAAAATCCGATAAAATGAAAATAATTATGTCATCAAAAAAATAGTAAATCATCAATTGCATTTGATTTTTCAAACAATATATTTATCAAGGAAAAAAAAATTGTTACTATGTGTATATCAAAATAATCTATTCTTTTTTGTAGTAATAACAATGAAAAAATAGTAGATAACTTGTCTTTTTATTTAGATCACACAATTCCTTTCTTTGGTCTTTTTTTTTTTTATTTCAGTGGATAAAATTACGGCGAAAAATAAAGAAGAAATTTTAGTAATAACAAAAAAAAAAAAAAAATCGCTACTATAAAAATTTCTGGTAAAATGTACATTTAAATTTGTTTCTAAATGTAAAAATTGTTTTTCGAAAAAAAGCAATCAAATAATGTGAATTTGCTTAAAAAAAATAAATAGAAAATTTAAATTTTTTCAAAAACGAAAAATTGCGATTAATTCTACAAATTTCTATTAAAATATGTAAATCAACACTTTCTTTATTCAAAGAAGAATATTTTTTACAGAGAAAAATTGTTTAAAAAAATGATAATTTTCGAATTTATGGTAAAAAAAAACTATTGTTTCAAAACCAAAAATTGCTATTTTACAATTTTTAAGTTAATACAGGCCTTAGATTATATGTATGACTTTTTTAGACTTTTTTTCGACTTATTTTAATAAAATGCGACTTTTTCGACTTTTTTTAAAATTTTTTTTCATAAAATTTTTAAACAAAATACGTCTTTTTTAGTATACAATGCAGATCTTAAAATATTCTTTATTTCAATTATTTAACAAATTTTTAACTAAAATTTTTCTCTAAATAAATAATTTTTAATAATTTTAATGAAATTCTTCACAAATTTAATTATCTTCAACCATTTTTTAATTAAAATTTTTATGTTTAATAATTGTTTATAATTATAAAAAAAAATTGGCAAATAAAATTGCCAAAAATTTTTAATTCAATGTCACTTTAAATTTAATTATTTGCAAAAATTTCAATTATTTTCAATTCTGTGAAATTAAATTATTGTCTGAAATGTAACAAAATCTTTTGAAATTTAATTGTTTTAAAAAAATTTCAAACTATAACTCTTCCAAAGTTCAATTACTTTTAATAATTTTATTATTTCTTTAAAAATAATTTAATTATTTAAAAAAAAGTTTCAAATAGAAACTCTAAAATTGAATTGTTTTCTAAATTCTTTTTTAGAAATTTGTCCTATTTAATTGAAATTTTAAAAATTTACGTCTTCGAATTATTCTTATTGAGAAATTATTAAAATATATTTAATATCTAATAGCATTAATATTATTTAAAGTAAAATACTTATAAACTGATTCAAAATAAAAATAAAAAAATTACTTTTTCGACTTTTTTTGTGCTTTAAAGTCGATCCGAGGGCTGATTTTATCAACAGTTTCTTTTTTTAAGGTGGAATATTTTCTACAGAGAAAAATTGTTTGTAAAAAAAAATGACAATTTTCGAATTTATGATAAAAAATCAAAATGTACTTTTTTTCAAAAATAGAAAATCGCTCTTTTATCATTTTTAAGGAAATATCGTCAGTGAGGAAAGAATTAAAATAAAATTTAAGAAAATCTGAAATCAATACAAATTTTTAAATAAATATAAACATTTATTTTTTACATTATTAAATTTATGAAATATAATTGTTAATTAATTTAAGAAAATCTGAAATCAATACAAATTTTTAAATAAATATAAACATTTATTTTTTACATTATTAAATTTATGAAATATAATTGTTAATTTTTCTATTTATAAATTCTTTGTGGATCAGAATTTGTAAAAGCCATTTTACAAACATTGCATTCATTATTAATAGAGAGTAAAATTTTTCTACAAACAATATGATTACAAGGGAGTCGATAAAAAATACTATTTTTACAACAATCACAATTATCAGTTGATAATGATGTGGGATTTTTGTTTAAATTTGGTTTTTTAACACTAGACGAATTAATTCCTAAATTAATTTTACGTTTAACTGGCAGCAATGGTAAAACATGACAATGAAGTTTTTTTTGTTTTAAATTAATTTCCGCATTATTATGATGATTATTATTATTACTATTGTTGTATTTCATTGAAGTTTGAATAATACTATTGGATAATTTTTCTCCTTGAGATTTTTGACTATTTATTAATTTAAGAGACGATTCTGGCCTTGTTTTACTGCCCAAGACGCGAGGTAATTTTTTTACTTCTTCATTATTACTGTTTTCAAGTAAAAATTTATCAATTTGAGCTTTGAGCGCCGTTGCAGCGAGAGCACGTCGAATTTCACTCAAGGGAATTCCTGTAAATGGATCGGAAGATGGTCGGCCCCAGATGGCCTCATTTTGTTCGTGTTTGTCTAATGTACTTTGATCTATCACTTTGCCACTTGGTAAAATAATCGGCTGAGTCATTATTTCCCATGTTATTGGATCTAGAAAATTTTCTGGTACCTCCAGAGATTCGGGAAGTTTTCTGAAAAATATAGAAAAGAAAAGAAAATATCAACAATGAAAATTAAAAATAAAAATAGTCATCATAAATTTATATCTACTTTATTATAAACTGAAATTATAATTTTAAATTTTATATTGGGATCAACCCATTATATTTTATCTAAATTCGTTGGGAATTGTTTTTACAGGCCTCGAATTATAAGACTTTTTCGACTTTTACGATTATTTTTCAAAAATGCGATTTTTTTCGATTTATTTCAATAAAATGCGACTTTTTCGACTTTTCCTTACATTTTTTTTTAAATATATAATCCAGATCTTCTTTATTTCAAAATTATTTAACAAATTTTTAACTGAAATTCTTGACTAAATTAATTATTTTTAATAATTTTAATGAAATTCTTCACAAATTTAATTATTTTAAACTATTTTTTAATTAAAATTTTTATGAAATTTAATAATTGTTTATAATTTTAAAAAAATTACCAAAAAAATTTTTATTTAAAATCATTTGAAATTTAATTATTTGCAAAAATTTCAATTATTTTTAATGATTTTTATAATATTCTTCGAAAATTCAATTATGATTTCTAATAAATTCTTCATCAAGAGAAATCACTAAAAATTTCTCTTTTTATGATTATTGTCTTAAATTTAACACAATCTTTTGAAATTCAATTATTTTCAACAATCTTCAATTTAAAAGCTTCTAAAATTTTTTGAAATTTAATAATTTCAATTATAATTCTCCTGAAATTCAATTATTTTTAATGATTTTTATAATATTCTTAAAAAATTCAATTATTTAAAACTATTTTTCACTTAACAAGTTTTCAAATTATTGTATTTTTCTCTGCAATTTTAAATAAATTTTTTAGAAACAGAAATCATCAAAGATTTTTAATTAAAAATTACTTGAAGTTCAATTAATTTCAAAAATCTAAATTGTAAATCTTTGAAAATTCAATTACTTTTAAAAAATTGTATCTAAAATTATTTGAAATTAAATAATTAAATCTTTTGAAATTTAATTATTTCTAAAAATTTCAAGCTATAACTCTTCCAAAGTTCAATTATTTTTAATAATTTTAATATTTCTTTAAAAATTCAATTATTTAAAAATGTTTCAAATAAAAATTCTAAAATTCAATTATTGTCAGAATTTTTTTTTTAATTTTGTCTTTTTTTATTAAAAATTAAAAAAATTTACGTCTTTGAATTTGAAATATTGGAAATAAATTTTCTTGATAATCTTCCTATAGAATTATTAAAATGGATTTAATATCTAATAACATTAATTATTTAAAGTAAAATTCTTATTAATTAATTAAATTTAATTAAAATAAAGAAATCGACTTTTTTTTGGAATTTAAATCGACTAACAAACAAATCAAATCACATCAACTAACAACAATTTGTAAAACTACTTTTTTTGCGCCTTAAAGTCGATCTGAGGCCTGTAAGTATAGTTTTAATGTATTTTCATATAATATACTGACTTTTTAATTTTATATTATAGAGAAATATAAAAGAATTTCTTTTTATGTTGAGATTTTCAGAATAATCGCTGATTTTTAACCCTAAATTATTTTTTTATTTTAAATAATAGTTTAATATTTTGCCTACAAAATATTCATATTAATTTTTTCGAATTTTCATTTTACAGAATAAATTATCAATCGATTGTCGCAATGTTGGCGAATTTTTATTTAGACAAAAATTAATTAGCCAGAAATTCAATTTGATCGAATCCCATTTTGTACGAAACTTTGTTTCGTAGAATATTCATTTTGCAGAACATTAATTCAAAAGAATCTTAATTATAGCAGTTTTTAAAAAATAATTATTTCTCACATTTTTATTCAATTAAAAAAAAAAAAAAAAAATTCAGAATAATAATTGTAAATAACTCACTTGTCGTTATCATTTTTCGAAGTAGATTCCTCCCTCTTATTATTATCATTATGAACAATTGAAGAAACATTTCGTTGTGACCACAAACTGCAAACAGTTGCAATAACATCTTTTCCACATTGTGGCGAGACATATCCCCAAATTTCCACTTTTCCCAATGCAGAAACAGAATTTTCTGTCTTAACAATGCTTATTCTTAATTTATTCACATAATTAACAAGACGTAAATTTGATGATTTTAAACGACATTGAAGAAAATTTGATGGACTTGAAATAATTGATGGATCCATGTCATTTCTATGAAATATTATACCCGAATGTGATGAATTTAAATAGCCATTAGAAATACAAGTATATAATATTGTTATTTCATCTGATGATTTTGTATGAATTTGAAAGCCAGATGATTTTTGTGCACCAACATTTGGCCAAATAATAATATGACTTATACGAATATTGCAAATAAATTGAAAATCAACATGAATTGGTGGTTTAATACATGAATAAACCATAAATCCATTTTGTGATTTATTTACTAAATTTTCCACATCATAACCTTCTGTGCTAATAGTATTGCATTTTACTTCTGTTCTCAGAGAAGGATCACAGAAATTTATAAGCATTTTTTTTATATTTATATTTCTTAATTGTTCACTTTTAAAAGTAGTGTAATGATAAAAAAATTCATTGTTTTAATTGTTTTTTTTTGTCAACACTTGGAAAAATATGTCAAAATTAATATAAACACATTTTGAGGTTAGGTTTGCTTAAAGGGGACTTTTGACTGTTCAATTCCATTGGTGGACGTAAATAATATGTTTATGATTGACCAATCAAATGTGTAATTACTTATGAAATTGAATATTTGCCTTAAGCGCCTTAAGGTTTTCAGTTTTTCACGCGCGGTAGTATCCTAACCTTTTTAACCTATGTATGCACGTGTTTTTATATGAAAAAAAAACTAAATGTTAACAAACAAATTATAATAAACTAAGGATTTATTGTTCACTAAACTGTAAAATTTAAGGGATATTTATTTTTCTCAAATTGTGTCATGTATATAATTGATTAGTAATTTAAAAAAGCGTATTTTCTTTTTGGAGTCACGTAAGTATATCATAATTTTCATATATGCAGTCAATTGTATTTTAATAATTATAATTTTCTATATTTTCCATGACAATATTGTTATAAAATTATTTTACTCAAATTAATTTGAAAAATTTGAGGTTAAATAATTAATTGCAATTCAAGAATTGAGGAAATTAGAGAAGAGAAGAATTAATATTAAAAGATGTGTTTAATTAACATATTTTAGTTGCAAAATACTTTTTTTTATTAAATAATCGGTAAATTTTCACGATTTTTTTATATATAAAAAAATTAAAATTCGATTGTTTGTTTTTTAATAAATTATTACACAAAAAATTTAATAATACCAGCATCAGGAAATGTTTATATTTTTATTACAGAGAATAAAATTTTGAAGTAAAAGGTAAAATTGTTTAACAATTCATGTTTTTCTAAATTGTTAATTTTTAAAAAGTCGGTAATTTCGTAATATTATACCGTAGATGGTTTAAATAACAAGACTTTTTTTAAAAACGACATATAAAAATATTAAACTAAAATTATTCAAAAAGAAATTGTTTTTTAAAATATTTTTGATTTTTGAATCGTTATTTTTGTAATAATTTATAGTAAAAATTTCAGTAATAAATCAATTGATACTTTTTTAAATATTTTGTTGGAGTGGTTATGATAATTAATATAAAACAAATTTTAAACAAATATTTCAAAAAGTTACATGTTTTTAAAATTTTTTTAGTCTTAAAAAGTAAATAATCTTGGATAAAATATTCAAGCCTCGGATTTTATGATTTTTTTTTTAAAATACAACTTTTTTTCGACTTATTCTAATAAAAGACAATTTTTTTGACTTTGGTATTTTACAAAATAAAATTTAAAAAATTATTGAATTTATTAAATTAAAAACTGGACTGTAGCTCTTTTAAAATTAAATTATTTTTTATAAATTTCTATTTAAAATTTAATTATTTAAAGTATTTCCTAATTTTTTAATAAAAAAAAATTTATTATTTAATTATTGTCTGTAATATGTAAAAAAAAATTTTGAGCAATTTAATTTTACAAAAAATTTAAATTTAAAATCTCTTAAAATTCAATTATTTTTAAAAATCTTTAATATGTCACACTTACAAAACTCAATTATTTTTTTAATTGTCTAACATTTTTTTGCCAAATTAATAATTTTCAATAATATTAATTATTTTGTTTAAATTCAAATAATTTTTTTTTTTTGAAATTTTTGAAAATTTGTTTCAGTTTAATTTTGAAATATTTATTTATTTATTGAAAATATATGAATAAAATTTCTTGATAAATGACCATGCAATTATTCATATTAAGAGAATTGTTAAATATTTATTTTTAATATCTAATAACAATGATTAATAGAAATAAAATATTTATTAAAATTTAATTCGCCAATAGATTAAAAAAAAAGAATTTTGAACTTTGGAATATATACAGAATTGAATGTAAAAAATATATTAAAAATTATTTTTTGAAAAAATGTTCAAAAAATTTTAATATAATCGAATCTTTGATTTAAATTATGATTTAGATATAAAAAAAATATAATTTAAAATCAATTAAAATTTAAATGATTTAAATTGTGATTTAAATAATTACAATTCTGTTAAATAATATTTAAGTTACTGCATATTATACTAAAATTAATTTTTCAGTCATATCAACACACTCACACAATGGCAAAAGTAAAAAACAAAAAATCAAAATTAGCCGATGTCTATGCAAAAAAGCGTAAACAACAACAGGCAAAGAAAACAATAACTCCCTTTGAAATTCATGTAAATAGAGATAAACGAAAAGTTTTAGGACAAAAGAGTAAATCAGATCGTGGTCTTCCCGGTATTTCACGAACAAAAGCAATAGCAAAACGAAAGGGAACATTACTTCAAGAATATAAATTTAAAGATAAAGATAATATTTTATTGGATAAACGTTTACATCAAAAAAATCCCAACATGTCCGAAGAGGAGAAAGCATTGGCAAGATTTGCCAAAGAACGAATGAAATTGCAAAAAAAGAAAAATATATTCAATTTAAATGATGATGAAATTTTAACACACAAAGGACAGGCAATAATGGATATTGAAAAATTTGATAATCCAATGAGCGATGAAGATGATTATAGCGATGATGAAAATCGTGATGGAAGATTGGGTAAAAAATTTTTAGACGAAGCTCACTTTGGCGGTGGACTATTGTCAAATCCAAGTGGTGAAAAATCGAGAAAAAGTGTTATTGAAGAACTTATAGCCGAGTCAAAAAAACGTAGAGACGAGAGAATAAAGAAACAGGAGAAAATTGAAGATTTAACAAAAAAACTCGATACCGATTGGAAGGATCTTTTGCCAATAATAACAAATTCAAATAAATCATTAGAGACAAATGAGGAAGAAAAATTGAAAGCCAATGATTATGATATTACAATGCGTCAATTGAAATTTGAAATTCGTGGTAATCCGACTGATAAATTAAAATCTGAGGAACAAATCGCTGAAGAAGAACGAGTAAGTTTGGAGAAATTAGAGGAAGACAGATTACAAAGAATGATTGGTTTTGAAAAGGATATGTATAAAAAACATAGATCCGCCGACGATTTGGATGATGGTTTTGTGGCTGAAAATATAAACGATGAAGATGATGATGATAAAAAAGAAGAGAAAGATTCAGAATCTGAAGATGAATCTGAAGATGAAGAGGAAGCAGAAGAAAATGAACAAGATGAAGAAAAAGAAGAAAATGAACAAGAAGAAGAAGAAAAAGAAGAGGAAGAAGAAGAAAATTCGCAACATGAAGAAGATAATGAGGATGAGGAAAATGAAGATGAAGATGAAAACGAGAAAGAATCAACAAATAAAAGAGAGCAAAGTCTGAATGAAAATTCCAATGAAGAAAGTGATAATGAAAGTTCAGAAGACGAAGACAATTTGTCGGATTTAAAAGTATCGGATTCATCCAGTGAAGATGAAGAATTGCCAATTAAAAAATCCTTTTCCAAATTGGTAACTAAATCGAAATTGGAAAATTTTAAAATCTCAAAAAATCAAGAATCCATTGTCAGTGAAAGTGAAAAAATGTTAGAGAAAGCAAGAGCGGAATTACCACATACGTTTAAAGTTCCCGAAACTTATGAGGATTTAAATAAATTATTATCCACACATAATGAACATTATCAATCGGTTATTGTCGAGAGAATTATTAAATGCAATCATTGGTCATTGGGAACAAAAGGAAATAGAGAAAAATTGGCTGGATTATTTGAACATTTATTAATGTACATAGATTGTTTTGATTTGTCAAGTGAAAATAGTATTGTCAAGAGTTTTCAAATATTAGACAGGTAAATATATAAATTGAAATTAAATTCTAATTGGATTCACAAATTCTAAAATTTACTCAATATATCTCAATAAAAATATTTTATATTAAAAAAAAAAATGTGCAAAAAAGCGGCTGATTTGAAGAATATCCCAATTTATAAATTAAAAAATTTATAAAATTTATTAATAATTTAAAATATTTTTTTTTATAAAATTTTACCCATTTGTATTATAAATATTTAAAAATATAATATTTTGTAAAAGTAACAGTTAAAAAAAATTCTATCTTAATATTTTAAAAAAATTTCCATATGATTATAAAAGAAAAATAAACTTTTTTTCAAGATTGTGTCCTCATCTTTATGACTTGGCTCATGCGAGTGCTGAAAATGCAAAGAAATGTTTGCAAGAAATTATTAAAACAAAACACAATGAATTTGAAGAAAAAAAGAAAAAATACGTTGGAAGCAATTTGGTAAATTTTTTTTTCTTTTTTGAATCTCACAATTATTTTTAAGTATCATTATTCTAAAAAAAAAAAACAAACAAACTAATATTTGTTATTTATTGTTACAGTTGATGTTCTTAAAATTAGTATCTCTTATTTTTCCAACATCCGACTTTAGGCATCCGGTCGTCTCTCCTTGTTTAGTATTCATGTCACAAATACTCTCAAGATGCTCAGTTAAGAGAAAAAGTCACATTTCTAAAGGCTTATATATATGTACACTTATACTAGAGGTTCGTTAAAAATATTATTATTATGAAAATTATAAAAATTAATTTTTTATTTCAATTTAAAAAAGAATTAATTAAATTAGAATTTTTTTTTCAAAATTGTTAATTGAAATATTAATATTTAATTTTTAAAAACATATTAAAATTAATTATTATTAATTGCAATAAAATTCTTTATAAGCGAAAGAAAATGATCTGAAAAAAATTTCTATATCCATCAGAGAAAAAATATATTTATCTCAAAACCAAATGAATATTTATTTGTTTCAAATGCCAATAAAATATTTTTTTTTGGTGTAAGACTTAAATAAATAAACAATAAATATAAATAAATACAAAATAAATAATAAATATAAATAAATAAATAATTAAATAAATATTTAAAAGAAAAACAATAATTGTTTCAATTTTCAGTATACGACATTGAGTAAACGATATTCACCAGAGGTGATAAATTTCTTACGTGGTTTAATATATTTATCGATGCCAAAACCACTGGTCAATAAAGCGATTAAAGTTATTCCACCTTTCAAGCGTGATGGTGATTTTAGCAATTTATTGCAAATTGATGAAAATATGAAAAATCACAAGTTAGATCTCAGTAAACCACAAATGAAAGCATCAGATTTAATTGATGATGAAATAGATAGTGATTTTAAATTGCGAGTATTTGCAACGACAATAAATTTAATTTTTGAATTTAAAAAACAATACGAAGAATTGGATACTGTCTATGCAATTTTTGAACCAATTTTAAAAATGTTAAAATCTGATTTCATTAAGAAATATCCCAAAAATTTGAGACAAAAGGTAAAGGAATTAAGTGAAGAATTGGAATTGATGAAATTGAAAAAATTGGAATTCATTGTACGGGAGAAGAAAAAACCAAAAGCATTGAGATTATATGAACCACGAATTGAGAAAGTGTAAGTTTAGCAAAGAAAAAAAAATCAAATAATTAAAAAAAATTAAATTGAAAATTTAAAAAAAATTTTTATTAATAATTTTTAATTTTATTAATTTACAGATACGAAGGTAGAAGGCATAAGAAAATGTCACAGGAGAAGGCCGAGAGAGAGAAAATGATTCATAAAATTAAACGTGAAATGAAGGGAGCAATAAGAGAAGTACGAAGAGATTCGTCATTTTTGGCGAATTTGAAAATTAAAGAACAGATCAAGAGTGACGTGGAACGTAAGCGAAAGGTGAAAGAAATTTTCGGCGATGCTGCTGTTCAACAAAGTGAATTTAATAAAATGAAACGAAAAAAGTAAGTTATTTTTAGAACGAATTAAAGAATTAAAAAAGAAAAACAACAAAAAAAACAAACTAAGTAAAATATAATATACTATTTAACAAATATTTTTTATTAATAACAAAATATTACGTTGACAATTTGTACAAAAGAATTACTTTTTTGTATATAACATTGTTTGTAAATTTAAACAAAACAAATATTTCTTACTGTAAAAAGTATTTTTTTCTTTTATAAAAATATCAACAAAATGTAACGTTGACAAAATATTTTTCTAATTTCTGATGATATTTTTATAAAAATGAATATTTTTTTACTACAAATGAACTCAACAATTGTTTTGTTTTTTTTTTTAATTTAAATATTCAATTTTCATCGTTTTAAAAATAGATTTGATTTATAAAAATATAAAATATTTGTATATAAAATATTCTTATATTAATAAAAAATAAAACAGACCTAATCAAAGTACTTTCAATTCATAAAAAATATTTAGATTTTTATTTCATAATAAATAACATTAATTAACATTAATTAAAATGAAAAAATTGTAAATATAAAAATTTTAATTATATTTGATTTTAATTTAAAGTAACATTATGTTAAATAGAATTTGAATTATTTGAAAAATTAATGAGCAAAGGTAAAAAAAAAATTGTAGTTGTAAGTTGAAAAAAAAATCACTTTCAAAAAGTCACTGTAAGAAATAAAGTGAAGAATGTAACGAATGACTAAAGCACTTAACGCTTTCAGCAAATGAAATCAATCTTATTTAATCCTATTTCAAGACTTTTTGTGCGGGATATTAAAAAAAAAAAAATTAATACATTTATTTTGTATATGAATTCAAATACTTCATTAAATTATTTAATTAATTATTAAGCGATTTAAAGTGCAGGAAATACAAAATTAAATAGAATTTTTTTTTTAAATACCAAAAATAATTAATTTGAAATTCAAGAAAAATTCTGTGATTACAATAATCGAATATTTATATCCATAGATAAATATTTTATTGACGTTTATTTGAGACAAATAAAATTTATTTGAAATAAATAAAAATGTATTTTTCACAGAGCCTAATAACTTTTTATTTATTTTAAATAAATTTTTTTTATTTAACTCAAAATGGTATTGCGATATTTTCAACAAAAACCGCAAAATCGGTTTGAAATTGTTTTTCAATTTTCAAAGTGTTTAAATATTGATTCTTTAATAAATATTATCCTTTTTTTCCATAAAATAGAAATAAACAAAAAAAGTGGAGAATTTAATTCATATTTTGGTGAAATCGATAAAGTACTTGAAAAGTACAATTAAATGAAGTGTCGGACGAATGAACAAAAACTTAATGTAATTAAATTCACAGAATAATCTGATATATGAAAATAATGGAATTTGCAAAAATTTGAATTTTAAAAATTATCAAATTTCAAAAATAATTATTTAATTACAATACAACTTCAAGTTTTTTTTTACAATAATTTAATTTTGAAATAACGGAATTTTAAATAAGTTTACAATGGAGGTAATGAAAAAATTTTACATAATTGTAAAATTTGTTTTAGGTAGAAAAAGATTTTTGATTTTTTTAAAATAATATTGATATTAAAATATTAACTTTTAACACGTCAAAGTAGATCAAAAATCTAGAATAATTCATCACAAGTTTTCATTTACAAAAAAAAAAAAAAAAAAAAATTATTATGAAAGAATATCATCTCATACAAAGCTCGTATAATATAAAGTTGAATATAAATTTTTATTGAAAAGTTTATCATTTTCTTTGCAAAAATTCAATAAATTAAAAAAAAAAATTAAATCAATAATTGTTTTTAATTTTGTTATTTTTAAATTCAATTTAGTTTGTATATTTTAATTATTTTTTATTTCACTTATTAATATTTTTAATGAAAGAATATTTCTATTAAAAACAAAAAATAAAGAAATAAAGTGCGATTAAATATATTGATTCTTTAATAAATATTATCCTTTTTCAATATACAATAAAATTGACAAAAAAGTAGAGAATTTAATTCATATTTTGGTGAAACGATAAAGTAATTGAAAAGTACAATTAAGTATAGTGTCGGATGAATAAACACAAACTTAATGTAATTAAATTCATAAAATAATCTGGTATATAAAAATAATTGAATTTGGAAAAATTATTAAATTTAAAAATAATTATTAAATTAATTCTTGAAAATGAATGATTTTACTAAAAAAAAAAACAAATTGATGAAAAATCGAGGTACAAATTCATGGTTTTTTTTCCGTTTTTCCAGTTTGATGGTCACACGGTAATATTACAGAAATAATATATAGCAACATTGACACAATGTTGGCAATATTACGGAAATTTTAGATAGTGTATGAAAAAGGTGAGAGTGTAGGTGTTAATAAACTGTATATGCACATTATGAATTATATATAGGTATATATATATACACCTATATGTAGGGTGAAAAATGGTTCAGTGAAAATGTGGTCACGGCGAACAGACCTCTGAGCAGACCACTACCTCTCGAGTGGTTTGCGGCTTGCTATCTAAGTGGAAGTGGAGGATCTTAATGTATAGATATGCTCTTAAATGCAAAATTACCGGAAATAACACTATAATTCTATAAACTGCGCTCACATCCACGTCCTGGATATACATTTATTCAATCAGAACATGAAATACAAAAGGGTCGTTTTTTTTTTATTTACATATGTAATCATTTTTTAATTTTCAATTTAATATTTTACTGTAAATAATGTATTCAATTTCTTTTTTTTCAACATTTCTTTGGCACATAAGGTATTAATTTTTAATTAACAATATTTAATTAAATAATTAATTATTTATTTGAAACATAACCGGGTTGTCACAAAAATTTCATTATAATTTTCCTGACTTCCAGACAATATTTTATGTTTTTATCTGATATTTTCGGATTTTTTTCTTTTCTACAATCAAATGTGAATTCTATTTTAAAAAATTATGATAAATGAAAATTGAATAAAAATGATAACAAACATTGTATAAAGAGCAATTCAAATTCTTAAAAAAAAAAATTCAATTACATATTTTTCAAAAGTTTTAATGAAATTTTTTTTTTAAATTCAATTATTTTTAAAGCTTTCAATTAAATTTGACGAAATTTCAATTATGTACAATTCTTTTAATATTTAATATATTCGAAATTTTAATTATTTTCAAAAATGTAATTTAAATTAGTTATTATTATTATTTTATTTTAAAATACTTAATTATTTCATAATTTTGAATCAATTCTTCGATATAATTGAATTATTTTTGAAATTTTTAGTTTAAAATCTGTTAAGAAGAGATTAACCGTTAATGGTTAAATAAAATAAAAATAGAAAAAGTCTAAACTTTTAATTGCAATTCTTTCAATATTGAATTATTTCTATTAAATCTATAAGTGTCTATTTCATCATTTTTAAAAAATTTAAATAAACTTCTACAATAATTTTAATTATTCAAATTACCAATGCTTTTAATACATTAATTTTAATTACCACAAAATTTATTTATTTGAAAGAAAGTTATAAATTTTTCAAAAATTTCATTATTAGAAACTTTGACTGAAGCTTTTTCGAGATATCAATTATTTCCAAATATCGATATTAATTTTTTTTTTTACAAAAAAATCATACCTTTCAAGTTTTTCATACTTTTAAATATTTTCCAAATTTGCAATTAAATTTTTGTTTTAATTTTATCATTAACAAAAAATTTAACTGCTAAACTTCGAAAATTTAATAAATTAAAAAAATTTTAACAAAACTTTTTCAAAATTTCAATTATTTGCAAAAAAATTTAATTTTAAATTTTCTGAAATTCAATTATTGTTAAAAATTTGTAAAAAAAAATCGTCAGCAATTTAAATTTTTAAAAAATTCCAGTTTCAAATCTTTTAAAATTTAATTAATTCCAAAAATATTAAACTATTCGAAACTATTCGGAACTATTCGAAAATTTAAGTATAGATATAAATTTTTATTTAAAATTCTTCGCCAAATCAATAATTTCTAATAATTTTAATAGTTTTTCAAATATTTAATTATTACACAAAAATTTTCTAAAATTTAATTATTGTCTAAAATTTGTATAAAAAAAATTAGGAGTATGAATTTACAAAAAAATTCAATTTAAAATTGCCTAAAATTCAATTATTTCTAAAAATATAACCAGTTAGGTAATCTTGAAAAATTTAATTATTTTGATAGATTTTCAAAAATTTTGTACGTTATTTGTGTGTTAATAATTTGCAAAAAAAAAAAAAAAAAAATGTATCGATTTAATGTTCGAAATCAGAAATTTAGTAAAGTAATTATATTTTTTATTATTTATTACTAAAATATAAATTATATTATAAAATATATTTTTTCTGCATTTGAATAGCAAATTGTAATAAATGTTGCGATGTAATAACGAATAATTTTGTAAGAATTATTTTAATAGAAATGGAAAAAAAAAAATATTTTAATCATGTATTTACGTGTACTAAATAGGTATTTAAAAAAGAATCGCGGTTATATTTTATTTCTGAAAATAATAAAAATGTAGACAAGGACAATATTTTTATGTTGTGTTACCATGACCACAATTTCATCAAAATGCATTTCTGTTGGTAATGTGGTTTGAGGAAGGGTAACCATAATCCATTTTCCCTTCCTGCATTTGCGTAATATGCATTTTAGAGCTCAAACTCAACGTTCAGGAAAACAACATTTGATTTATAACCCGCTGCAACTAAAACTGCATAAACATACAATACACTATATACACGGGATAAAGGCTAGCTCTACCTATGATCATTTTAATAGTTTTGAAATTGATATACTTCCCTTTGCTCTGATATCACCCAAAATTGCCTATATGGCGCCACTTAAAATGCAAATTCTATATATAAATATATAGTTAACATTTCATATTTATTAACTAATTGCATAATAACGTGCCATCGGAAATTATTTTCGTCGCAATCAATATAATTTACATGTGTCATTTAATTATTTACTTCATTGTCTTTTTAAGCAGTTTTTTTTAAATTGTTCTTTAAATTAAAATTAGTCAATAATAATAATTTAAAATAATTGTAATTCCGCGGCTTTTCTCAAGTTTTATTATTTTTCAGTAAATTATTTTTGACATATTAAAGTGTAAACACAATAAGGTGGGGGAAGACCAAAAAGATAAGTCAGCCAGGGATGGGAAACTATGTTTAAGTTATTGAAATTTTTTTTTTTTCATAATTGTTCTTGAAATACATTTTATCTGAATTATGAAAATTTCAATGACAAAGAAACCGTACAAAAAACAAAGCAGTTTATTTAAAACAACGATGATTGCGAAAGTCAATGATAGAATAAAAAAAACTTTACACTCTTGGCTGTATA